ATCAAAGTTTATTCATCAACTGTTGAGATTCAATGGACTAATCCGTAATCAATTTAATGATTATTTTTCTCACCCTTTCAGTCAATCAGTATAGATTGAAAAGTGATAATTGAACTCGACATGATTGATAATCAGACTCATTGGAACAACAATTATTTCAATGGAAATGAAAAGAATAAAGAATGCCAGAAATGATATTGAAAGATGAAAATGCAATAAACTTGAAAGGTTCATTTCCAAAGATTTTCATTTTGCTCTTTGGTTAATCACTTGGAGTTGATTCTTGAAAAAAACTAATGTTATTAATTGTTATCTCTTGCTCTTAATTTCATTATCATTGATTAGTTCAGTCGACTTTTGACATGTTGACTAACTTTCTTTCATTTCTTGGCTTTTTTTAAGAATACATGATGTTCGATTGTTAGCTATTCATGAAAAATAATGTAATCAAATAAAAGAAGATGAAAGTTAAGGTTAAATTATTTCTTTTCACTGAGCAAATCAATTGTAAACAAAGTGTTGCTCAAGGGTATTGGAAGAAAGTATCAGGTAATCTTTGCCTTTCATGGGTTAAGCCTTTGGTATCATTTGTTTGACACTCAGTTAACATAAACAATCAGTAAATGGGTAAATCAACTTGCAACAGTTAACCAGTAAATATCACAAGATAAATCATTTATTGGCTCATCAACAGAAAAATGAGGAAATTCAAAGAGGAATCATGATTACCAATCAACTGTGATTCGATCATGGAATGAAATCTCAGACAGAAAATCTAATCAAAATATAATATAAGCCGAGAAAATTTTTGCCAACTTTCATTACCACAGAACTAGACTAAAGTAGTTAGTGAAATTCCTGTTCCCGACCCAACTCGTCCGTACTGGATCAACTCGTCCGCTCTGGACCAACTTGCGGTTCTGGACCAAATCTTACACCGTATGACGGTGTGCTCTTTTTTTGATAAAAAACGAAGTTTTTTATAAGAAATTGGTTTTAATGAAAACAACTGAAATTGAATGTGAATTCACAAATAGGATGAAATGAAATTAAAGATTTCTATTATTTTCCTGCTCTTCGAGCTGCCGAGCTCGCTCTTCTGCCCATTGCAGATATCTGTTTTGGAACTCTTGCTTTGGAATACCGAAGTATTGTTCACATTTGCGGTCAATGTACTCCAAATAACTTTTTCTTTCTTCGCTTTCTTCCCACAAATGAGTGACTGAGGTTTCTAGGTCAGCAATATATTTTGCCTTATTTTCGAGTTCCGTCTCCAATTCTTTATTCTGTTCTTCGATATCTTCAAGAATGAATTCTTTTTCTTCTAAACTTTTTTCAAGTTCTTTAATTTCTTGTTGGTACTCAACACAATATTTCTCTAAAGTTGAAATCTTTACTTTAGCCTCTTGAATCTGCATTTTCTGCCCCTCTGATAATTCGATGAACATAATGGCGGTATTGACTGTTCGATCGACACTTTCGGGAACTTACCCGTTGTTTTCCTCTATCCAGTCCAGAACGCATTTCAACCCAACTTTTAGCGGGCAGTGTGCGCTGCAATAGCAATCAAGAGTTATATACGGGGTTGAACAAATACACTTAAACTTACCTTATGTTTTCCATATTGTAAATATTGAATGTTTAGGAAGGAACTAACTTCGTAACGAAAAAGTTATCAGCAGAAGCATCAATCGAACTATAAATTTTTCTCGAATATTTTGCGAACAATATTTCAAGTTGAAATTTTCGTAAAACATTTTCTTTTCAATTTTTCAAAATCGATAAACTTTATTGACAGTTTGATATGAGCTTTATGACTTAAACTCAGCATATTAAGTGTCAAGTGCTTTAGATGACAAAAGTGTGAAATCACTCAATTTTTTCGGATAATTTTCTAATAACATGAAGCAAGTGATATCCATGAATATCAACCGTTTCATGATGTTATTCATCAACCATGAGTCGAGAGAAAAAGTAACGAAAAAAGTTGAGTGCAAAATGTTTGCTAAAAAATCAGGCGATCACTTAATTAACTTTCAATATTTGAGTCTTTCATAGAAGCTGATTTTGAAAAAGAACAGAATAATCTTTCATTTCGATTTTCAAAACTTCTAATAGCACATAACGATACTCCCATGAAGTCAGTAATCAAAGAATGGAAAATGATCGACGATAACAACTCTTCGTTAATACATGTACTTGTGGGTCTATTCACGGAAATTCGATTCATGGAAATTCAATTTAGATTAAGAACATTCTGGATGTGAAAACATTAATTTGACAACTTTTAGTTAAACTTTACTCTTTAAAACTCATGAAATGTTAATCAACAAATGTAATCAATTAATTAGCTAAAGATTAACTGCTTTTCTTCATTTTTGTTATAATGTTGTTTCTGTTTTCCTCTGGCTTTCATTGTAAACTTTTCATTCTCTGGCGAATTCAATTACATGGATTTAGATTTGACAACTGGGAGTGAAATATTATCTTGGAGTTTACTTGTCCAATAATTGAAGCTCTCAAGATAGATGCTTTGACAAGTATCAATCATTAAAGTTTTCACTTGGTTAACATGAAGTTACATTGGATAATCAAATTATTGAGTAAAAAGAGTTACAAAAATGAAGTGAAAAATTGATTCAATTTCATCTTTCAGTCAAGCACATTCATCATTATCAAATGAGGTTGAATGAAATGTTGATATTTTCAGGTGAACAAAAAAGGATTCCAATTGAGGTGTTTGCAAAAATTATCTAACCAATAAATAGAAACAATTTCAAGAAAGAAAATTTTCTCTTCATTGAAATAATTTTTAAAGTTGATTGATTCAAAATATTATTGATTCTATTAGCTTAAAGTCCTTAAAACTTTGAAAGCTTTTCCTTTTTTATTGCAACAACTTGGATCAAGCCGAAGTCAATCCACAAAAAAAGATGTTAAAGTGAAACATTTTAACAAGAAAATGAAAAAACTTCGTTAACTTTGAAACTGTTTCACTTTTAATGATGTTTCATTACCTTTGAACATGCTTTTGTCAGATATTACTATTGAGCTAATCATAAGTTGAAGGTTGAAACCAATTTTTATCCAAAAAAAGGTTTTCTTTTTTCACTCTTGATTTCTTCCTTTCAACTTGTCATGTAACTTGACCAGTTGACCACTTTTATGGTTTATTTTTGTAAATTCAAAATTTTCTTTTTTCTTTACTTTCGCTCTTTCCATTAGTCAATCTGACCGCCCACAAAAGTTGCAGCTAATTTGAATTTGTTTTTTTCTTCTCTTCATATTCAGAATTGACATGAAAAGGAATGTCAAAATGATTATTCAATTTTCCCTTTTCCCTCATGATTTCGACTTTTCTCTAAAAATAAACAGAACATTCAATTGAATCATTTTGAAAACATTTATCACACTCATAGTTATTTGAATGCTTTCCATTAATTTTGCTTTCGTGGTTTTTCAATTGAAACTAATGCTATATCAAGGTAGGCTTTTGATGAAAGTTTTTCAACTGAAAAATCATTTCAACCTAATCAATGATTCTTAATCCATGAGCTAAACAAGCAGATAAACTTGAGCAAAAAACTAGCCATCAAAAGGATTAGATCAGCTAGTTGGAAGGAAAGGTTAGTTTTTGATAAGTAATAAAGGATTCTGTTCAACTTTGACATTCATTTAATCTTTTCACTCGAAAAACTTTGACTAAACTGATAGAAAAATTATGCCAAAAATACATGGAAAAGGACTTTTAAACTTTAGCTAGCAATAGAATGGATTTGAATATTCGTGCCTTCAAAGTGTAGTTTTAGAGTTGAAATGAGTTCAAAGATTTCGTTGTTTTTTTATCCATAGACTCGTCTGACGTCTATTCGACCGTCTATAATACTAAATCCTCATCCATGATGGATCGTCATGTCTATTTGCCCTTTCAATCTTTTCAAATTCTGTTACATGATTACAACATGTGATGGCAAGATAAAACTGTCCGAACTCCAACCAAATTCATACTTTGAATAGCTCTGACAAAGGAAGTACTCCAGATAATCTGAATAAAGTTAATATTTTCATCATAAGACAATTATTATGAGTATTTAATTCTCTCGAAATTTTTCGGTTAGCAAACTAAAGTAGAACTAGAAAAACAGAATCAAAAATCAATTTTTTACATGGAAATCATTGTAATGAGTACACAAAACAAAATGAATGAAACAAGAGGCTCATCGCAACGGGAAAATACTATTGCTTTTGCATTGATCAATGCATACTGATTGACAGCAAATGACGCTTTTCCGACCTTCTATCCATTTGCTAATCAAAAGACGATGAACTATATTGTTAATTAGTAAGACGAATACAAAAGAATACAATTACACACTAATCATTGAAGTCGGTTCGGATGACCTCGGGTGCTTCCATGAAGAGCCAAATTGATAAATCAGTCTTACTTTCAGTCTAAAGCTGGTTAGAATTTCTTAATGAGCTTTTAAATAAAAGTTTACTTTCGGTTGATATCAATATTGACTAGCAAGCGAGTTATATTGAGTGAAAATGTCCATAAAACGAATAGCAAACTTTTGCCTTCACAAACGTGTCTGTCAATTTAAGAAAGATGAAAGCAACAGTTCACTTCTTGCATTGCCAATCGAACTAAAGAAAAAACCGATCCAAAATGTTGGAAATAACTTATCGTCTGTGCAAAGTTACGTACCGAAGTTCAAGAAAATTTAGCATCAATTAAGATTTAAAGTCATATAAATCTTGAAACTCGTTGATTCCTTTAAGAATGCGCTTCAAAGTCAACTGTTTATATAACTATAATATTTATCAAGTGCTAACAGAAGAAGGTGAAAAATTGTTCAACTCTAAACTGGAAATGTATAGAAATCAAAGAATGCTGTAAAAGCTCAATGAAACCTCATTATTATTGTGTACAAAATAAATTGCCAATTATACCTTTTAATGCATAAAATTAACGTTTCAATTAACTTTTTATCCTGCAGGTTATGAAGATGTTGATTGTTGTTGTCGCTTTATTTGCTCTCTGTTGGCTTCCATTGCAAACTTATAACCTACTTAAGGACACAATACCAGAGATTAATACGTAAGTATCTTGTATCAAAGTCTTGTAAGATTATTGGTGAAACATCATGTAAGCCTTGGAGTGAAAAAGCATATTCAATCCAGAATTTACTTGAAATGAAAAAGTTTTTCTTCTTTTGTTGAAACTTGTTCTCTCATTCAAGGATTGTAATACAAAAATGGATTGAAATGTTAAACCTTTTGCACATTTGTTAATTCCATTAATTTCAACTGTTAACATGATAATAGAATGAATTTTTTACTTCGTTTTCTCATTAATATTCAATTCTTAATTGGATTATTTTCGCCATTATTTTTAAATTCGTTAATTCTTCTCTTCTTCCAGATTTCGTTACATTAATGTCATTTGGTTTTGCTGTCATTGGTTAGCTATGAGCAATTCATCTGTTAATCCTTTCATCTACGCTATTTACAAGGTAACAATTGATCATTAATATCATTAGATAATCGTTTTTATCATTTTTTGTTCTGTCCATTCACAGATTTCATCTGATTCATCGCGCCAAGAATAACTTGTCTACAATTGAAGAGTCATCATGTCCGTCCTTGACTTGGAATTGATTAAAATTGATAATAATTCTTACTTGTTAAATAAGCCAATTTGTACAGTTAAATATTCAACAAAAGCATTAAAACAAGAAAATTGCTGATAATTATTATTACATGCAAAAATAAAAGTTCAGTTATTGAACGGAATTCATTGCATGAACATTTGTCCAAAATATGTTTATATTATATTAATATATTATAGAAGCTGTCGTTTCATGTCAAAAAGTTTAATTTCAATTTGGATTCAATTTCGTTGGGAAACGATGCATAGAAATTGAATTTGCTTAACAAGGCACGAGAGTAGTAATAAAGATACACAAGATACCCCATTCTCATTGATCTCTTATCGATTATATTAATAATTCATTATCTTAATCCATCCATCAATCAAATTGATCTACTCATTATGCAGAAATTTGCTGAAAAACTATTTTTATCAATCTGAATCTTTTTTTAGTAAATTAAATATGTCAGTAGTTGATTCTTCTGATTTCGTAAGATTTAAAAATAACTGATATGATAATATAACCTAGTTTTTGAGTATAAATTCAAAGTTTCATATTGAATTTTATTCATTCTTATTTGTGTCTTACTGAAGATGATTCAAAATTGTGCTGAGTTTATACCCATCATGCATTTAGTAGCTCATCCATCTGGATTCTATACTTATGATGGAATACCTTCAGTCAACCCGCAGAATCGTGTTATCATGGTTGAACTAAGTGAAGATGATACAGATAGAGAACTTACGCGAGAAGAAGAAGATATATTGGAAATGACAGTTCTTTCAGCTGTTGAAATTGATGAACCTGTTCAAACAGATGCTATTGGTGATGCTCAAAGACCCCTTACTGACCTTATCGAAGTGGATGGCGATGGCTTGTCTCGAATGAATCGAGTTTCACCTGTTGTCTTAGACGATGTCGATGATATTGAAGTAGATGATGGTGAATCAATTCAAAGAAATTCTGCAAATCACGCTGCAGTTGAAGCAATAGAGAACGATGATGTAACTGGCATTTTTCGAAATGAAACAGTGGGAATCAGATACGTTGCTGGTGGTCTTTCTGAAGACGAACGAATATCGATACAAATGGCTGCTCTCGACGGTGTTCCATTTGTTGAACGTAGAAGCATTGATCGTATTGAAGTAGATGATGCTGGTCGAAGTAATTATAATCGTGATTCATTGAGATCGGCGATAAGAAATGTAGTTGGTACAACTATCAATTACTTTGCGAATCACGTGGTTGCTCGCTTTCCACAGTATGTGACTATTGAAAGTCGTCTTGCTACTTTTAAAGATTGGCCGAATCCAGCTATTACACCATTAGAATTGGCTGAAGCTGGTTTTTTCTATTCAGGACAATCTGATCTTGTTACTTGTTTCCACTGTGCTAATTCACTTTTGGAATGGATAAAAAACGATAATGCTTGGGTTAATCATGCACTTTTTTCACCTTGTTGTACTTTTATATACATCATGTGTGGGGTACGATTTATTGAATCAGTCACAGGTAGAAATGATTCTGTTAGACCTGTAATCACAAAAGTAGAACCAGCAAACAGTAGATATACTTGTAAAGTTTGTCTGGAAAAGGAAGTAGGCTGTTGTTTCTATCCTTGTGATCATGCAGTAACATGCATAGATTGTACCCCAGGTGTCGCTACTTGTCCTTTGTGTCGTTCTTTTGTAGCAGGAGTATTTAGACTTAAGTTCATTGATTAAAAATTTTATTTACCATGAGATTCTTGCAAGAGAACATTGAAGTTGTCAATCTGGTCACTTGCTTTAAATTGAATTCAAAACTTTGTAGAAAACAAATAAAAGATACTTTTCAAGGTATAAAGTATAAAAAATCATTTCCGGGAGGTGTGCTTAAGTATCCTGATGGGTGTCTGCTTGTCTTTGACTCTGGAAGAATCAATGTGACTGGTGTTCAAAATATTGCGACTGCAAGTGTTTTAATTGATCGATTTTGTGCTAAGTACCCTCAAGATCTAAAGTTCACTTCTTTCAAAATAGTTAACATCACTGTTTGCACAGAGATAATTGGTGATTTTGACTATAATAAACTATTGTTACACCCAAGAAGCACTTACGAACCAGAGTTATTTCCAGGTATACACCTGAAGCTGGACGATTCAAACGTTATTTACATAATTTTTTGGTCTGGAAAAGTTATAATAACAGGATTGAAGGACTATAATTCAATTTGGCATTATTGCGATGAATTTGACTATAATATAAGACTGAAGTCAATATAAAGATAAAGGTTTTAAAATTTTTCAGTAAAATTTATACAATGGAAATGTCTCCGGCTGATCAACATAGAATGTGGTACAAAAAAGTACTCTTTTCTGTACAATTGATGGTATTGGTTGCCATGCTTATAACAGCCATAGCTAATATTGTTTTGAAAACTGGTAATTTACCACTCTGGACCGCTGTACTCGGATCTTCTCTTGGATATCTGCTACCAAACCCAAGACTAGGATCTTTCAAGTCTGAAACCCCGATACAAACTCCTTCTAATCCATCATCAGTTGTAATTTGAAAATCTCAATATAAATAATAAAAACAATTTATTGAAGTAAATGTCTGTCTCTATTTATTTGAAACACCCTTTTACAATGTTAATAGCAGGACCAACCGGTTCTGGTAAAACTTATTTCATCAGGGACATGATCAACAAAGCAGCATATATTTGTGATCCACCACCAAAGTCTATTACTTATCTTTATGGAGAGTATCAAAAAGTGTTCAATTCAATGAATGCTGTGAAATTTATCGAAGGACTACAAGAAGAAGTGATTAATGAACTCGGTAATGATGAACCACAGTGGGTAGTTATAGACGATTTAATGTCAGAGGCAGTGAATCAAACTTTTGTTAGTAACTTGTTTACCAAAGGGTCTCATCATAGAAATATTTCAGTAATTTTGATTACCCAAAACTTTTTTATGAAAGGAAAAGAGAGTCGAAACATAAGTCTCAATAGTCAATATGTTGTATGTTTTAAAAACCCTCGGGATAAATCTATGATTACAAACATAGGACGTCAAATGTTTCCGACGAAAATAAAGAAATTTCAAGGTGTCTATGAAGATGCAACTCAGGGTCCATATTCATATCTTTTTATTGATCTTAAACCTGATACACCTGAAAAAATAAGGTTATTAACGAATGTTTTCAATGAACATGATAAACCCATGTATACGTATGTGATATAAATTATATAAAGGTCAAATAATTTTTGTATACAACATAAATGTCGATTGAAGGTGTTAAAAAGTGTCTTCCGACATTAAAAAAGCTTGCTAAAGCCAAGACTAGAAAACAAAGAGAAAGACTTTTAGCTGAAGCAAAATCTTGCATTTACTACGCAATTTCTGAAATAAGTAAAAATACCCTCAACGGACATATACCAATTCAAGACTTATCTCGAACGAAACTTGAACCTTACAAATTTGAACTTAGAAAACTTTCAAGAAAAAGTATCCCCCTCAAGAAGAGAAAAGAAATTATTTTACAAAGCGGCGGTGCATTTTTACCTGCATTACTTTGGCCAGCAATATCTTATTTAGGAGGAAAGTTGGCTGATAAATTTATACAATGAATGTAATCAATAAGATGGTTGTGATTCCAGAAAAAGAATATAATCTCCTCAAAAGTGATAGTAATATTGTTGAAAATGTGCCTGCTATTGAGGAAGTGTCAAAAGTGTCGAAAATTGAAGAAGATAAAACTGATTCTAAAATTGATTTGAATGAATATAAAGAAAGCTTCAAAAGAGCGGTTCAAAAGTATGAAAATAAATTATCTAAAAGACCTAAAAAGGTTAACAAAGTTGTGAAATGTCAGACAATCAATTGGACCAACGTGAAGAACTTTTGAATCAACTTTATTATGACTTGGATAGTCATGGTAGTTTCGGAGGTGCTAAAAGACTTTTCAGAGTTGCGAAGGAGCATGACCCATCGATTGAATACAATGATGTAAAACAATGGTTGATGAAGCAAGAAACGTATACAAACTTTCGGATACGACGGAAAAAATTTCAAAGACTAGCTGTATTGGTTGATAGAATCGATGAGCAATGGCAAGCAGATCTTATGGACATGTCCTATTGGTCAGGGCAAAACGATGGAGTCAATCATTTGCTTGTTGTGATTGATATACTGAGTAGATTTGCATGGGTACAACCGTGTAGAGATAAAGCAGCACCCACAATCATAAATGCTTTTTCTGAAATTTTTGCTTCTGGAAGAAAGCCTGAAAAACTACAAACGGACCAAGGACGAGAATTCAACAATAACAGGTTCAAATTTTTTTGCACGTCTCAGGGTGTACATTATTTCACCACAACTGACGCTTCAATAAAATGTGCTTTAGCTGAACGTTTAATACGAACATTACGTTCTCGTATATACCGTTTCATTTACCATAAACATACACATCGTTACATTGATGACTTACAAAACATTGTTGATAATTACAACAACTCTTACCACAGAACTATTAAGACAACTCCAAACTCTGTAACACAAGATAATCAACAATCTATCGTGCAAACTATTCAGAGATCAATAAAAAATGAAGAGAATAAAAAGAAAACTTTCAATGAAAATGACTTTGTTAAAATTCCATTAAATACTGGCAATTTCGAAAAAGATGCAGTACAGAAATGGACTGATGAAGTGTTCAAAGTTTCAGGGGTTAAAGAAACGCCTCAAAAAGTCATCTATGAATTGAAAGATTTACAAGGTGAAAATATATCATCAATTTTTTATCCTGAAGAATTACAAAAGGTTGATTTTGACCCTAATAAAGCGCGCAGAGTTGAAAAGATAATTCGGAGAGTTTATGACAGATCACGAAGACAATATAAGTACTTAGTCAAGTGGGAAGGCTGGCCAAGGAAATTCAATAGTTGGATATCCGATATCACTCTTGCAAATGACAACAATTAACTTTACAATTGACCTAGTGTCAAATGGGTCTACAGACATCTTTCCAGAAAATACATTATCAAAATTTCAAAATCAAATTGATCCTGCATTGGAACTTGATGGTGATTGGGAAGTTGCATTAACAGAAATTTATTTTCCCATCAAATTTGCTATTGATATATCAGAGAAAATGCAAGTTAATTTTAACCTTTTGTATACAAAGTTCACCTTTTACCCAAATATCGACTTGAGAAAGGTATACCCTCCTGACAAAAAGTGGATACAATATGCGACTGCGGGTGGTGGTTATGAGTCATCTGTTGATATTTTTCCAGATGAACCTGTGAATGCGATATTAGATAAACTCAACACTGCAATGATGGCAAATTTGAAAAGTCTCAACTCTGAACTTGTTTTCGATCCCTATCCTAAATTCGTTTGCGAAAATGGGAAAACAATCTTCTATCCTGGTCTTCTCACTACAATAGAGGATAAAGCTACCCCGCTTAATGTTTATTTAAATGGTCCTGTTGATGAGATAAAAGCAAAATACAAAAAAGATTATAACATTGATTTAGAAGAGATAGGCACGCTGTCAACTAAAGAGGATATGTTAACGTTGAGACATTATTACAAAAACATACTTATTGATGAAATGAACGTTTTTAATGCTTTAAGTGGAGAGAAAACTGAGAAATACAAAGAAATTATATCTACTGTAGTTGTTCCGCAATTTTCAGACGGCAAATTAATGGAATATTTAGGCTTTCCTCCATCAGCTGATGCTTTAATCGATAATATTGACCCATTTAAACAGCAAGTTGAAGTGACAACACCTCTTTATCACAAAAACAATGTCAATCTGATGTACGTTTATACTGATATCATACGTGATCATGCGGTTGGAGGAACTAAAGCACCTGTATTGAGAGCAGTACCACTGACGACTGGTATCTATCAAGGAATCGGTTATTGTACATTTGAGCATCGAATATATTATCCAGTGCGGAAAAACCATATTGAAAATATTGCGATTTATTGCTTGGATGATACTGGAGAGCAGATTAAATTTGCAAACATTGGAAGAGTTTTTGTAAGCTTAGATTTTCGTAAAAAGAATTAATATAAAGAAAACAATGTATTTAAATGATGAATTTATTAAAATGATTCAAAGAAAAACTTACTGTCCTAAAGATAGTGATTTCAATGACTATTTTGCACATCAAGTCGGTTCTGGATTCGGTGACATTAGAATAGTCAGAGGTCCTAGGTATCAAAGAGGGTATGGTTTCGGTAGCTTCTTCTCTCGCTTAGCTATGCCTGTTATAAGGTATTTGGGCAAAGAAGCTCTGAATAAAGGAGTCAGTATCGGTAAGCGTGTAGTACAAGACCCTCAAATTCAACAAGCTTTTAAAGATAGTGTTAAAGATTTGGCAAATAAAGGACTAGCTAAAATTAAGGAAAAGGTTGTAACGCAAGAAGGAAGTGGACGAAAAAGATTATATAAAAGGAGACAAAAGTCTAAACCTCAACAATCTTTACGTAAAGTGAAGAAGCACACTCTGAAAAGAGTGAGCAAAAAGAAAGGAATCAAAAAGAGGAGAGTAATAAGAAAACAACGAGATATTTTCAAATAATGGAGTATATACATGCATCTTCGTCTCCAGCTACTATTGCTGAGCTTGATTTATTTAAATTTCCGCCAACACAGACTGTCATTGAAAGTATCTATGACACAGAATACAGACCGGTAGGATCGATTGCGAAAGCTAATGTATTTGAATTCATAGTACCAGCTTCTGAACACTACACTGACCTCTCTGCATCGTATTTGTATGCAAAAATGAAGATTGATGTACCCACAGGAAAAAGTGTTACACCCACAAATAATTTCGCTGCCTCACTATTTGAACAACTTGATGTTTATCTTGGAAGTGTAAATATCACACCTGGAAATAGTTTATACCACTATCAGTCCTACATTGATGACATATTTTTCAAGTATAAATCACCCCTTGATGATTGTCAAATGATTAATGATACAGAATCCTCAAGATCTGATAGAATCAAAGATAAAAAAGAATTTGACATTATAATACCTATTCACGCCCCAATGTTTCAACAAGAAAAATTTTTGATTGATAATGTGCCCATTTCATTACGATTCAAATGTGCACCGCAGACTTTTGGATTGACCAGCGCAACAGATGTAACTCCGCTGAGCGTAGAGTTTACACAGCTTTCTCTTTTCATAAGAAGAGTTAAATTGTATGCTCCAGTACAAATGGCAATCACTTCACAATTGGAAAAGAGCCCGGCAAAGTATTACTTTCAAAGAAATGAAGTCAAATCATTTCATCTACCAAAAGACTTTGCTGCAAATAGCATTGACAATGTATACAATGGACAGTTACCACGGAAAATTATTGTTGGTTTTGTTTCTGATGATGCATTCAATGCGAAATTGGCTAAAGATTCTTTCAATTTTGAACATAAAAATCTGCAAAGTGCTACGATTGTCGTAAATGGAACTAAAATACCGAGTACACCTTATCAGCCAGATTTCAAAAATAAATTATTCATGAGAGAATACTACAATGTTTTTCGCTCAATGAATCAAGATAATGGTTTACCTAAAATCAATCTAAAATATCAAAATTATTCTGATAAATATCCGCTTCTAGTTTTTGATTTAACCGATGATGGCACTCTCGCAAGTGATTCAGGAGTATTGTCTATGATCAAGAGAGGTAATGTGCGCATGGATATTCAATTTTCTTCTGCTCTTAGTGAAGGAATGCATATGCTGGTGTTTGCTATATATGATAGCGTTTTACAAATTGATGCAGCACGCAATATTGTCACTGACTACTGATGGCACTAACATCATTAGATATACAAAATCATCTCGCTAGATACAAAAGCTTCAAAGGAGTATACGCAATCGATAAAATTCCACTTACCTTAGTCCCGAAACCATTCGGAATAGTAATCAACCTCGATCCGAGCTGGAAATCCGGTTCCCATTGGACAGCTCTATTTGTACCTGAGCATGGAAATGGTACTTACTTTGATTCCTATGGACAACCTCCTCCTGGAAATGTAAAGACCTTTCTAGAAAGAAACTGTAAAAACTATGGTTATGAGTGGAATAATGCTGTTTTCCAAGGTGATTTATCGATCAAATGTGGATATTTTTGTATTACCTTCTTGAAAACCTGTTTTACAGGCTCTGACTTACCTTTTATGAAATGTAAAACTGATTACAATGAAAATATAATAAAATCTTTTTATTGAAAAAATAAAAGAGTCTAAATGATTAAAATGAGGTTTAATGAATACAAGCGTCAATATATATAAATCAAATAAATAAATGGACTACAACATATTTGATATCATTTCGGAAATGTCATCCATCTCCTCATCAATTGTTTGTGCAGGCATTTCATCATACCCTGCAGTCCATCCTGGATCCATTTCATTTTTATCTTCTTTATCTTTACCTATTTCATCTTTTTTGTCATGTATTTCTGCTTCTTCATCATTCCAATCACCAAAATCAAATGTTCCATCAGTATTCATTGGTGCAACTATCGGTTCATGGTTTGGCGATCGGTTACCATCCCAACTTTTCGCAGTTGCAGCAAAAAGACTCTCGATGAACATTCTTTTAACTAACTCCAACACCACTGCATAGTTAAGAGGCTTCCTCCTAGAAACAAGATGGATTTTTGTTTCTTGCATTTTGCGTCGTCGGACTTCCCTTTGAGCACGTGCTTTAGCGTTGTATCTGGCCATCTGCAAAGAAAGAAAAGAAATTAATTAATAAAATCAAATAAAAAGAAAAATGATTTGAGAATATGTGAAATAGCTAGGTATAATTAAAATATTTGAATTATGTGTAAAGATTTTTAATTAAAATGTTTAAATAAAAAGTTAGTAGAGATTACATTAAATAGAAAATACAAATACAGAAAAAATGTATTGGTTTAATCATGAGATAAACTTTTTTTGTGCCAAGAGATACTCCACAACAGTGTTTATCATTTGCTCAGTAGTTAATTGAATGGGTAGTGTTTCTCCTCTCGCTTTTTTAGTTAATCTGGCTTGTTCCAAGAAATATTGCATAAAATGCTCGTTTTTTCGTTTTTTTCTACCAATACCGCTATTGCATGGTTGTTCTTCTCTCGTCCTGTTATAAATTTGATTCTTTTTCTCATAATTTTTCCAATTTTCCAACCAAATACACACGTTTGATATTTCGCTTCTCAGCTTTGCGTGCAAGAAAATAACCTCCCTATTACCAATATCAGCAGCTACTCTTTTGAAATAAGCTTTTGTTTTTTCTGACCATCGCTCATCATGATGCAATTCCAGAAATAAACTTTTCATTTGTTTCAATTTCTGTCCTTCAATGAAAGTAAGCTGTATCCATTCCTTTGCCAAAGTCAAGAACAATTTATCAAAGTCAAATTTAGCAGCTTGAACTTTGAAGAAGAGTGTAATTTGTTCACCACTTGGAGCCATGATAGCTGAATACGATAAAGAAAAATATAATGATTAAATATGAGGCAGTGTAAAGATTTTGAAAGGGTGGATGACAGACAGATCATGTTTGAATAAAAAGATGTTGAATAAGTTTAGATAATAATTAAAATTACCTTTCTGGTATTTTTATTCTGTAATTCTATAATGACCATATGCTAAAGTGCTAACTGCATCATTCAAAATGTATCTCTTGTCATCAAGTGGAGAAAAAGATAGTTTATTTATCTCTACTGAAGAAATAGAATGGTGTCTACTCTGTAATCTAAAGTTTTTATGCTTCGATAAAACATTTTCGAAAAGACAATCCTTATAATCCTCAATTGAAATGACATTTTTAACTATTGCCTTTTGCACTCCTTTAGCAGTCATTTTTGAATTTGTACCATACTTGATAGCATAAAGTTTAGCTTTTATTGCAATTACTTCATCAATTATTTGTCCGTTCATTTCATCTTTCAAATATCCTAGTTTCTTTTTGTTTTTCATGTTGTACAAAAAGTGTTCTTGTGGGTAATCAGAAAAATCCATAAGGTAATCAAACTCTTTCAAGTCTTTATATAAATCTTGCGTTTGGATTTTGTAAATAAAACTGTCAGTGTCAGTGTAGATGAGAGATAATTTCGATCCATATTTAGGTAAAAAATGATCATAATGTAGTTTATACATATGTAACTTTGATAGATCTAAGACTGTGAACCCAAGATAAATTGGTTTGTCAAAAACAACTTCAAATTTCCTTAGTTTCATGATTGCGATATTGTTGTCAAGGATATAAAATTGATCAAACATTGGTTTCCTTATTTGTTGCTGAGCCTGTTTTCCATTTGTTGCAACCACAACCTTACTATGTTTACGTTTATCTTCAATACTTTTACCATACAAAGAATTCACCATCAGTTTCCAAAAATCTTTCACAAATTGAGACGTTGCTGCCTTTCTGTTTTCTGTGCACATCTCGATGTATGTTTTCAACCAAGCTTTCTGTTCAAATTGAATTATGCGGTGTACTTTTTTCAGAATCAAACCTTTTTCAATATAAAATTTAAGATTACATTCATGAACAACATAATTTCTTTTGTTCATTAAATTCGGTACCAACTTTTGAGTTTTATACCGCTTCATTCCAGCAGATTCAAGAATTGAAACAATTTCTTTTTGATAACTACTCAACTGATCATCATCAATTGTTATTTTCTCAGGGGCTAACGGATAATCATTATGTAAATCGTGTAGAGTAGAGGGATAATCCAAATCAACTTCTAATACATATCCTATTTCTCGCGTTGTGTTAGATTCAAGAATTGATGAAATCACATCTTCAAATTGTGTTTCAGGAACCCATTCAAATTTTCCACATGGTAAAATATCAGACAGTGCATAACCATACAAGTTATTAACATCAAGATATGTAATGAATGATTCAGCTTCATTCTCCTTGAATGTTTCAGAAAACTTGTTATTTGCTAGACAGTAGCGCAGCATTGAACATGATATTCCTCCTCGAATTCCACTTTCAAACATTAAAATCATGTCAATATCTGTCAAAAGATCCAATTCAGTTTGTGTTAGCTTAAGTGATGCATCCCATGTTAGTCCAGGCGTTGAAAAATAATGACAAGGATCAAGACCGAATTGCTCTAAACTTGTTGCTCTAAAGTTTTGAAAGACTGATGCTAGTAATAAAACATCAACTTTCAAGTAAATGTCATGAAAATCTCCCAAGTTTTTACAATTGAAGTGACTCCAGATGCTTGTTAATCTTTTATAGGTATCCGTGTCAATAGTTTTGAGTGATAGACTTGAGTAAAATGCTTCTCTCGGGGGTAAACTTTTTTCTTCAAACTTTTCCCATGAATCCATATATTCATAAGGTAAACGTCCTTTTGAGAACAAAAACGGCAAGTCATCAGTTGGAAACATTTGTTTTAAAAATTTTGTTTTCTCATCGTCAGACAAGTTGTTTGCTAATGCATCCAAACTTGAGAGAAGAAAGGCGAGACTGTCTAGAAATAGAAAATCATCCATTATGATTGCTATATATTTTTCAGTATTTTGTGGTATGACATGAATCTTTGACACCAAATTTGTCTTTAATCCACTGATTATTATATGTGCATCATATCCTTTTAAATTATGAAAAACTACAGGTATTTTTTGCGGTAAACGCATCATAAGATTGCATTGATTATGTGCAGCTCCCCGAAACTTTCCAGTTAGGTGACAATGATCCAAAACTTTGTCAGCGAATAATTCTTTTCCACACACGTAACAGTCAGTTGCCTTTGCATAAGCTTCTCTTTCGAAATCGGTTAATGAAACGGGTTTTCTATTTCTATCCAAATGTTGATTGAGAATGATTCTCAAGTGGAACAATGTTTTGAAAAATTTCTCACAAACATTTGTTCCGCGATAAAATTTGTTGAACAGAATTTCATCTCTCCAGTCTACGGCAACTAATCCAAAAGAACATGCTTCATGCTTCTGGTACTCAAATGTATTTTTCGTAAGAGCCTTTTCTGATTTTACCAATAGGGCTTCAAAATCAGCGTAGATAACATAAGGATAAGCAATTGTTTTGTCCAGTCTTCTAAATTTACATTTTGTAGGTATTTTTCCTGTACCAGGCAGAATAGCTCTTTGCGGAGCTTTCTGGTAACACTCACGCTCATGATCTTTGAGCCTATCAGAGTTTCTGAATCCTGACAAACATGCGTAACAATAAAAACGCTCCCATGATTTACCACTTTTTATGAAGGCGTGAAAGTTTGAAATACAGTAGTAATGGTTCTTGTAAAAGAATAAGTTTGCATGTTTCTTTTGTTGACTTCGATTGATTTTTAACGGCACCACTTTTTCACTTTCATCAGGTGACAGCGTGTAAACATTAATTGATATGTTGTTTCGTCTTTCAAAGGTGTTGATTGCAGATAATGGTGTATTGCTATCAATATTACGAAAATCATATAGATGAGCAAAATTTTTGTAAAGCGTTATTCTACCTTTAGTCTTGGTATTTATTGGATGCAAAGCTATAAGGATTGAATACTTGAAACAGTCTTTACTACAAAGTGGTGAAATCAAGCTTTTCTTTTGTTTCAATGAAGGTGGTAGTTTGACGGATGCACATCCACCACTGTGCTCTTTAAGTTTACCAATCCGAATTTCTAATACTTTAACAGTCTGTAGTACCCATCCACTTCCGCGTTGAGTGAATTGATCTATTGATAGTTCTACCTCTTCCATCCATTCTTTTACCAACTCTTCGAAATTGATCATGTTAGTAAGACGATGCATTTGTGATACTTTATAGATTTCTGTTGTGTCGGTGTCACCATCAGGCTTTTGCTTTATGAATTTCAATAAAAGACAGGATTGAACTTTTATCGATCCAAGTTTTTCTATTACATACTGCAGTAAAGATCTTATATTTTCCTTTTCTCCTCGTAACATGTTTTCAATTGAAGTCCAATTATTTACTTTGATGTAAATAGCAAGCGTATTTCCATATCCAGTTTTATGCAGCTTGAATGTGGCATGATCTTTAAGCTTCAATGACTGATCTTGCTTGCACGTACTTAGATGATTCAGAAAAGATAAGCGGTTAAAATTTTGTTTACAATTTTTACAGCTTACTTTTACACATTTTGTTTTGTGTATAAGTAAATTTTTATGTTTTGAAAACTTTTCGCCACATTTATTGCACTGAAACATTTTACAATATGAACATCAAACCGAAAAACTTTCTCTTTAAATAAGAATTCAGATTGTAAAGGCGTTTTCTTGAGCTCTCTATTTTTATTTATCAGGAATATCTTTAATATAATAATAATAAGAAAAAAAAAATTTAAAGAAAAGCAATAATAATTATCAATTCATTGATAACTATTATTGCTTTTATTATGATTGTATGAGCAACGTAATCAAATGCCAGACGATCCAAAACCACGTTCACCTCTATTATCAGCATGCTCTTCCAGTGGAGTGCCTGGTAATTTTGAAAGTTCAACCAAATGAGGAATTTCCGCTTTTTCTATAATCATCTGTGCTATCCGCATTCCTTTTTTGATTATCAAGTTGTTTTCGGAAAAATTTTGCAAAATTACTTTGATTTCCCCAGTATAATCAGGATCAATCACTCCTCCTTGAACAACAATACCTTTGGAAGCAAGCCCAGAACGGGAAGCAAGTCTAACATAAGTTCCATCAGGTGGTTTTACCGTGATTCCTGTTTTGACGACCGCAATCTTTTGTGGTTGTAAAACCAAATCTTCATAAGAACTCAAATCAAATCCAATTGATCTTGCGGTTGCCCTATCTGGAGTAGTTACATCTGGATAACACTTGGTAAAGTACAAAGCTGAAATCATTTTTGAAGTGATTTTAAAGAAAAGAAACTGTTCTTTATATACTTATTTGCTCTCTCAAGTCATGCGCACTTATCAATAACATTTGAATGATAGAACAAGGCGTTTTTGAGAGCTCTTTTTTATTTTTTATTTTTTATAAGAATGCAATATGATAATATAAAGATAAGCATAAAGGGTTGCAACATTATAATTATGGTAAATTAGATTTAAAAATAAAGGGTTAAAAATAAAGTAATAATGAGATAAAGATAAAAATAATTTTGATTGATAAATCAATCATGAGTAAAAAACTCATTACTCATAAATGACTTGACACATGGCTGAAGCAATACCATCCGCAACTGAATGTGAAATCAATTTAATCATTTCCTCTCGAGAAAGTTCCATCTTTGATTCTTTATATTCCGTTTTGATCTCAACGGGTAGACCTTCTTCTGCTGTGACTGATCCAAAAATGCGCCGTCCATTGTAGTGAGAAAAGGTTTGACTTTTCTCAATATTGTCCAAAACCATTTCCAATTTTTGTTTGAATTTTGCATATTCAGCATACTTGAGGAACAGACCTTCTTTCGTTGGTATCAATAACTTGTTTCCTTTCCATTGTCCTTCTTTTCTGCGCCGAATATCCACAAACATGTTGCCTTGAGATGTTTTAGATTTTTGGATAGTAATCCACAATTGAGGAGACACTTCAACGCTTAACAACTGTTCAAAACCATCTGTAAAGGATCCACGCTTGAAATTTTTTTTGTTGCTTGATGAAGAATTACTTCCATTTGAGTCGAGTTGACTCACTCATCAAGACTCACTTTGAAAATTGACTCCACCTTCCACGATGATTGATCTTCTGAATTTGTGTCAGTTTATTTTTATCAAATTTGCGTGATTATTTTGAAAATTAGGTTAAACTCATTATCTTTTACTTCGGGAATAAGATAATCAATCATATAAAATATTTCCTTGGTTGTAGTTTCCGCTGCATAATCAAACAACTGCTGTCTTAAAACGTCAATCGAATCATATTTATAAGCGTATTCATCGAAATTTATTCCGAAAAAATCGAGTGCGTAAGCAAGTTCAATTTTCTCATCAATATTCAAGTTGTTGTGAACAAGAATACTTGTCGAGAAGAAAGATAAAATTATATCACTATACTTCTCGTCAATTCTAGCTGTAAAAGATAGAGAATTTAGAATTTCACTATCAAATTGTGTAAAACTTACCCTTCAAAATGAAATTATTACCAACTGATCTTTTTGCTGGTCCAATAAGTGAACCTTTCAAGCTTTTAGTGAACTTGTTGTTGCTAAATTTTGAATTCAAGTGATGCAGGAAGGATGCGTTGAGAATCCTGAACTTAACATCATCCAACCATAATATAACTTCAACTGACTTTTGAAGTGAACTATTTACTATTTTGCTCATGTTGTCTGCAGAGTTAAGTTTTCTAATGAGAAGCTTTCTTCATGATCATTCTCATTTATACATACCACATATCGACCGAGTGAAAAATAGAGAGAAAAAAAAAATTACTAATAAATAATAATGTATAAAAGGATGTAGAAGAAGAGAAAAGAAGATAATACATAAATCTTTTCATTAATTGGCATCTTTAGAGTACAAATGAAATTCGAGCAAGATCATCCTAACGACACATACTCTTGTAAATTAATGAATTCATTTTCTTTCATCGACCTAATGTGTTTTTTCACCTCCACCATCAAAATCTGCAAGCCCATTCGCCAAGAGATGATAGTCGCGCAGCTTTTGCAACCATGAGATAAACGTTCTTCTAGATTGACCATACAACAATCCAGATGGATGGTCCATATGTTCCATCATCGTTATTAGTTTCTTTGAGTAAGGACCCCGTCTTCTAGTGAATTGTTTCGGCCTACGACTTCTTAGATTATATCTGCTCATTGTTGCTATCAAGATTGTAAGAGAAGAAAAGAAAAAAAACATTAAAACATGCATAAAGTTAAGAAGATTTAGGATAAAGAAGAAATTAAATAAATGATAAGTAAGTAGTTGAGTAATTTAAGAGATAGCTAAATGAAAGATAAATACCTAGGGTGTGATACAAACAATCCTCATTCCAATTGCTGAGCGACAAACAGGACATAATAACATGTTTTTCTGTTTTCACCTTTCATTGCATGCAACGCATGCCACCAAATGGTTACAAGGAGAGTATAAAACTTTCCGCGGCTCAACTAAACACACAACACAATTGTTCCTGTCGTTTTCATATTTGCTCGCTGTTAAAAATGGACAACCAGGATGTTGAGTCGTGTATTTTGAATGTTGGAAAGAGAAAGTTCGATTTTCTCTCATTTGAAATAGCTGGTAGACTTTATTTGGATTAACCATCTGCTTGGATGTGACACTTTTGACAATTGTGTTGGTGCTTTGTTTCTCCAATCGAAAGATTTTGATTAAAGTTTGCTGGTAGTTGCACTCTATCCTTCTTGGTACACAATAATAGGCGAATCGAGAAGCAACATCGTACCAAACTTTCAATCCTAATTCTTCATGTTTTAAGTAAGCGCAGTTTAAACTGAAAGTACAATGGAGGTCAACAATGTTTAAATCTGCTAAAGATGTAGGTATGTGCAAGCCACAGCAGAAGCAAACGAAAAAAGCTTTATCATCCGATAGATAAAAGCCATCATATACCGCTGAATAAACTTTACTTCGCTTTAAATCGAACCCGGAAAAAGAATCAAATCTGTTTTCCAAAAACTTCATTCTCATGAATTTTTTAAGAGTTTGAAGAGCTTCAGGGCATGACCAGTTCTCAATGCTTGGAGTCAGCATATTGACTGTATGTAATAAAAACAATTTTGATTAATGTAAAATATATTTTATTAATTTTTCATGATTATATCAATTGAATTAGATTCAACTTCGATTTCTGATTTAATTTTTTTCATCAAACATGAATGCTCTTTACATTTGCTCATATTGAGTCTTTTGAATTTACAATTTAAAATCCAATCAGTGATTTGTTTCACTCGTGGACATTTGTTTTCATTATTAAAGATACATAAATTTGTTTTATTTAGAGTATGATTTTTAACAGTATTAATTATTTTTTTCCTATCGATTTCTTTTATTTTCCTGATTTTAGTACAGGATTTACAATGAATGGTTTTAATTTCAAGTTTTTTATGTAATTTTTTTAAACAGTTTACATATTTTGAAGCTTTGCATTGATTGTTTGTGCTTTCGGTAGCACAGGCTTCATTTGTTGGTATTTTCAATACCGTAAAACTAATTTTTGATTGTTGATGTTTCCAAAAAGCATCATCTTTTGAAGGAATTCTTTGACCCTTTCCAACCGAAGGTGTTACAAAAGGAACTTTCCCAGCAATTATTTTCATTACTATAATAGCGAAATGAAAAAGAATGAATCAAAACGAAATAAAACTATAAATAAATGCAATTTAATCAGTTAGGCAGATAAGATAGAATTGGTGCAACAATTGAACTTGGAAATTCAGATAAAATGTTGAAGAATAATCTTCTAGATACAAAAATATTCTTTTCATCATCGATTAAAGATATGCAAGCAAGTATACTATGCACATGACATTCAGGAATCAATGATAAAATACTAAAAAAATCAAAGATTGAAATTTTGATGTCAGCAAAGTTAATCGGCTCCTCATATTCAATAGCACATTCATCATTTGTTTGCATTGTTTCATCAGCCTGAACCTCAACATTTGAACATCTGATAAATTTGAGGGAAGTTGGAGATGAACCAGCAGTAACTCGATACATTTCTAAAACAAAACAAAAAACAAAATGAACAAAATGAGTAAGAAATGTCATTTTTTCCGAGTTAATGTTGAGTCAAAACACAATTCTAATCCCAAAATCAAAAATCAAAGTAAAACTCAAAGTCAAACTCAAGGTCAAACTCAATAATAATCTGAAAGTCACTTTAAGCCACTAGATACAGATTCAAGACACTTACATACAATCAGTCCAACAAAAGCTATGTAAAACTTGGAAAAAAAAAATTTGACCTTGAAAAAGACCTGCGTGACCTTGAAAAATGGAAAGATAATTTTGAGTTGATAATTTATTATCAAAGAAGTACACCTTTATCTCTTACTGTTTTCAAGTTATAAGCCAAAAAAAATCGAGTTTATCATAGTCGAATTTGTCACAAAAGGATAACTTTTCAATGGTAAAAGCTAGGTAAAATTAATGAATACAAAAGTTGTGTATCTCAATCAGACAAATCCAACGCACTTTAGTGCGAAAAGAACAAGCGAGTAATAAAAAAGTTATGAGCAATTGAAAAAATGCAGGGTTAAAACTCGATTTTCCCATAGAAGGAGTGATTTTTTCGAATTTTTTTCAATGGCCAACTTCTTCAGACCGGAGGTCTGAGAAAGTTGGGCTACCCATAATAGGCCTAAAATAGTCAAGGATACTTTTTACAGAAGTCATTTATCTATGACCATTGATTTTTTATGAGCTTTCATCAATTTTAATGCTCAAATTTGATAATTAAAGCTAATTTCGATGTAAAAGTCAAAGACAATTCTTAAGTGGTTCACAATGACAATAGTCATGTTAAAAGGCAATCAAAAGCTAATCTCAATGTAAAAGACAATGACCATATTAAAAGGTAATATCAATACTTGAGCCAATCTTAATCATACAATTGATTTATAGTTAATCTTAGAGGAAACTTAAGTCAATCTTAATGTAAAACAAAGGTTAATCAAAAAGTCGGGTTTAAAGCCAATGTTGAATTCAGTTACGATTCAATCTCAATAGAAGATAATCTTAATCACAAAAAGTTCAAAGTAAATCACAAACACAGTCCTAAGTTAATCGTGGTGTAAAGCTAATCTTAATTTTGAATTCAATGGCGTTCACTTCTCACTAAAGCTAATTAGAAAGCTAATCTCAATAGTAAGACAATGTTAAAGGCTATCGCATTCCTTAAGTTAATGTTAAAGCTAATACCATTGGTAAGTCAATGGTAAAGGTTATCTCAAAGACAATTTCAAATTCAATCTTGAAGTCGAGCTAATCTTAATGTCCAGTCAATCTTGAAGCAAAACTAAAAGGCTTATCTCAATCTCAACTCCATCTTAGTCGTAAAATCAATCTTTCGCAATCTTAACTCAATCTTGAACCGTTCTCAATGTCAACGAAAGGATAATAAAAGTCAATCTTTGATACAGTTACACAGCAATCTCAACGTATAGTTAATCTTTAGCATAATGTAATTGAGAATTGAATCCTAAATATACCTCTACAACAATCATAATATTAATATATAGATAATCTACAGCACAAAGTTAATTGAGAATTCAATCTTAAATTTGACAATCGTAATGTATAGCTAATTTACAGCATAAAGTTAAGTTAGAAGTCAAACTTAATGTAGAGGTAATCTTTATGATAAAGATAATTTAGAAGTTAATCGCAATGAATATATCAATTCAACTTACTTTTGGTTACGATTGAATAGATGGTACCAAAGTAATTGATTGCTTGTTTGACCAGAAGGTTGGTTTTCACGTAATGAATGATCAATGTATCAGATCGCGTATGAGATGGTAGAAATGTGTAATCCTAGTTTTAGAGATGTACAAATTGCTGAACAGAAAGAAAAAAAAAACAAATTATTGAACGAAAGTTAATTTCAAAATCACAAATCTGACATAAAGTAATCCGTTAGTTAAGCTCAAGACAAGATTGTATCAATTTTAACTTACATTGGTTATGCTGAATAAGATGATTATGGTGAAGATTGCTGGCGTAATGAATGAATGGTTGTTTGATGATATTAGATGCTGGATTTCACTATGCTAAGTTGATGATTCATGAAGGACACAATATTGGTAAAAGAGAAAAAGGAAATTGTGGAACTACAGTTAATTTAAAAGTACAAATTTCACAAAGTAAACCTTTAGTTGATCTCAAAACAATATTGTATCAATAGCAACTTACATTGGTTATGATGAATAAGATCGTTATGATAAAGATTGCTGGCTGTCGTGATGAATGAATGGTTGTTTGATGATACTAGATGCTGGATCTTACTATGCCTAGTTGACGAATCATGAAGCACACAAAATTGTCGAAAAGAAAAAACAGATTATTGAGAGATGTTTTCCGATACACAAAACAAGCAAAAATTTACTGTACTTTACTAACTCAAAAGAGTTTACACAAGTATAAGAACAATATCGTACTATTGCTGGGCAAATTGTGAAGGAAAAGAAAAAATTTACTCCAACTTATCTCATTTTATACTTTTCTTTGTCAATTTAATCTCCATAAATTAAATCCTTTAGGTTATTTTTACTTAAGATTGATTGATCTAGGGTAACCAGGATATATAAATATATATGCAAATAGTAATCGTGATAGCAAAATCCTGAAATAATAAATCCAAATAAAATTAGCTTTAAAGGGTTAAAAAGACACAATTGTGTCAAAAACGTGGATAGAGATCCAATGTCAATCAAATTCAACATGTCAAAAGTTGGAATTAAATTATTAATATTCATATAGTTGTTTTGATGCATATTCAATGATTACTGTCTTTGCAATGGTCAAGTAATCAATCAGAGATCAATAATTGACAAGCTGAAGGAAATGAATAATGGGGTATCTTGTGTATCTTTATTACTACTCACGAGAAGAAAGTAGTTTAATTGAAAGTTCCAACTATTAATAGATTTTGAGATGCGAAGGACATGATGTTTTGGTGAATGTCAAGGGTTGAAAGATACATGAAATATACGATATTGATACAAGATATTGAAAAGTACTAAGTGCGGTTCGGTTTGACTGTGTATTGTAACCTTTATTGGTTTAAACATTATTAAGCCTTAGTTAAAGTTTAAAATTAAAGGTTCCAAATAGTATTTCGTCTTCTCAGTTTTTTGGACTAAGTTCGAGAGATCTGCTCAAAACGAAAATCTTTCGCAATACTTTTAGGCAATTCTCATTTCGTTTAGACCTTTTCTATCTAAATTGCTGTCAGTTTGACGAATCATTAGCTCAACTGTTTTTTAGTAATTGCTTGTAAATTGTTGGATAAAATTTGATAACAGTGCTTTTTAAACCAAACTCGATCTATTGATATGTAAATCACGAGAATGTATTTCTTGATGAGTAGTATAAATAAGTGATCTGAGGTATTCCTCACTGGAATGACAGTTATGGCGACTGTATTTCCGATTAGAGTAGATGAAAACAAGTAGAGTAAAGAAGGAAATCAATTTGTATTAATGGCTTCTTGTTAGTCGCCATCCAAGGATTATTATGATTTTGTCGTTAAAACCAATTCACATGAAGCATTGATAGATGTTAGCTCTTTGAGATTTTCATAGGAATAACGGCAACAGAGTACTCTCCTGTCAGCAAAAGAAAATAGGTTCAATTGCTTGAATTCCTCCAATTTTAAGTTCTCGTCTTCCTGAGCAAACGGTAATTGGTCAAGACAGCAAGAGACAAACGAGCAAATCGGCTTTTATAACCAATTAATTGATCGAAAAGTTCAGTACCGAAATAGAAAGTTAGTTTAAGCGCACAAAGGGCGATCATTGGACAGATTGAAAAATTTCATTACCGATAATTTTCAAAATCACATTCAAATTGAAACTTCGATTGCAGTTATGGGTAAATAAAGTGAAAAAAGTTTAAACGGTAAAATGGTTTTCAATTATTCGATAAATTTTATGAAAAGCGTAAATTGAATTGGTTTAACTTTTTGATATTTTCCCTTTGCTATTTTGACTTTTGCTGCTTTGAACCCAAATCTGTTTTGAGTTACTTACTACACCAGTAGATGGCAGCACGTTGGCCAATACTCTAAGGCAACATCTTATGTTAAACCAAATATTATTTTTCACAGTTTGCCGTTTCTACCTAACTGATAAAAAATTGATGAACCCAGAATATTTAGATTTGTTCAGACCTGGGCGTACCATTGGAAGAATGCACAACCCTGGAGACAGAGATGGGCATTTTATTTCTATTTTGTAGTAAATTGAATTTTTTGAACGCTACGCTCGTCAAGCGATGAACAAAACTAAGGACTGAGAAACCAAGTCACTCACAATTATCAGGCTTATGTATAAAACAAGATGAACCACTTAAATAACGATGATTACATAGTAACTCAATACTGAACAACAGATCACAATAAAATTATTTATCAAAATGAACGATTCAAGTTTAAAGTGAAGTTTGTTTGATTAGACATCTCATGACCGATTGACTGCAATTGAACCCGATGCCATTCCTTCAACCGAATATAATGGTCAAGAAAGTGCTAATTACTCGATAAAACAAGAGCATCTCGAGCATTTCAGCTGTTTATTTTTGTCTTATTTTTCCTGCGATCACCTCAAATGCTGATATTTTGATTTGAATGTAATTAGTTGAAGAAAAAGATTCAAAGTTGTGTTTGTTTATTGTTGTTATATTTTACATTGTATTATCATCGTATAAATTCAGAGTTGACTTTCATTTACCCTGTGACAGGAGATGAACTTGTCTGACTGAATAATTTTGTACATTTGTTTCTCAATAAAAAAAAACTGCGAAACTGTCATTACAATGATTAACGAAGTTATGGAAAAGAAAAGGTATAAAAGTAAATATTTTGTTGTGAAGTTCACCAGATGATATTGAATTAATTTGAAAACAACTTCTCCAATTGTTTAATCAATCAGCAACACCATGTATTTCCACTTGTTCAACTGATTAGTTTCTGGCTTTGCGTTTATATGATAAACATTGATAAAAAGGTTGTTTATTTGTTTAAATGTTGCTTTTGTTTATAAGTTACATTTGGATTGAAATAAAAATTTAATGTCGTTTGATCACATATCAATTATGTACATTGAATGAATATTTGAAATTGAAAATGATTTTTCTCTTCTCGGGATAATCAGAAAAGATTGAGCACTTTTGCTTGCATTCAGTTTTGTTTGACGAGTGCCACCAATTAAAAAAGTAACTATTGACTGTCCAATCGATTGAACGTCGATTTATCTTTAACTAGAGCTAAAGAAGAAACTAATCTTCCATTTTTTTCTCCTTTTTGAGATCAACCAACTGCTGGTAATCATGAGGCGTCTGGTGAATCATTTCTTGAATATCGCAGACAAACTTGTATACATAACGTTTACCGGCCGTTTTATGGATTATATTTTTATCGTAATAGTACCTTAAACCACGACTCAGTTTTTCGTAATTCATTTTGGGCTTGTTCTTGCGAAGTCCCCAACGTCGGGCAACTTCATCGGGTTCAGTCAACTTGAATTCCCAGCCATCGCCTGTCCAAGTAATGAAGTTTTGGCAGCTTTTATCGGACAACAGTTCAAGTAAAAATTGCCATAATTGAATTTGTCCAGTTCCTAATGAGAGTCGAAAAAATTTTGTTAAATATTTAGTCTTTTTTTTCGTGTTTTGAAAGGAATGAGTGAAAAGTCTATTTTACCTGCAATACTTGTTGCTTGTATAATTGGTTTACCGTCAGTGTTACTGGTTATTATTCGTCCAGAGGGGGAAAGGGAAGAGGGAAAAGATCCAGAAGATGAGGAAGATTGACTGAAACAATGGTCACGAGAGTGTAATCCATTGTAAGGTGAATGTTGAGGTTGAGGTTGTGAATGGTGGTGAGTTTGTTGTGGCTGTTGTGCTTGTTGTTGGCGTTGTTGTGCTTGTGCTTGTTGTTGTTGTGGTGGTTGTTGTTGTTGTTGTTGATGTTGTGCGACTTGAGTTGAATGAAGTTGTTGGTGGTGTTGAGGAGAGGAAAGATGATGATGTGGATGGTGACCATGATGGTTTTGTTGAATGGTTAAGATGTTGAGACATTGGTGGAATAGAGGGAAGGCACATTTTGAAATGAATTATCATATACATGAGAACCATAATTGTTCATTAAATCAAGCGAGGTTATATCATGACTCGAGTATCGACCTAAAGAGATGAGACATAAACGGTTGAAAAAAAAAGTTAAACATCAGCCTCTAAATCAAAGTCACACACACACTTACCTCGATTATTGATATAAGATGATTTGGGTGAAACATAAGTTGGTGTATATTTAGATTCACTGAGCATCGTTGGTCCACTTGGATAAAAGTCAGACCCATTGTCTAGGTAGGCAGCATGTGGACCCGTTGGTCCTTCATGTCCATAGTCACCGGTATCATCAGTATAATGTTGACCCACTAGACCCATCTCATCATGGCCAATATCACTTAGTGTGTGCATAGACTCGGTGAAATGGTTGTAAGTTAAGTTACCCATGTCTGAAGAAGAGAAGTAAAGAGAAAAGTTGATTTTAAAAATACAATCAAAAACTGTTGATAATTCATCATTTACTCATGAGAATATTACACTTGTTCATTTAGTAAACAATTAACATGATAATTAACCCATTCTCATCATATTGAAGTTAACAAACAAGAGAAGAAGAAAAAGAAGAAGAAGAAAAATTAACGCGAAAAGGGGAATATCATTGAATCTGATCAAAGTTCATAATATATTAAATGAATTATTATGGTATTAACACTATTGCCACAATTATCATTATTGTTATTATCATGTTCAAACAATTACTATTAACTGGAAAGTTTCAAATAACTGAGTAACCATTAGAAATGTAATAATAATCACTAATCAAATGAACAATTAAAATGAAAACTAATAAGAGAATTGAAAATGTATGAGAAAATGAAATGATGATGATTATGTTCAAGATTATCGTAAGCCCTTGAAACGACTTGATTTTAGTCTAAATTTTGTGTCTTCATCTTCATGTTCAACTGAACAAGAAAATGGATTGAAGATGATGATGATGATGATGATAACTTGATGAGAGTTGGGTGTTTGCTTTCACCAATTTTCACTTGCATTATGATTAGATGAAGATGAAGAAGAAGAAGAAAAGTGTTTTGTGTTTATAATAAGAAGATTGTTCACATTATATCATAATTTATGTTCATTCATAGGAATTGCTATTAATCATGATCATCACAAGTAGCTAGTAGTTATTCAATCATAAATGTGAGTAAATGAACAAATTGAGGTTGATCAATGATGATAATGATTAAAATGATAATAATGTTTCTCTTTTTAATTGACTATAAAATGACCTTTGAAAATTATATGCTAAAGTTAACAAACAATTGTTGTTTTTTTTTGCTTGCAGTTATCCAGAAATGCAATGTCAGTTACATTGTAAATAGCAAAGTAAAAAAAAATAATGATAATAATTGGCTTATTCACAGGCAATCAAGCCAATTTAACTCAACTAATTTAGCCAAGTAATGTACAGAGTCGCTCATTAGACAGACACACTCTGCTTGACTGTAACGGGAATCAAGCAACAACAGCTAAAATTACACTTCATTGGCTTTTTGTTGTTGGCCATTTAAACTGTTGTTGAGCTTCAATTAATATTAATATTTATCAATGTAAACTTGATGATGAAGTTGCTTGATAAATCTAGAAACTCGCAGTCAAGTCTCGCCAACAATCGCCTTTAATTAAGTGAAAGCTTGGTAAAGAGAATCAAGTTTCATGGAGAAGAAGAAAAAAAATAAGATTAATTGTGATCAAGATGATGAAAGGATGTAAATTTGAAATCTGATGTTGATAATTTATTTTCTAGAATCACTTTTTTCTCTTCTTCTTCTTCTCATTGAAAATAAATTAACCTTGTATGTTGTGATGAGAGGATGAAGGAGGAGATGATGATTGGATCAAGTTGTCTTCAAGGGGTCAGACCGTAATTAAAGTTAATATATCTTTGGTCATTCTTTTCTTGTTATTATTATTTTATGTTCAAATGAAAGTTTCTCAGATTTTTAAGGGATTGATCTCAAACCGTATCGAGAGGATCACACCTGTCGGAAGAGATGACTCTCTTAAGCCTCCTCCTTCTCCTCCTTCAGCCTAACATCATCATCTCTCTCTGGCTACTCTTCTTTCTCATTCTTTTTCTTCTTCTTAACCTCGATTACCTTGGCCCTATCAACTCCAATGAAATGTCATTTTAGCTGTTAGTTTTAAATTCATTTTTAACAAATGATAAGGAGTCACAGTGAGGGAGAACCCAAAGTCGCCGGAAACTATTGCTCCCTTTCACTAACTTTTCATCTTCAATCGTCTCTCTGTAAACTTCCTTTTCTCTCCCTTTTCTCTTCTTCTTCTTCTTTTTTTTCTTTGCTTCTAAAAACTTGATTACAGTGGTTTAATCTTCTACTATAACCACCATCACCATCATCATCATCAGCATCATCATTAACATTTTTACTCTCTCTTTCTCTTCTTCTTCTCACAAAATCACTCATGAATGACCAAAGTAAACGGAACAAGTACAAGTTTTGTAAGTTGGGAAGAAGAAGAAGAAAAAAAGTAAACTCAAGTTTTTTTTCACAAAGAAAAGAAAATGGAATGGAAAAAATCATGAGAATCATGATCATGAGAGTGATGATGAAAATCGCAGGTGAAACCGTTATAAGGTGACTGGGCCAATGGGCAAAGACAGTAAAGGTTAGCATCAAGAAGAAGATGATAAACAGAGAAACGGAAGAGTCAAAAAATTGATATTCATTCATCCATTTAGAGTTAACTTTTTTCATCCATTATTATCATTATAATTATGTCCATCAATACATAATTATTGCTCTTTATCAAACTCATTCTGACCCAACAATTGTATCCATTTGTGTTGTTAATTTCATTGTCAATTAACTTTATGTTAACCTAAAAAAACAGTCAAATCAGTTATCAATTAGACTCTTCCACTGTTAACCAATTGTAACAATTACTTTTAATGAATTTCAATTCAACTAATCGTTTTTTGCCCTTAAAATCAAACTCGATTATTATTGATGAGCTTTTGTAATCAACTTTCCTCTCTGCCCTTTTAATTGTCACTGTTAATCAATTTACTTTAATAGTTTACACTTGACCATTGAATGTAAACTAAATGGTTAAACAAGATTGTCATTGAATCATCAATAATGATTGATGATTTTATTAGCAAAATTTAATTTAAATTTTCACATTTTTTGTTTCAACTTATTCTCACAACAAAGCTCATGATTGATGCAATGTTTTCAATTGTGAATACTAACCTTGAAAGGGTGAAAAAAGTGTGATGAGAAGAAGGAGAAATTGAATAAAAAATGAATTTTCCAGCAAGAAGAAATGATAATAATCCAGAAGACAGATTCACTAATTCACATGATGAGATTCACAATCAAATATTGCTAAATGATTATCACATTTAGTTGATAGTTGCCCTGTTTTGTTGTGTTACCAACAACAACAATCAATAAATAATGAATGAAAAACGATAATAATTGTGGAATAAAAATAACAGGTAAAAATTGGCCAAAAATGAACAATGTTGAAGTGAAATAAAAAAAAAAGAGACTCAGAGTCAATAATAACAAAAAGATATTAGATAAAAATGAAGCTGAAAGTTGTTAACTGATTGTTGACGTTAACTTTTTTTTCTCGCAAGGATTTTTTGCTATTCACACAACAATAGTAACTAAACTTTTAAATGTTGTTTTATTATAGGTGGAAGGTTCCAATTTTTATATGAATGAATGTTTAAACAAGTTGATGATGATGTTCAGTAGAGTTGTTCAGGGCAACTTGGAAAGAAGTAAAACAAGGTTTTGATCAATCACACAAGAAATGAAACTTGTAAGACGATATTGAAGGGTAAAAAAGAGGTGAAAAGAAGAGGTTGACTTTGTTCAATCTTTTTGGCGACAGAGAAATGAATGATTTCAAATATTGAAATTGTCAATGCTCAATATTTGATGTTTAATCATGAAAAGCTTTCTCTAATGGATACAATTGAGTTGAAATGTTGTTAAACAAAAGCAAAAAATGAGACAAAATGTTGATGATAATGATGATGACGGTGAAAGAGGCAAAAATATTTTTGCAACTTTACAGTCTCTTGTCAAGTCTCTTTTTTCGCCCTCTTCAGTTTACTTTTTGTGTTATGTGTTGGCCTTTTTTTACGCTTTTACAGGGTGGACTTTGGAGTTACATTTAAACTTCATTTCTGTATATTGCTACTTAGACGTAGGGAAGGTATAAGCATCCTTATCCTCCTCCTCCGCCTCCTCCTCCTCTTCCGTCTCTCACTATTCCCATATAAACTTATGTTTCTTCATCTCTTTTTTGTTCAACTATTTTCCTTTTTTTCTGCCTTCACTTGACTCTTTTTAGGTTTCATATTTGCCCAAAAATAACTGTGAATATGCAAGTAAACGTGGAACCACAGAGAGAGAGAAAGAAAAAACGAAAAGTAAATGACCAAAAATAGATGAGGAACCACAAAAAAAAGGACAAATTCCTTTAGATGAAATGATTATGATTTTTACATCGATTTTTAAACTTTTCATTTTTTGGAGTAAACAAAAAAAATGACATCGAAATGGCTATTGAAGTTATCACTGTCATTGGAGGTTATGATTTGTGTCTTTTTCTTGTCGTTTCTATGTCGCTCAAATGTTGAGTCAAAGGTGGGTTAATTAGTTTCTTGGCATTGGACAGGTTAATTGTAATCACTCAATGAGACTCTTACTCTAGATACATACAAATGTTCAATAATGAAGTTGAACAATTTGTCAATTTTCAGTGAAAATTATGGTAAATAAATTGTTCAAGTTTTGCTCATTTTTACCATTTAATGCTGCTCTAATAATGGATATCATTTGTTCAGGTAAAACATCCGTTTTCACCTTTATGTTTATCTTTAAATGGTTTTTCAAGATGGACAATATTTAAATGTTGATACTTTTGTAAACAATTTACCTTTCAATTAACATTAAATTGTTAATTATAAAAGTTTAATATTTACCAAATGGTCAGAGGAAAATGGTCACAAAATAAAGTTAAAGGTAAATCAAGTTGAAAAGTTTAAATATTGAAACAAATGTTCAACCTGAAACTTTAATTGTTAAAAATGTAAATCATTTTCAAGAAGAAAAAACTTTTTATCGTTAATCATCATCAGTGGAACAAGCATTATCATCATCATCTTGGGGCGTTTCGTCCATTTAGAGACAATTTTATGAAAAAGAAGAGGAAAAAAAATCAAGTTGCTCTTCAACTCTTATCTTCCCTTTGAAAGAGAAGATGAAAGATAAAAGTACAAGTTCGGAAGCCACTTCCGGTGACCAGTTCTTCATCTTTCCCTTTGCCTCTACTTCTTTGGTCCTTTTCCCTCTCTTCCCTTATCTATGCATTAAAAGACCGAAACACGTCTCATTGAGTCTCACTGAATGTTTAAACAGTCAACAGAAAAAAAAATCAAATTATTGCTAAAATTATTAAAGGGAGTTGTTAATATTAGTTTATGCTTATAATATTATTTTCATCGTCATCATTATCACAAATAATCACAATAACAACATAATAATAATGATATAACGATAAAGATTTTTTCTTCTTCTTTTTCTTTTTCTTTTTTCTTTTTTTTCTAAATAAACAGAGAAACTTGAAAATGTAAAGGTAAAGAAAAGTGAAGCTTCTGATTGGCATATTAAGCTTCATGGTCATGGTAATCTGAGCGGAAACCAATCCCTAACGTGTCGCTTACTCACTCGCCTTTACTCACTTCTATCATCAGGCGTATGCCCAATAGTTTAACCGGAAGCTCTATGTGACTTTGGCTTTTATAACCTTTCTTTTGAACTAACCGGAACCAATTAGTGTAAAGGTATAAGGTGGTTAAAGGTATAAACCAAACCCATTGGTTCAAAGTCATAATGGATGCTTAGACACACTCAAGTCAAATCTCAATAACAAACAATCGCAAGAGACTTATTTGACTTTGTAACTGATATTATTAACTATTTGACTAGAGTGATTTACATTCGAGTGATGGAAACGCTTTTTGTTGCGATTAACTAAAAGCTTTACAAGAGCGCGAAAAGTTGCCGTTTTGATCAGATTCAAAGTGCAACTTTTTTTGCATCGACTTGGAATCAAATATTGATGAAATCTTTTGGATTGTTGGTAAAAAGTTTATTCTAACACTTGACTGATGAGAAAATGTTTTGTGAAAATGCTAATTTTTATCATTTCTTCTTGTCTAATTGCTCTGTTGTGGTTGAACTTTTTTTTGTCTTGTTCAGTTATTTACAGTGAATGGGCAAAGTTGCGGCGATCATTTCCAAACATTGGTTGACCTCGAGTTTAAACATATGTTGGTACACTTGATAAATTGACTTATTTGTTTCTCTTTTTTTGTGCTTTCGAGACTTTTTTTCCTCTTCTTTCACTCATAAGATAACATACACTTTATCCAATGTCCTAACTAATTATGTATACAGGAGAAAGCAACAAATACATGCTTTCAAAGTCAATGAATCTGGTAAACATTTTCAGCTTCTTTTATTTTCTTCTTTTTCTTTTTCTTCTTCTTTTTCTTTGCACTTTAATCACCGTCTTCATAATCTTTCCTTACGTTTTTGCTGATGAAATAAGAGTAATATAAAGTCCAAAAAGTATCATCAGAAAAGGATGACAAGCTTGACGTATATTATAATAATAAGAAGAGAAGAGCAAGAAGAGTAAAATGAGAGGTGCTAAGGAAAAGATAAATAAAAAAGATGAACAAGAGTCAAAAAACTGGTTCGTATTGAGTAAAGTTTCTTATTCTGGTTGGGTCAACCCTTGAAGAGACTGGAAAAAGTAGCCATTAATTTCAATCTACACATTAACTGGTTAAACGTAATTCGGTTTCTTTTTTGTCCGTATTATTAACATTATTTAAGTTGTTGGTTAATTGTATTTTGTAACTAAATCAAGAGCAATTAAAAAAAAATAATTTTTAACAAACCTTCTAAATAGCCTGAGCTTGTGGATGAAGATGTGGATGTTGCTTGTTGTTGACTTGACACGATAGAAGCTATTGGACCTGTGGAGTTGGTTGATGAAGGTGAAGATGAGGATGAAGAGGAGGTTGAGGATGCGGAAGATAACGTTGATGATGCGGTTGTTGTCGTTGTTGATGTTGTTGTTGCTGTGCTGGATGAGACGGCAACAGGCGAGGCAATGTTGGTAATCACATGGGATGATGAAGGTGATGGTGATGCCACTGAAAGAGGTGATGCAACGGACGAGGTTGAGGATGAAGAGGACAGGGAAGAGGATGATGGAGTTGGGTTGGTTGTTATCGTTACTGGGTCAAGGGTTGACGGTGATTGGCCCAATTGATGGAGACTATGTTGACCATGTTGACCGTGTTGTTGTTGTTGTTGTTGTTGGGGGTGAAGATGATGGTGGGTTCCATGGGAAGGGTGATGTTGGTTGATTGGGTGAACATGAGAATGACCAGTAACAGAAGAGCATCTTTCAGAGGAAGATGAGGTTGATGAAGGTGGCGATAGTACAGGGTAAACAACTGGACCTCCGCCTCCGCCGATAAGGTGATGTTGATTGTGATAATCGTTTACATGGACAACATGGTTATCAATCATATCTGAATGAAAATAGTTGTCAAAGTGAAGCAAACAAAAGGATGAATCATTTGTTTGGTTAACCGAGGTTGGGGTTGGTGTTGTCGCTGATTGCGATGCTTGGATTGGCGTTGTTGGTGGCGGTGATGAACATGAAGGGGAAGATGATTTCAACGTCGATATTCCGTTTGTTAACAAGTTTGAATTGTTTATCAATTCAAATGTATTGGTTCGACTATTGACTTCAACTTCTGCACAATTTACAGAGAAAATAAAAAAAGAAAAAAAAGTTTAAAAAATTTCTCTTCATTTTTCAAATTCATTGAAAAGGTAAACTCATTAATTAAACTTGATAATTATTGACTTTTCAGCATCTTTTCTCGCTCTTTTTGTCGCTTCCAATCATTACAACAAGAGAAGTTGAAAAATAATGATTTCAACCTTTTCTTTAAACTTGAGGTTCTAATGAGTTATTTGATTCTAATTTTCATTTTCTCATCATGATAATGATCATTGATCAATACTAGTGAAAATTTCCAACCACTGATATCATTTGTTATGAAAAACAAGGAGAAATGGCGAAGAGCGAAAAGTCATCTGAGATGAAAATAATCTCATGTTAATTGTGAATTAAAGTTGAATGGCGAAAAAATTAACACAAGAAACACGTAATTATAAAATCAACTCCAACAGATTATAATTGGTTTCATCATTAAACCCAAAATAGTAATTTAAAGTTAATTATGTGAGTAAATCAATGAACAAAAGTTGAATAATGAAAAACAACTTTACAATCAATAAAGTTTCAGTCGATTCCTCATTTCTAACCCTTGAGTCTAAACCAAAGTCTCATCTATTTTTACATCAAAAAAGATGCTAATTTCATCAATATCAACTGTTTATCAAAGTTTTTGTCAAAACATGATTCTTTTGAAACTTTACTGAAGGTTGACTTGAATTTCATCGGCTTAAATGGTCATTACAATTGAATTAAATGAAAATTTAACAAAGTGAATGTTTTTTTTCTCATACGATTGCGTTAGTTTTACAAAAAAATATTTATATCAATAAAGTGAATGTAAAGCTCAAGTTACGCTGTGACGTGTAAACACGTAGTTAAGAGATGATCGTTATCAATGGAGTTTTCATGAAAGATTTCAGTTATAGGATGAAAGAGAAGGCAGATTCATCATCATCATGATTAATGTAAGTATATTTATATTATTATTATTATCATCATTTGGCCTTAAAAAGACAATTTCAATAGAGAATCATCCAAGCATATATTTATTGTAACCAAAATGTTTCTCATTTTCCCTTTTCTCCCTGACCAATTCAGTGTCTCGCCATCATCATCATCATCATTGCTACTTCATCATCTCTTTTTTTTGCTGCTCCTAACCTTTCCTTTTATTTATCTATGCAACTATGTTATTTTGTATTTCATGCCACCTCAAGTTTAATTGACATTTTGTTGCGACTCTTTGCTTCTCTTGTTTTGTTGTTGAAGAAAAAAAAAGATATTCAACTAAATGATTGTCCTGAATGAATCACACAATTCTGTGTGTGTAAAGTTATTAGCATCAACAGGTCAACAACAGGATAATTGAGAAAAGGTAAAACTTTTTTGAAAACTTGATTGTTGTAATCTGGTTGTTTTGTTGCAAATAAAAGCATCATTTTTGAAGCTCTTTTTTTAAACGCATTAATTTTCAATTCTGTGGATTGAATGAATGTCATTAAACCTGATATGACCTGGATAATTGGTGATTCAGGTAAACTGAGAAAAACTTCATTGGCTAAATCAGTAGTGTTTCATGTAATCGAAATGAATTATTTCTTCTTTTCTTTTATGTTTATGTCAATCAACTGCGTTCTGATGAATCTTGTCTGAGTTTCAATGTAAAGTAATCAATTGACTCACCTTTAAGGAGTATATCTAAATGTTCCCAGAGTATCTCTCCCATGTAAGGCGGTGTTAAGGCCAAAAATTCATCCTTCCTCAGGTTACAAACGTCTTTACCTTTCATATTGAGATAAAATGTTTGACTACTTTCAAAACTAAATTCCCGCATCGCCCAATTTAACCAATGTTGAACATCATTTGGACTCCATTCACGAGGATCTGTTGAAAGGTTAACAAAAAGATTCATTAGTTTCAAAGAAAAAACAAAAATCAATGAAAGGATACAAAATCATGATCAGAACATCTTGAGTGAAAGAGAAAAGAAAAGTTGAAAAATTGGTGAAAAAAACGGAGAAAGTGATTCTTTAACCCGAATATGGATCAAGGTCTCTTTGGTCTAATTATCTTCAAGTATTGGTTAGGCCTTGTTGATGCTAAATGGTGAAAAATGGGAAAAAGTAAACCTTTTTTTTCTTCTTCTACCTGTTGATTAATATTGTTATTGCATAGTTGTCAACATCATGTTGATCGGTTGATTGGTAAACTTAAATCAGACCGGAGGTTTGTATTGAAGATGAAGGATAAGTGAAAGAAAGGGAAAGTAAGATTTCATGATAGATTCAACTGGTTGAGAAAGAGACAAAAAAGAGTTAAAAAAAGGTAAGAGTGATCAACAGTGTTTGACACGCTTTTCATGCTTGTTTCAGATTATCATTATTATCATTAATATTATTGTGACAAACTGTATAAGCTAACCTTAACCTGATCTTTTGATCAGCCAACCATTAGGCCAATTAAGATGACGAAAATTGAAACAAAATATGACAATTTTTCAGACTCATTACTCAACATATTTCAACTGCAAGTGAACACAATTTTTCATGAGCAAGTTCATGAATAAACAATTGAAAGAAAAAATTTAAATTCTCTTTTCACCTGATCATGATTTTAATGGAAATTTTGATGAATCAATTTACCTTTTGGAATGCTACAAAACTCTCGTTCCCTTTGGAAACTGCTGAAACTTGCAATCAATGCTTGGTTCATCTTTTGATTGGTTCCTGGTGTAAGAGGTGGAACCTGAGCAGGTAAATCTGTGAAAGAAAAATGTAAATTGTTAATAAATCAGGTTTTTTTCATTTCAACCTTTTTCTTCCAACATTCAGAATTCAATTTCCATCTGATATTAATATTATTATCAAATAATAATATTACCATGAATGAAGCTACTTCATCCCTTATCTTATCAACGGTAACCACTTGCACTGATAACTTGAATAATCTAGAAATGAATGAATTCCATTTCTTTCGTTAATTGTTCAGATTAACAATTACGTGATTAAAGTTGCTTTTAATTGCTTTATTAAAAAAGATTGTCAAATTTGGGCAAAAAATTTACTGATTAAAGACAATTTAAGCTTCGTTTTTGCAGCAACATTAATTGCTGCAACAAATGTTCATCATGAAATGAAAAATGTCTATTGAACTGAAGAGATTATTAAAAGTTATTAATGTTATTAATTACAATTAATATTAACTTTCACCCTTTACTGAGAATCAAAGGTTCATTAAGAGTAGAGCATTTGTCTTGGAAAACATTTACTCAACAGAAGAAGAGTAAAAAAAGTTGTTGATTGTTGTAGTTAACAATTAATGATTAAAAACACGGAAGTTAATTTGCTCGTAATAATAGCAAGTTGTAATGTTAACAATTGAAGATTTTAATTCTCATTTGCTTAATTTTCCATTTATAAGGTTAATTAATTACCAGACGAATGAAACAATTAACAATTTTAATGATAAGCCAAACACTAAATTTATATCATTTGGTTGAATCATGAAAGGGTTTCAGCAATTTGTTTTCTTCAGTGAAACTTCATTGCTTTTGAAACGTGAGAAAAAACAACAATTAAGATTGATCAATCAAGGTAAATTGATTGCAAGGTAAAGATTGGGAAAAATCAATTTAGAAACAAAGTTAACTAAAATTTGGTGAATAATCAATAAATTCATTTTTTTCTGCGTTTCTACGATTCAATTTCCTTTGATGACATTAATTGTTATCAGTCAAATGAAATGTTCAACGGAAACGTTGCTATGATTAGATAATGCAAAGGAAATATCGGGTAAAATGCTAATCACTATTAACCATGTTAACCAGTTTAATTGGTTTTAATCAGCAATTCTGTGGTTCTCTGGATTCTGGTGTTTTTATTGCGCCGTTAGTTCAACCTTGACTTGCATTTTTAACTTGACTGCATTTGTCTCAACTTGTGTTTACCTGTGAAAAACCAAAAAACCAACAAAAAACCCAATATCTTTAAATCATTGAAAACGTTTTTGCTCAGTCTCTTCCAAAGGTGTTGAAGGGGTTGAGTTGGAAGAAAAAGTTGTTTCAAGCAAAAAGTGCAAAAAATTGGTAAAAATTGAAAAATATCATTTCAAGCAAATTCATCCATCCAATTGTTACCTTGACACATTCAATTTGTTTTGATATTTAGATATTCAAATGAACATTGAACAACGAAACGTGAAAAAAGGCAAAAAGTGAACCAAATTAGAGCAAACAATTGTTAGGTTAATTTGTAACGCTCAATTATTAATGTTCAATAAAATCAATGACAACTAATTGTGAAATGTTGCTAACAATTTATGAGCGTTATTTCAGTCTTTCTTAAGATTTTTGGTTCAATTTTTCAGCTTCAAACTTTTTTCTCCACTAAATCAATGAGAAATTACTTTTCTGAAACTTTTGCTGAAACCACAGAACGAGGTTGCAATAAACTGTTTTAAAAGGTACAAATTATTGCAGATCAACTTTACTGAGCTTTAAAGTTGTTAAAACAACAATTTACTAATGAAGAGTGCATTGTGATTATCATTTATTATCACAATTATGAACAACTGAATGAAGAGAAAAAATTGTTAACTTTCTTAAAAAGGAATTCATTTTTATTAGTATGAAAAGAGTTAAAAGCATCTTCTTCCTGAATCTCGATAATCTTGCAACAATGAAATATTTATATTTCTCATTTTTTGCCTTCTTTCATTTCACCAATAAAATGTTACTTCAACGTTATTGTTGGAGGCTAAATGATGGCCAATAAGGGACAATAAATTGTAACAAACAAAGAGTGTCCAAAGAGAGTAATGATTAACTTTAATTAGCTTTAATTTGATTCTAATCATCAGTTAACAATGAGCGAGTAAAGCGATCAAAAATTGCAACCAAAATGATCAAATCTAAACATGTGATTGAACTAAATTGACCCCAGTCTTCATGAAATTCAATGAAAAAGAGATGAAAATGTTTCCGTTTTCCTGTTGCATGGTAAATAGACGAAACTGGACAAGGCAATAAATTGAAAAATGAAGTGAAAATTGAACATTTAAATGTAAAAGTAAATTGAATATGCAAAATGTTTACAGTTTTGTTCGTGTTATGAGAAAGTTTTGTTAGGCTTTCTCATTGTCGTTTTCATCTTCTTATCTTCTTCTTCCTTCACTTTTTTTTCTCATAGATCTTAACCTCATCTTAACTGCTTGCTCTTCTTCCTTCATCACCAACATCATCATCATCATCCTGAACTTCCTGTGCTCTGTAAACTATGTGATTTCAAGCTTCTCTCTCCTTCTCTCTCCTTTGAGCTTTTTAATAATAGTAATGACGATAACATACAGTAAACAGTTAACAGGACAATGTGAGAAAAGAAGACATTGGAAGATGAGAATGATGAGAAGAAAAGCGAAAAAAGATGAAACTGAAAACAAGGTTAATAGATCATTATTAGCATACTTTTTGTCCGCCATTTACCATGTTTTTTGTCTCTTTTACCTTCTCTAATTATGACTCTCTTCCTCTTGGAACCTAAATTGAAACCTTTTATTCCATGTAATTTGGACCCTAATTGTGGTCAACACTTTAGTAACCCAGTGAAAAACGGCACAATTAGCACAAGAAAACAGGGAAAACAATCAAGATGATCAATCAAGTGTCACCGATATTAAAGGTAAATCTTGAACAACTTTTTTTTCCTCAAACCCCAAAAATAACTAAACTTTGTAATCAATATTTCCTGTGACTTTAAAAAAGTAAACAATAATTTTTGCAAAAATAGTCAACAATAAACGAAACAATTCAATTAATATTTTAATTTGCTCACAATTTGCAATCAATCAACAAGTTGAATTACACTTTGAATGATAATTTTTTTGGTAAACTTTCTTCATTCGCTTCAAGCATGGGAAAAAAAAGTTCTTTCAATATGTTAATATTCACTGATTGAGTGAAAAAGCTAATTAGCTAAAATAAACTGTTACCATAACGATCAAAGTATCAAGTGATGGTGATAAAGTTGTTGTCAATGAATGATGGCAACATGAACATGGTTCAACTTATGCCTGGAAACTGTTTATTGATTCACAATTTTGTGGCTTCATTCATAAAAAGTCAGATTCCAACCTTTCAAGCTTTTACTAACATTTTAATACAATATTCACATAACTAAAGTTTACTCACCATATCTTACCTTTGCTTTTTTACCTGTAGTAGCTTTTTGTTGTCTCTCTCTCTCTCTGTAGCTCGCCATTCATACATGAAATTTATTTTACGCTTTTTATCTTCACCATCATAATCTTGACTCTCTTTTCATCTTTTTTGCTTCTTCTTCATTGGTAAACATTCATTCATTCATAGTGTAGATCCTCTCTCTTGGCCAACCTTTTCAGTTTACTTTATCCTCATCACTTTTACAACTTTTTTACACTTTTTTCTGCTTTCCCTTTTCACTCTATCATTATCATCATTTTGATGTTGTTTTCACTCTCGCCTTCAGACTTGTTCAATGAATGAAATTGTGAAAAGTTTTGGAGCAAAAAAAAATGTTCTTCACTTTTGTTGTTGTTGTTCAAATGTTCACTTGAATTTGTTAAATCATAGACATTTTCATCGTTCGCAATAACTTGCTATTTACTGGTTTCTGGCTTCTAGTTAATTGGTAATAATGAAAGTTCAACTGCAAGTGTAAAGGTTGATGGTGAAATTGAGGTAAAATTAGTAAATTATCGTCAATTGTTTTCAAATAATAACAAAATTTTTCATTCTAAGTTTTCTTTTTTCTCTCTCTTTTGCAAAGTACAGGAGGAGGAATAGTGGGAGGATAATGATGAATATCATGGTGAATATGATGATGAATATGGTGATGTGTTTGTTGTTGATGATGAATAAGATTAACCCCAAGGGCGTTTTCCTCTTCTCTTTTTATCTATTATTTCATTCAAACATTTGAATCGTCTGAGCGAGACGAGAGAGAGAGGAAAACAAAGGTTAAATCAGCTTCTTTTAACTACACAGTTTTTTTACCTGTTGCTTATTATCAAGATAATCATAGGTACAGAATGAAATAATTAGAGAAGAGAGAACAGAGAGAATCCAGTAAACAGAGAGTTCATGTTGATATGAATTTATGATGAATTTATGGTGATTATTGTGACGATCTAAGTTTTCTAGTTTTTTGCTTTTCTAAAATTTACAATTCTTTGCCTTCTATATTTTCATTGTTATCAAGTTGCTTTTTGCTCTCAATTGGTTAATATTTTTCTGTTGGCTTTCAGTTAATTTTTTACCATTCATTATCAATTGATAGATAATGAACTGGAAACACTCGACTGGGAGGAAAGCAAATGTATATGTGACCTAATTTAGAACTTTTTTTTGTGTTAATTTTTTCTCTCTTTTGCTCTTTACCTAAACTGACCATTGACATGGTTATTAGTGTCAATAACTCTGTTTGATTCAAGCTTTTTGTTGATTAGGAGAGAGAGAGGAAAAAAACATCATTTTCTTGTGAAGAGAGAAAAGTAAATTAAAAATTGCACAAAAATGCAATATTGGACTAATCATCGTCACCTATTCGGTTCCCTTCATCACTTGACATCAATTGAGAATCAGATTAGTAAAAGAAGGCAAAAAATACATGAAAAAAGCATGGTAAAGATGAGTCTAAATGGATGAGGAAAAAACAACATTTTCAATCACATCAACAAGTAATAACATTTGGATAAATTACATTCACATTGATTTACATTGATGTATAAACAACTTCCTGTGGAGAGGTTGGGCTCGTTTTGCGTTTTTTGCGTCTAAAGGCAAGAGGTTGAGGTTGCAAATGCGACTATTAAATGATGTTTTGGAAACGGTTTTGACGAGCAACAAATCTTATTTGTTCAAACATTGCAATAAAAGATGAAGATGATGAAAAGAAAAGATGAAAGGAAAAATTGTTAAAGAAATTCTGAAAACTTTGTTTTCCAAGCAAAGAGTAAAAACAGTTTTCTGACAATTATTATCGCCCTCACTCCATGTGTCTTAAAGTATCTCGATAGTCGTCCAATCAGTTGACCATTTGTTTTTATAATCTTTCTTCTTAGTCTTTCATTGTTCAAGGATCATCTTACTGACCCAAAGATCTTGTCAACTCTTTTTGGCCTCAACAATTTCATCGTTCATCGTTCATCACCATTGACAGGATTCACTTTTTCGCATCTTTCATTTTTCTTTTCTTTCAACTTTGAAGACTCAAATTGGGTTAATTTTTGCTTCTCTATGAACATTCAAAGTTCATTAAATGCATTCTTTACGCTCAACTGACTGTCATCTGTGATTTTGCGCTCAATTAATTAAGCTCAATTCGCGAATTAAATTTTTCTTGTTGTAATGTTTCTTTACAAATCAAAATATCATTACAATTGATCGAGATGCATTAAAGTGAAATAAGTATTGATAAACATTGAGGATAAATTGGCTGATGGTTAACACAATGTTGATGATTGTTAACCAATCAAGGAGAATTGTATTTTTGTTAATTCTTCTTCTTCTCTCCTTTTTCCAAGATTAACTTCAATTTGATTCAATTATCTTAATCAAGTGAAAAGGGCCATTAATTCAAATTGAATTTATTCTTGTCATCAATTGTAACATAAATATGAAAAAAAAAGATGAACAGAAACAAAGTTGAATAGCAAAAGAGAGGAGCAATAATTTTCTCGACTTGTTAAATAATAATGATAATAATTTCATTTAAGACTTGATCAACCAACTAACCAACACATATATTAGGATGGGTGAGAAAGCAATTCCCATCGTCCTTGAGTTTTTTGGTCAAAGTTGAGGTCGATAATTATCTTGATGATAAAAAAAGACTCTTCAATTGACCAATGATTATCTTTGGATTTTTAATTTAATCGGCCAAGTTGCTCACCATAGGTGGCAGCATTGACTGCTGACCTTCAATGGATAATGCCACAGGTCACTTTCCGTCTCTGACTATCTTTGACCTCATAATTGCCACTTTGAAACCACCTTCGGCAATGACGCTCACTTAGCACTTCATTACCATAAGAAAAACACAAATATCGATAGACCTGAGTTTTCGCCATTTCTGAATCTATTCAATAAAACAAACCGAATCTCTGCCGAATCTGACTCGATTCTGACCTTAAAACACTAACATTGAAAATTACAAAACGGAGCAATCTGATTCTCGATGCTGAAGTGATATTTCCCGCAAATTGTTCATCCTATGGATTGATTGTCAGGATATTGATTAACATTAGAATGTGATCGACATTAATTTTTACTCAAGCTAATACAATCATCAGGCTATAATTATGATAATAATATCAACATTATTATTGGTTTATTACATTAGACTGAGAACTGTACTAATCTCAAGGATAACCTTGATTCTCTCACAGAAAGAAAGTAAAGAAAGAGAGTTTTACAATAAATTTATATACATAATACACTAAGGCTAATCTAATTGTTAAACTTTTTCATGTTCGGTATCAAAACGTTTGATTCTCACTCTCACACTTAAGTCTCTCAGTGCGAAGAAGAAGAAGTCGATAAAGACGATGAAAATGACGAGAATAAAGAGGGTTAAAGGTAAAGGTAGAGCGAGAGGGAGGGAGAGGGAATGATACTGTACATAGGCAATTCCAGGTAAGAAAACCTGTCTTTGTCAATCGAGGTCAGGTTGATAAAGAAAAGGTCACTTAAAGCTAGGAAACAAGTTTGATGATAGACAAGAAGAAGAAGAAAAAAAAGTTAGCAAAGGTTCCCAGAGAGTAAAGGTGAAGATGAAGAGAGTGAGTGGAAGATGCAACGAAGGAGAGAAGAAGAGAGACAGAGAAAGAGAGAGAGAGAGGGAGAGAAAGGCTGGTGTCGAGGGGCACAAAAAAGAAACGTCAAGTGACCTGGCCTCGATTATTATATTTATTGTTATTGTTATTATTACTTGTTACCCTCTGTAGTTTTTGCTCCATGAGAAAAAAATATTATAATGATCATCAGAATGCGTAAATGAAAAAGTGGTTTTAATACCGGTGTTTTAACGAGCTGACAAGTTGACCTGTCACTTTATTTGGACCCGTTCATCATTTCACCATTTTCACAACAGAAGCAAGTTCAGAGTTTAACAGAATTGTAATTTCAGTTTGATTAAAAACTTTGAAAATTTACTGGTCAAGACTGGAAATGAAAGTTGGAAAAAAAGTTTGAAAAAAGTTTCATTGAATCACTTTCAATGTTTGAAACTTGTTGTTGAACATTATGAATATGAGAATTGATTTTATAGGAGAAACTGAGTTTTGTTCATATTTATTGTACTTGATATAGTTTCATATGATAACATGGGCAGCAATTAAATGAGCAAACAAAAAGTGAAATAAATTATAATCTTGAGTGTTTTTTTGTTTCTCACTCAAATCAGGTAAAATAAATAAAATAAAATTAATTGTGTTTCCACTTAATCAAGGTAAAAACACAAGAAGTTTTTTTTTGCTCAACAGAAATAACAAAGTTATTGTTACCAACAATTATTAATGTTTAAGCTCAATAAATCAATGGCTAGGTGAGTTAAATGATTGCGATTAACCTGACGCTTTTATCGCACTCATAAATGGTTAACAGACATGACAACCAAACACCAACAAAGATCACAACAAAATTGTTGAGGTTAAATGAACGGCAAAAACACTCACCTGATTTGAGTACAAGACGATTTGATAAACCATTTGTGGGTCTTTCAATAGTCTCTGGTTTTAAAGCTCTCATCGTTTGAATGATGAAGAGTCAACGACGAAACAAAAAAATAAATTGATAAATATCGGTAACAATAATAGATGTAAGGCCAAAGTAACGCAACGAGTTAAATAACGTTAAATCAAGTTTATCCAAATGGCTTGGTTCATAGTTAATAGACACAAAAATATTTCACTGGACACTGGACTTTGAAATGACCAGCACTGGATAAAAAAATTGACTTTGATTTGTTGGTGTATGAGTTATAAGTTAATCACTATTTTTGGGTAATAAACAAAACAAAAAAACAAAAGTGCTTGAGTGTTGGTGTGTTGTGTGCTGTATTGTGGTGTTTGTTATTACTGTGTTTGTATTAATACAAGTGAAAACTGAAAAGCGAACAAAACATGATTGAAACTTTTGTTGACAAAAAGGCACTGGAAAAAGATGGAGAGTAAGATGATGATGATGATGGAGAAAGCAAACTCATGGGAAATTGGTAAGAAAAAGTGAAAGATGATGAAGGAGAAAGAGTGAGTTGAGAATGAGTGTAGAGTGAGCTGAGTGAGAAAACGTATGTTTGCCATATGGGAGGGGTTCACGTACTGTTGTCTCCCTGTGCTCACTTTATTTTTACGTTCATTCATGACTTTTTTTTCTCATTCAAGAAAAGGGGGTCAAAGGGAGGGATTGGAGCAGAGTGAGAGATAGAGAGAAAAGGGGAAAGAGAGACAGAGAGAAAGAAAGAGAAGTAGAAGGAGAGAAAGAAACAGGTCCAAAGGGCATATGTTCAGTTCGTTTCAAACATTTTCAAGGCTTTCTCACTTCAACTAAAGGCGATTTTTTAAAAATAAAACTAAAGACATTTTAGCTAATCTTTTCTGCTTTTTACCATTTTTTTTCTTCCTTTCATCAATGTTGTTATGAGTGAGAGAGAGAGAGAGAGTACAGTTTGGGAAAGTGCGTAATTGGCTAACTTTGGTTACTGTAGTTTTCATGATAAATCGTATCTTTCAAGTACGATGTTTAGTCAACTTGAAAAGCTGTAAGTTGATAGACCAAGTTTAAAACCTCTTTGTCTTGCACTCGTTCTGTTGGTTAGACAAGTGTTCAACGGTAAAGGGTCAACACAGCAAAATAGCCAAAGCCAGAACAGAAAAGGTCTAAAAGCCAAAGTGAAGGGAAAGGCCGAGCGAAGGGTAAAATTAAGAAGCTAAATCTAACTGATAAAAGTTTTTCTCTGAAGATTAAACAAACGCTTCAATAGTCATAAACATAATTGGCTTCATTTAGTTTGCAATTTTTTCATTTTTTTCATTCAAATCTATGAGTTGAATTTTTTACTCAATAATGGCTAATTAAGAACTGATAAATGCAAGAATTTTTTGCTTTTATGCAACATGAGCTTCGATATTTTTCGTGGATTTGACTTTCGCTATCTTGTTCTGTCTTTCTCGGTTTTGAATGCCAAGCGTTTTAACGAATTTCAGTTTTCAATTTTTTCTCGAACTTTGATTCTTTGGTTTTAAAACTTTTAACTACAGCTTTTGATTATGTAATGTAATTTGATAGACATCAATGAATCTCATGCATTCACTTTGTGACCTGACATTGAAGACTCGCTTGGACAGTGTTGGGCTCAATTAATAGATATATTAGCAATAATCAGTGTTGATTATGATATTAAAATTAATTGACTAACCTTGGCCTTAGCAACGAACCAGATAAGCTGATTAATTGGATTGCTTTTCTCACTATTTGGTTAACAATTAAATGTAATGCTCTGTAAAGGTGATCATCAGGTAATGTTGGTGTTAAATTTGGTGTTCCGGTGAAATGGTCAATGAAGGGAGCACAAAGTAAAGGTCAATGTTGGTCATAAGTGATTAAATTTAAATGGTAATAAACATTGTGATACATTTATTATCATTTGAGTTAATTGTTTTTTATGTGAAAAGAGCAATGAAAAGTCAGGGGAAAAGAGAGCAAAAAAAAGTTTCATTTTGTTGAACCATAAGAATTGTTGAAGTAAATGTTCAATAAAAATCATAAAGCATTTCAAATTGTTGATTAAATGAATTATTATCATTATTATTATGCTTATTATTACGATTATCTTTCAACTTGATCATAACCATTTAAATGGTTGAGTTGATCAATGATATTTCATGTACCAAATAACATGAACAAAATTCTGAGAAAAGAAAAACCTTGGAATCTCAGTTTCGCTCATTTCTCATTGATCTTAATCGTGATGATGAACCAGTGAACATATTAGACCAAAAGTGAACGACAAAAGTCTAATTAATAACAGTAAATCAGTTAACCTTGAATGTTGATTGTTGTTTAATTAAAGTTAAATTGAGTTGAACAATTTTTGGGTTTCACTGAAATTTCATAAAATCGTTTGAATAACTTGAGAATCAGTTTAATCCATCATTCAAATGTTACTCATTCACAGTCGATTCATCAGAATAAATTTCCTCTGTTCATTGCTACTGTAAAGGTATAAATTGAGTTAAAATGATCAACTTGGGTCAGTAATTGGGCGTAGGTTAATTTCCCATGAAAAGTTGAACATGGTAATGCAATCATTGTTTTGCCATTCATCATTCAACTCTAAATGAGTATATTTAAAAACACATCATCACTGAACATTTCAGCTTCTTTCCATAATTAATGAATAAACTTAAAGGTATCATTTGCAGGGTAAAGTTAAATGAAAAATAGATTAACAGTTGCAATTAGAATCAATCAATTATACAAAGTTACAAATGATATCTTTAGTTTGCAGGTTTACTTCAACAGGTTAATATTATCATCGCCCTAACCATCACAGTAATCATCATCATCATCAACAGTTAAAGTAAAGGTAAAGAGGACATTCAATCATCACAATGGGAAGTTAATCTTTTTTATATTAACCTCAGTTGGAGATTGAATCGCAATCCTACAAGTGAAACAAATGAAAGAGGAAAACAAATTGTTTCTAGATTCAATTGCAATAAAAATGAGCAGTAAAATTAAAAGGCAAAAAAACAAGATAAAGCAAAAATTCATGGGAAAAAATCAGGAAACCAGATAAGCTGACAATTGGTTTATCAATAATCATCCATCCTGCAAGAGTCAAAAAACGCTCTCCAATTGAATATCAAAAAATTACAATTTTAGGCAAAAAAATCAACTTGCAACCAACTTTACCAAATTAGCAAAGAAACTGATTCAAATTACTTTTCCCAGTTACTAATTAAACATGATTTGATTGCAATAAACATTTCGATTTCATTTCAACTCCAATTGCAAGTAAACTTGAGATCACTTGTTCAACCGACCAACAGGTTCACAGGGAAGAGCATTGATTTGGCCGAAATTTAGTTGCAAGAAAAGCAACTTTTAACGGACTTTTCAACCTCTCTTGAAAAAACAATTGTTTGTAAATTGATTTGTTTTGTTCCAAGTGTAATAAGTAAACTATTCAATTCCATTCTTTCAATAATTAAGATATAATTTGATCTCAACAATGAGATGCTTTTTGCGCTTGCAAACTGCCAACATCTCAATATTTGAAGATTGAAATTGAAGTTGAACAAAATGTAAGAACCAGAAGAGGAACAACTAATGAAAATATTGTAAATACAATGAATGTACAATGGATCCAATTTGATAACAAGAAACATCTCTCTATATTAAGTTGATTTGGAAGGTCACGTGATGAGATATGAATATATCACAACAGGGAATCTGATCAGTGGATGAAACAAAGAAGAGCCAAATGATAGCGAAATTGCTAGTTAAATTGAGAAACAATAATAATAAAGAAATGAAAACCAAGCCCAATTCATATCAATTTGACATGAGCTTTAAATATTTTATTTTGGGCCTTTTGAAGGGAAAAAGAAGCGAAAATATGTTAAAATTTGACTTTTACTTTAAATCAGAATCTTAATTATAATTGAAGTTACAGATGAAGAAGCAACAAATTAACTTTGCATTTGGAAGAAAAAAGCAAATCATTTGGTTAATCATAATCAGATATATTCATTTAGGTGGAGAGATAACTCTCAGTGGGTATTCAGTGTTGCCATAGGTTAAACTTGTAAACTTATCAATAACCATTTGATATTTTGTTTTGTGTGTTCACTGTGCAAAATTAGGGAATCAATATTCATTGGATTCATTATGATTTGTCTACATCTTAATGTTAATTTTTGCTTTCTCTTGATCATTATGATTTGCTTCTTGATTCCTGAACAAGATGTTCAATTGTTTCCATCATTTGAAAAGTTAATTTCTTACCAAATGCAATAACATTTGAAAATGTTATTTTAATTTGCTTTGCTGTGAATATAGTTATTACCATAAAATCGCATAGATTTTTGATTACTTTTTACTTCATTTCTTGATTGATCTTTCATTCCTGATGACCTTTTAATCTCGTAACAGCGTTAAACTAAATTACAAGATTTAAATTGCAATTCAATTTCTATCAACTTAAATCAATGTCCAACCATCAAAATAATCAAATCTTTTCTTGTCATCGAGATGAAAACAATCAAAAAGCATATTGAGATGAGCTTTCACTTGCAATTGATTTGTTAATGTTTCATTAACAAGGTTAGGTTTGAGGTTAAACAAAAAACTGATTTCCGTGAATCTCATCTGATGTAAGATTGAATTGTCGATTGTTAGTACAATTGTTACAAATTTTTGCCAATTGCATTGATTTCTGATTCTGCAAACAATCAACAGGGAAGGAGAAACATAAAGGCGATTAAATCACTGAGTATAAATTACACTTAATTGTGTCTACTTTTCAATCTTCAATGTTAATCCATTTGAAGGTTGATTGCAATTAACGGCATTTTTGTTATCATTACGTTATTGTTATTTTTAGTTTCAATCCTTTTTGCCTTACAATTGATCCAATAAAAAAAAAGTTAAACCATTAACAGCAATAAGTTATGTTAATCATTGCTGTTAGGTGCTTTCATTGTTATCAAGTGTTTTGGGCCAAAAGTAGATTTTTTTGCCATTTTGTTTGACGGGCTAAAAATGGTCTTTCAGGTAAACAGTTTCCGGGCCAAAATTGGAATGAAAAGTTAGCGCCATTTTTACATTTTCAAAACAATACATTTTGAGTGAGGGAATACAAAAGTAACAAAAAACAACATAACATGAAGTTGAGGGACATTTTTGGGTAAAATGATAATCGGTTGGTTGATTTAAATTGTCAAACTAAATTGTCTATCAAACAATCAACAATAATGATACTTCTACATTGAAACATATACTTCAGAAAAATTGTCAAATTGTAAACAAGTTTAGACTCAAGAAAAATTCAAATTAGGTGAATGTCATTTTTAATTGTTAAACAACAACAAATTGCTTAGTTAAATTGAACAAATTGGCAGCAAACGAAAGCAAACCTTTAACCATGACTTTGATTATTGGCTATTACAATTGTTATTGCATTTTTCAATTATGAAAATAATTGACTTTCTTTCAATTAACAGTTTAACCCTCAACTGTTGCATTGAAATGTATTCATTGGACACTAGAGCAAACAATTATTCAAGTTGATTCAAAAACATCAGAACGAAATTCAATCAGATTCATTCATCTTTTCCCAATCAAGATGGAATCATTGAAATCGCAATAAAATGATCTTTTACTTGTTGCTCTTCAATATTCAATTTTGTAAAAGTCTCCGATCAATTTTTGGTTAAAATTTTGAAAAACTATTCTTGGACCAGTGGCTTAAGTTAGTTTTAAAACTGGTTACTTTAGTGTCCCAATGAGTCCAAACCTTTGGATAATTGGACAAGGATTGCGAGGCGATCTGATGGTTAGATGCCAGTTGTGAGATAAACACTCGACTTGGAGTGTATCTCATAACTTGTCGATGCAGTGGTTAACTTTCACTTGATCAAATGATAACCTAATATAGACAACTCGAAAAAAATTTACTAGAAATGGATAATGTAGATTATCTATTTCCGATGTTCATTTTTACCAGAATTTCCGCTGTGTGTTTCCTATTGATAATAATTTACAGTTTCATCTAAATAGTTATCTTCATTGGACCTGAAATTTATGAAAATTTTCAATTTTTTTGTCCTTTTTCAAAAACAATATGTTTTTGCATTTCTTCATCAACAGAAATTGAAAGTTTCTTTTTACTTGTTTCTCTTTACTCATTTTTACAGGTTTCAATTGGTGGTTATAATTTTTACTCTTCAAGGTAGAGACGTTTTTACTTTGCATTACATGTATACTGATTGGAACCAGAAAGTCAATCAGGCCATTCTCACCATCATTTTTATCTCATTCAAAAAGACCATCTTGAAGGCCTGTGTGATCAACCAAGCGAAACGATTGCAACCAAGAAAGATTAAGATGAAAATGATGAAGAGAAGGAGGAGGAAGGAAAGAGGAAAAGAAAGAGAAGGAGAGAGACTCATGATGACGATCATGAATATAACCTCAATTTAGAATGATATTTACATTTCTTGAAAGTTATCAAACAGGTTAACGAAAGGTATAATTTCTCAATCAGAAGAAGAAGAAAAAAAATGTTTTAAGATTATCGCTACTATTATTATTGATAATGTATTAGTGACCCTTAAGAAACTCATAAAGAAGTAATTAACAAATTAAAACAGCCGGAAGTAGGCCTCCTCCTTCTCCTTTCACCTTCATGTGATATTTCAAAGGTATGGTGTCCCTTCACTTAAACATAAACTTGAAATGTTTTACAACACAACTCACTTCACACCAAAAATCAAAACAGTTGAATTATATTGGATCGACTCGATCAAAGCAATGAATCCATCAAAATAAAAACAGAGACGAGTCTTGACGACTTGTATTGTCGTCTCAATAACGCTAATCATTTGAACACTAATATGGTTTAGTTAATCAAAGTTCAACTCTGCACCTTAACTGAAAGAAATGGTTTTTTAAGGAAAGTTGATCTTTTCAAGCTCGAACTTACAAACTTAGTTTTGCTTGTGTTTGGTGGACAGGGAACTGGTTGAAATGATTCAGTCTTAATCATTGTTTAATGAGTGACAAACTGTATGATACTTGTTAATTGCTAATGGCAATGTAATATTAATCCAAATGGTTACTAGGAAACTGTGAAACTAATCAATGACAAGTTGATTAAGTTTTTTTCATTCATAAAGAAAATTGAAACTAAACTTATTTATCAAAAGGCACTTGAGATTAGATAAAACAGTGATTTAGATAATCTGATTGTTGGTCTAATACAAACGATGAGACACAAAATTGAAAAGGCTAACAAGTTTCATTGTATCTTGTAAAGAGGTCAGACACTTAGTTAACGTTATGTGATTATTGGAAAGAAATGATGAAACTTTACTTACCAATTGGACTGTCTTGGTATAAATCAGCCATTGAAGATGTTTTCAGGATGAATCCCATGTAACGAGGTATAAATGCTGTAAATTACTGTTAATCATTCATCCATTCATTCAATTAGTCAGTCAAGCAAAAATGAGAGAGAAAACGAGAGGGAGGAAAAGATGTGAAGATGAAATGACAGATGAAACAGATGAAAAACAAGAAGGGGAGAGGAGAAAGATTATGTTACTCTTTCTCACATTCATTCATAAAACAGGTAAATACTAGAGATGGCGATTACTTCGATTCCATCGATACTCATCGATTCTTTTTCATAAAATGAGCATCGATTACTTTGTGCGATAATTGATAAGCTTTACATGAGCTAAAAACTCGAATATTACGGTTCCATGTTTACTGAAAAAATAAAAGGAAATCGACAAAATTTTAGCAACTTTTAATCAAAATATTACTTGACTCTACCAGTGATTTCAGAACCACACAAAAGACTGATTTATATTTTGCTTGATGTGAAGAAGAGTTTCAAACTTGGAAAAGTTGCTTCAAAGGTGTGTGAGCCACGAAAAATCGACCCTCGTTAAATTGAAAGTAACTTTATTTTATGAAAGAGGACAATTGCGAACCACATTAGGTCTTGTCAAAACTTCCGTTTGGTCACAGTTGCGCTTCTAAGTCAATTTTTTCGGTTCTTTCTCGCAAACTAGACAAGATAAAGAGCTGAAATTTTGTGTAGATATATTTTTCTTGAAAGGCTTTATCGATTAACGCCGGAGATCTATTTCCAAGACTTGGATCACTTGATTTAGCGATTTGGTTTTACTTCAATTAGATCTTTATTGATAATGACTCGATCAGATTCAATCCTGATTGGTGCAAATAGTCTTTATATTGCCATCTATGAGCTAACACAAGCTTTTTTTATATGACCAATAGTTCGTCTGTTTTAAGAGCGGTCTTATTTTTGTCCACAAGCTCTAGCTCCTGAATGAATCAACATATTCACACGAAAGATTTCACCAAAACCATTGAATCAAAAATACTTTTTCTCTGTCAAGACTAGCTCCATCTGAGGTCACAGAAAAAAGTTTAAATTTTGACCCCCTGGTCTCACTAGACTCGCAACACCAACTTTTTCTGTGACCTCGTATCAATTTAATCTTCACGAGAAAATACATTTGATTTAATGGCTTTTGGTGAAAGTTCCGTGTGAATGAAGCTAGAGCTATGTTAGTAATACTATTAAATCAATATCTAATTTAGTTAAATAAGTATTAAATAAGTATTATTAATTTAAATGTACTCAAAATTTTCTCCGTATTGGTAAAGGTAAAAAGAAAATTTTCTTTGCCCACTAGATGGCATAAGTGGCCCCTTTGTTGAAAGATAAGGGAAAAGACGAATTTTGATTCGGTTTCTTTAATTATCAATTGGCTTAACACAATTTTCTTTCGTGAAACATCAATCCAAAAACTCGTTAAATCAGCTAAAAGCAATATTTCAGATTAAATTTGATTTATTAAGGAAGATTGAAAATCATGAATTACGCTGCCCGATGAATAGTGTAAATAAGCTATTTCCAGTGATGTGCATTTGTAATGAGTCAATGAGTCATTACATGTACTTGTGTTATTGCTATTCCCTGCCATCTTCAGGTTAGGAGAAAAACTATTTTGACAAATTCAATCATAGGAAATTGGAAACCAAACCTAACCAAGCCCATTGATTATTTGTTTTGGTTTTTTGTTTGTTTGATAATTGTATTCTTGTGATTAGCTTGTTTGTTCCAATTGCTGCCGACTTTCGGTCCGATCCCTCAGGACACCTAACCATGGTTCGTCACTTGAATGTTTCTCAGCAAAAATTAGCTGAAAAGCTTACCATTCTTAATGACCGGGGAATAGGAATGTTGACTAGACTTTATAATATCAAAAAGGTATTTAACTGTTTTTTAAATTATGTAATTTTTTATATTCTTATTTGGTATTTATTTTCTCATTTCACAGCAATCTAGTGATCCCAAGCTTCGCCCTCCCATACTTTCTGACAAGGGCTTGGAATCAGCAATGAAACAAATTGTCCGAAGGTTTCCTCACACTGATACAAGGAGCAATAATGTAAACATCAACTCTTTTCAGTCAATATTTTTTGCGAGTTTCATTCTAATTTTTTCCTCTTTTTTCTTTTTTAAAGAGTTTGATTGGAGCTGTAGCTACTGCTCGTACTGAAATAACTAAAGCTACAACTCATTTTTATTATACCTTTGTGGATATTTTGGAATTCAAAGATCATGTTAATGAACTTTTAACAACAATGGATGCTTGTCAATTGACACTTGATATTGTAAGTATAGCTTTTGCGGATTTAAGTTCTCAGTCAAATTCCTTTAAATTTTGCATGTTAATATAATTTGTGATTGAAATAACTCCCCTCAAAATTGTCTATTTTTGTCAATTGATTAATTTCTCTTTTAAATCAAAATCCTTTGCTGTGTGCATTATCTTATCTTTCCCTGCTTCTGCTCCTGTGCTTCTAGTCGATAAATTTTGATCTGACTCGAGGATATCTTGACTTGATGGCAACCTATGTTTCGCTGATGATTTTGGTCTCTAGAGTCGAAGACAGAAAAGCTGTTATTGGACTGTTCAACACGGCTCATGAACTAACCCATGGACACAGTGAAAATAGCTTTCCCAGACTTGGTCAAATGATTGTTGAATATGAGAATCCGGTCAAAAAGTTATCTGAAGATTTTGTGCCGCACTCAAAATTACTTTTTAATGCTTTAATTTCCCTTCAAGAAAGCTTCCATTTACGTAATCTCCCCGCTGAAGAATGGCGAAAAAGCCAAATTTTGAGCATTGTTGCCAACCCACGAGATATTCTAACTCCTGCACAAACTGATCCAATCAATACAGAATATTTATCAATTGACTCTATGGAACGTTTTATCATTTGTAAGCCATTTGTTTGCTTTAAAGAGTGCTCTTTTGAATTATTTGTACATTTTCTTTGAAAATAATGCTTCTGTCTTTCCTGTCATTCCTTTCACAGTCGGTTTCTTGCTGATACATCAACATCTTAATCAAACACCCGCACATGATCTTTTCTCTAAAGCTCTTCAATGTGGCTGGGTCATTACACTGTACAGAGATGAAGTCATTCACACACACGCATTTGTTCAACATTTTTTCGAAGGAATCAAAGGCTACAATAAAAGAGTTTCCGATGTCAAAGATGCATATAATAATGTGCTTCAAAATGCGTAAGTTATAAGTTGTTTAAAGTCGATAGCTTAATTTGCTAATTTCCTCTTCACTTATTTTTTCTCATAAATACCTGTGCAGAGGTCACATCCATCGAGAAAAACGAAAGTTTCTTCGATCAGCTTTGAAAGAATTAGGTCTCATCTTAGGTGACCAACCTGGACTTTTAGGACCAAAAGCTTTACTTGTTTTCATGGCTCTTTCTTTTGCTCGTGATGAAGTACATTGGTTACTCAGACATTATGACAATATTCCCGTCAGACAAGGACGACCCAAAGCACAAGCTGAAGATCTTGTCGATCGACAACTGCCTGAACTTTTGTTCCATATCGAAGAACTTAGATCATTAGTGAGAAAATACAATCAGGTTGTTCAACGTTACTATATCCAATACTTGACCTGCTATGATGCCGTAGCTTTAAACACCATTATGCAAGGAGTCTCCATGATGCCAGAGGAGGATTCCGTAATATTGGAATCTATCTACAGTCAAATTTCCAATCTTTCAGTGAAACAGATTGAAAATAATGAAGTCTTTGATTTTAGAGGAATCCGACTTGACTGGTTCCGTTTACAAGTAAATTATTAATTTTTTACTCGTCTTTCTTTTAACTCTGTTTAAAACTTTTATTATAACATCTTGTATCTTTACAGGCCTACAGTAGCGTCAGTCGCTATCCTATGAATCTTTTTGAGCACAAAAATTTAGCCACTTTGATGAATATTGTTGTTTTCCACACAAAAATGGTTGATTATCTAGAAGATATACTGACTGAAACTTCTGATTTATCATTATTCTGGTAAAATCTATTAACATTTATCTATCAATGTTCATAATCTAATGCTTTTTCTTCTTTACAATAGTTTTTACAGTAAAATTTTCGAAGATCAGTTCCACATGTGTTTGGAATTTCCTGCTCAAACAAGATATATCATCGCCTTTCCAATGATCTGTTCACATTTCTTGAATTCATATCATGATCTTGCCCCAGAAGAGGTATTTACTTAGTCAATTATTCATTACATTACTCTAATATTCCTTTAAACTAACTTACAGCGAACTCGAATCGGAGAAAGGAGCATCTCCTTGGTGAATCTATTTCTTGATGAAATGTCCAAAGAGGCCAAAAATATAATAACAACTATTTGTGATCACCAATGCATGCTTAATGATCAACTCTTACCAAAACATGTGGCTCCTCAAATAGTTTCTGTTGTCAAGCTAAAGAAAAGAGACAAAAAGAACAAAATAGAAAGAGAAATCGATAAACCCGGTATTGAAAGTTATCGTCGCACCCGAGAAGAGTTAACTACGTGAGTAACATAATTACTTTTTATTTGTTCTTCGATTTTCATATTTATCTGTATAAATTTCAATATCTTTATTTATAACTTTTTTTCTTAGAATGGACAAACTTCACATGGCTTTAACTGAACTCTGTTACGCTATCAATTACTGCCCATCAATACATGTTTGGGATCATACTTTTGCTCCACGTGAATATCTTCATGGTCATTTAGAGTCTAGATTCAATAAGGCTCTTGTTGGAATGGTCATGTTTAATCCAGAGACCAATGAGATAGCGAAACCATCTGAGTTATTGAGTAGTGTTCGAGCTTATATGAATGTACTTCAGTCTATGGAAAATTATGGTAATTATCATCTTTTTCAATTATTAATTTGAATATTTATGAATTATTATTGATTATAATTTTATCAAATCATCTTATAGTTCAAATTGAGATGACCAACATTTTCAACAACGTACTCCTTCTGCAAACTCAACCACAAGATAGCCATGGTGATAAAACAATTACTGCTCTCTATTCAAATTGGTATCTTGAAGTTCTTCTCAGACGAGTCAGTGCTGGTCAAATCTGTTACTCTCCATTGCAAAAAGCTTTTGTTACTTTGCCAGTTGAAGGTCAGGTACCTTTTTGCGCTGAAGAGTATTCCGATGTCAATGGTATCAATCTTTTCTTTGTTTGATTTTTTATAATTTTCCAATCAGTCGACTGAATTTGAGGTTTACTCATTCTATTTATTTTTCCAGAATTAAGAGCTTTAGCTGAACTTATTGGACCTTATGGAATGAAATATTGCAATGAAAATCTGATGTGGCATATTGCAAGCCAAGTAACTGAATTAAAGGTATGCTCTTGAATGCAAATCATATTGATTTTAATGATCAGCTTATTAATACTGTGGTTTCAATTCTTTCTCTTACAGAAATTGGTTATATTAAATAAAGAAACTTTACTCGCATTAAGATCTAATTATGACAAGCCTGATCAAATGCGAGAATTATTTAAAAAACTTCAAAGTAAGTTACATAGTTTCATATTTTTACAAATACAATTTTTTGTATCATCTTTTCTCTTAACTGTTTTCTTCTGTAATCATTTTTGATACTTGCTGCTTACAAAAGGACCCAAGATTGCTCAAAGTAAAAATTGACTTACCTCTTTGTATTAGATTGCGATAGATTTCCTTGCCAATTTTCCTCTAATGAATTGAATTCATTTTCTTTAGTTTATTCTTATTTTCATACAGTTATTAATTTATTTTATTATCTCTTTAGATGTAGATAGTGTTTTGCAAAGAATGACCATCATCGGTGTTATTCTTTGCTTCAGAGAACTGGCTCAAGAAGCGCTCAGTGATGTTTTATTCGATCGAATTCCGTTCCTGATGAGTTCAATTTTAGATTTCAAGCATCATGTTCCAAGTGGTGAATCGATGGTAAGATATGAATAACTTTTCGACTTACTATTAAAAGAAAATTAAATAGCGCTCATTCTAATCTCAATTTTATTTTTTCCAGATTGAAAGTGCAAAACTTCAGGTATTTCTTTCATTTTTTTAATTTTTGTATTCTTTATATTTTTGGAAAGATTTTAATTGCTCTTACCTTTTCTATTATTTAACAGAGTATTAGTGAAATGTGTTCCGCTGCTGGACTGCCAAACAAAGTGGACCCAGCCCTAGTTACTGCATTATTGTCTCAAAAAAGTGGTAAGTACTCTTACTTTAGATCTTACTTTACTTTTAATTATCTTCAACTACTAATTACTCTCTCATTTTATTGGTTTAACTTTTATAGAGCTGGGTGAAGATGAATACCAAATCGCATGTCTTCTTATGGTTTTCATTGCCGTTTCTTTGCCTAAACTGGCTCGTGGAGAGCAGTCATATTACAAACCTTCATTAGAAGCTCATGGCAACAATATACACTGTTTAGCTCAAGCAATTAATGGTATTGCTGGAGCTCTTTTCACAATATGTAACCACGGAGATACCGTTGATCGATTTAAAGAATTTTTAGCTCTCGCTTCATCAAGCCTTCTTCGACTTGGCCAAGAACAAGACAAAGAAGCTATTCGTAATCGAGAATCAGTTTACATTTTGTTGGACTTAATTGTCAAAGAATCACCGTTTCTTACTATGGATCTTTTAGAATCTTGTTTCCCCTATGCATTGTTTCGAAACGCATACCATGCTGTGTACAAAAACCAAGGAATTCTCAACGCTTCCAATTGAATACGCTCTTCATACATTCCTTTCTTTTCTTCTCATCTTAAGTATTATCAACTTAATGGTGTTACAGCACAATTTCTTGAAATCACGATCACTTATCATTATTTGATAATCTTCCTTATTACACAATTTTCTATTTTCTAACCAATCTCGAATTTTATATTAGTCTTCTTGTCCATCTTTCAGTCCATATTGATAGCATCTTTTAGTCCTCCTTTTTTCAAACTTTAACTCTTTCTCTATTTAGAAAATAGTTGATTTTGCAAACTTATAAAATATTTATAAATTATTATTATACGTTATTATATCAACAATAATCTATAACAACCTTGTAAATGTATTAAACCGATAATTCTTTGAAATTCACCAATGAACTCCGCAATTTTTAATTAACTGTAGCCAATCAAGGTTTGCTTATGATTTACTTTTATTTCGCATGTTTTTATATCATCAGGAACTTAAAGATTGGTCACATTTTTTATCAAAAAATTTGTAAGAATATGAAAACAAATGGAATTATTAGAAAAAAATGGGGCAACAAAAATGACAAAAAAAGATTGAATTGCAAGAGAGGAAGAGAGAGAACGAAAAGATGTGAAGAAATGAATCTTGATTTCATCAACAAAATTTAAAAAAAAGAGTTAATGAACAGAGGAAAAAAGAAAAGCCGATTAAAGCTTGATTCGCACTTGATCATGACTGTTAAATAAGGTATTTGACTGTATCCAGTTCAAATGAAAAAAAGGAATGTAAAAGATGAAGATGTCTGAATCTCGGCGATGATGAAAAATAAAAATAAAGTTAGGGACATGTGATAAATATTAGGTCATATTATAGATTGCAGCTTATGGAAAACAATGCCGGTTCATATTTATAAGTGAGGTGAATCAGTGATTACAATAATAAAATGATTGATCTTTGTTGTGCTGACCTACACACAAAGCTTGTAGAAGAAAATGTTGATTTTTTTTGTTTTTTTGTGGTGATTTGGGGAACACAAAAAGCTAGTGAATTGAATGAGATGTTCCTTGGCTCACAATCTTTTCATAATTCACACTAATATAAACACGGTCTATGATTCCATTCAGCAGAGAAGAATGATGATTGTGAAAAATACATAGTTTTCAGAAGGTTCCGAATTCGCAGATAATACAGTATTGAGTGGTTTGATTTCTTGAATGCTTAATGATAGTTGATGGTACGTTGAGTTAGATTCATATAGGTGTTTTATAGCAAGTTTGATAAATGATGAACAGGTTGACATTAGCAAATTTAAATGAAAAAATCAGTCACCGTGTTCAAGAAACTCAAAAGATGTGTTCTTGATAGGAGATCCATTCACCAAGCAAATTTGAGATGAAAAACATTAAGTTTAGATGCTAAAAGTACGAAAAATCCATTCCTTCTCCATTTGAAGGGAAATTTTCAAAAATTAGCTTGCTTGACGGTGTGCATGATGTTATTATTGTTGAGATTGTTGGCGGAACTCGCATTATTACCATTATTGATATTATTACTATTGTTGTTATTTGAACTATTATGATTATTGTTATTAGCAACACTATTATTGTTGTTGTTTAAGTTGTTGTTATTACTGGTGGAGGTGGTATTACTATTATTATTAGGTCCACTAAGCTTTCTGCAACGTAGTAAATGACCACGAAGAGTTGACCGATGTTTAAAGTGTGCTCCACATCTTGGACAAGGCATGGTCTGACCCAGATGAAGAGCGAGAATGTGTTCCCTCCAATTACGAGCATTTGCCAAACTTTTGTCACAATAGGTACACCGAACTCGGCCATTTTCAAGTTTAGCTTCGGGTGGAGGCGATATCATTCCTTGATTGGTTAAAGTCAAGGGTGGAGGGGATTCAGACATATGTGAGTTGTTATTGGTCATCATTTGATGCGGGATCGAATTATGGCGACCACCATAAGTAGCATGTTGTAAAGGTGGAATCTCATCTTCTTGTTCGGTCGTAGAGATAGATAGAGGTGATGGTGAGGTATGTAATTGATTCTGAAGCATTAAATCTTCTGAAGTTTGAGAAGCATTATCCGAGTTAGGTATGATTGAGTTTAATCGATCTTCAACATCGACATCCACAACCTCTTCATCGTCATCATTTTCATCTCGTCCACTAGATCTGTTTCATTTTGTAGCAACTGGATTCTTTGACCATCTTTACTTTCCGCTGTTATGGACAGGCCTAGTTGAGAAATTTGGTTAACCACTTGACTGGCTCGGTTGAAATCAATTTTACAAGAACCGTCATATATTAACTCGTGAAGGCATTGTATCCCCATTTTGTCCATGGTCGGTATCAAGAAATTGGTTATTGTATGTCCATTATCATTACAAGCCTCAAACCAAGCTGAAAACTTGGCAGAAAGGAAAACTAGTAAGGCTGAATGGATTTTTTGTCCATAACCATCTTGGCCACAAATCAACAAATCTTTAGGCAAAGGTCGAAGTAGACGAGATTTGATGTAAACATATGAGAAAGGATGGTGTAGACGGAGTATAACACAATTTTTAGACATTTTCCTATGACAATAAATAATACAAAAAGAAGAGTTAGACAATATTTACATCCAAAGACCAACATTTAATGACAAAAATATGGCCACTGAAACAGAAAAACAGATACTTATAGGGATTCACTAATAAATGTTTTTACCTGATGTCAACATTAAATTCCCTTTCCATTTCAATATCCATGTTGATTCAAATGATAGTAATTAAAGGTATAGGAGGATTGATTTACCAACAGTCTTTGCTGCGAGTCTCACTTATGGTAATCAATAAGCTAACAGTTGTCAAACACTCTGTGCTCGTAAATTAATAATGTAAAAACATTTTCAAATGCAGAGTAGGATTGTGGTAACAAGGGAAATACACAAGGGTGGAGAAAAGCGAGTACCAAATGATGGCAACAGCAGACTCTTTGAAGAGCGAGCTACTTTGTTATCTTTAGATGATCGCTCTTTGATTGAATTTTCCGAAGCCACTCGGGGAATCAAAAATATTAATAAGATGATGTACAAAATTGAGAGATCAACAATTAGTCCGTACTATTGAAAAATCAGTCAATAATTATTCTGGTGAGCACTACTAAGTTAGCAAGGATTGGTGAAACAAAGTAACAGGCATTGGCTGCATTGAAACAAACAAAAAAACACTGAACAGTAAAGGAAAAACAAGAAAATGTTTTTCAAGCAAAAATCAAGTTCACTTTCGATGACACAAATAATAACAACCAAATTGTGTGGTGAGAATGGTTTGAAAGATTTTCAATTCAGTGAAGCCGGCGTGAGATGATGATAATAATTATGTTTTTGATTGAAGAAGCATAGGATAAAATAGCAAATCATTGGTAGAGATGATGTACACAAATCGATAGCAAATTCAATTGACAGTGATGACCACCATCAGAATTGGATATTGATACTTTAGTTGAAATATTATTTTTTATCCTTATGATTTTTCTTGTTGATGATGATGATGGTGGTGGTGGTGATGGTTGTTGTTTATATTTTGTTGTTTTTGAAGGTAGGTTAAAGTATTAGTGGTTAAAATAATTGATGGTCGAATTGGTGGTCATAACGAAACTGACAATAAGGAATCCATGGTGAGATAGAGATCACGGCAAGAAAAGATGTTTAATTAGAGTGAATGTGTGCCTAAAAAGAGAAACAGAGAAAGAAAAGAACACACAAAACAACAGTGTGTGCACTAAAAGGAATTATGCTTCTCCTCCTTTCCTCTTTAGTTGGTGTCTACACTAGTACAGTGTGTTTCTTTGCGTTGAAGGGAAAAGCTAAAGAAAGAGGGAAACATTATATGGAGAAAGAGAGAAATGAAGAAGAAGAGAGAGATAGAAAGAGAGGGAGCAAACACAAAGAAACCAAAGAGGGGAAAAACTAAAGAACCCCACGACTACACACTGTGTTGTCGACTTGTTTTTTCCCCTGGTTTTGCGAGTGCACAAGTACACGCACATTCACAGACTTGTTAGTTTTCTTTATCCTCTTTCTTTCTCATCTTCATTTTCATCATGGCTGAATATGGCTGAATGACCTTTGCCTGGGCACTGATCTTTCTCTCTCTTTCTCATGTTTCTCACTCTCACCCGGTATTACTATCGATTTTATTCCGATATTGCGAGGCTCTCATTTAATCCTGCCTTATTGCTCTTTGTCTTCTCTCTTTTAATTATTTTCATTTCTTTTCCTTTCTCTTTCTCTTTTCTTATTCAAATATGAAAATAACAACTGAACAGGTTACCCTGTAAAAACGTGGATTCAATTCGAGTGCCCATCTTAATCCAATAAACTGTTGATTCTTTGCTCTTTCTACTTTAACTTATATAAATTATTACTTTACCATTTCTTTATTCAATGTCAAATTTTAATTTTGAGCAATAATTTAAAGTTTAATTATCATTTTGAAGGAAACAAATGATGAAATTATTTCCTTTATGTTTGTCAGCGCTTTCAAAAGCTTTTCTTTTTGTCTTTTGTGCTATTCTCCTTTTCATGTGTTGTTTGCCTTCTTGTTAGATCAATTTGCCATAGAGTTTAAGCTTTCGTAAAAAGCTTTACCAAAGAGTGTTGTTTGTTTAAGCACATCATCCATCTAAGTTGGCTCGTCGAACCTTCTATCTTCTCATCCATAGATTTGTTTTTCTTTGAAACTCTGAAATGAGTTCAATTAACGACGACTGTTTTTGTCTCTTTCGCTTTCTCTTTCTCACATTACTGCTTTCCCTCCTTTTGCCTCTCTTACTCTCCCTCTCTCTATTTGATCTCATAATTTTCTCAAGCCTGAGGTGAAAACTAAACTGAACAAGACAATTCCAGGTCACCATACCGAGATTTTCACCAAACCTTTTTACATTCTTTCCTGTCTTCTCTATCATTATTTTGTATCATCTATTTTTTTACCTCATCTCCTTTACTGTGCAACATTGATATTTTACAAAAGCTAATAGATGAGTGACAAACCACCCATTGTCGTGATTATTACGTACTGTTTTGGTTTCATTATTTCTCTGTCGACATAATCATAGTCTACCAATATATATGATATTACCAGCAACTTTTCAACATGTTCTGTTTAATCAAGATTATATTTTACTCTACCAAACATCTCAAGTTGTTTAAATGAAATGAATTCCATTTGCGTTCTCCTACCAATCTTCAAGTACAACAACAACCATCACCAACCCAACTGCATCTACAGCCACCACCATCACCAACAGAATATCAGAATCATCAGCAGAAAATGGAATCTTTTTGAAACCTGTGACTGGCCTAGTTAATCAGTAACCAGCAGCGAAGACTGGAAAAGAAGAGGAGGGAGAAAAAGAAAGGAGAAAGATATTTCGAATTGGAAAAAGAAGAGAAAGATAAAAGTTGGAGGAAAAAAGTAACTTTAAAGAGAGGAATGGAAAGAGAAGAAGCAGTTAAAGAGGAGCAAAGTAATGAGAATGACAGAGAGTAAAAAGTAACACGGCAACTGCGATCTTGCACGCAGGATGGTAAGAATGGTGAAAATGTTGATGAGGAGAAGGAGAAGAAAATGGCAAAGAAGAGGATGAATCCTGCGACACGCACAATGCGCAAAGTATTATAAGTCTACAGTTTACCAAAAAGCAGTTTGTTGCTGTCCAATCTTTATATTCGTGGGTGTGCTTTTAATTCACTCTGTACATATACACACACACACACACACACATCCATACACTTTGCTTTGTCTGCGTGTCTGTTTTTGTTTCTCCCTCATCATCTCTTGATGTGTGTATGTGTGTGTGACAGTCTGTGTGTGTTCATGTTTAAGCTCTAACTTTGATATCGATTTTTCTTTCCAACCATCTCACCCTTTTCTCCTTCTCTTCCATTCTCTCTTTAATTCACTCACTTTCAGTATACTTTACACAACACACACACACACACTAAATCCATACACTCATGTATTCAACCTTCTCCCCAATTACTCGCAACATCTCTCATTGAAATGGCCTTTTCCACTCTACCTTCCTCCTCCCTTCATTTCTCCTGTTTCTCTTTTACTGCTGCTTGCTTTAAATCTCTCTTTTTCACTCTCTTTTTTCCTTTTCATCCATCTCTTTCTACCTTTCTTTCTTCCTCTCTTTCCTATCAGCATCGATCGATAGTTCTATCATGTGGATGCGTTGTTTTTGTCTTGTTTGTAGTACTCATTGTTACCCGATTTTATGCTTTCCCCAACAAGTTTTCCTTCATTTTTTTCACTCACCACTTCAATCCGTCTGTTTCATTGTTTATCAGCCATCAGTCTTTTTCACAGTCATCTACTTCTTCATTAGTACATTGATGGTTTGATGATAACGATAAATCTTAACAAAATTAACTATCCTCAGAGGAATGGGAAACTCTGAATATGTGTTTATCGATCTCATAGAAATGAATCCTTAACTAGACTGAAAAAAAGGTGGATTAGGTATTGTTGGTTTAAATAGGCTATTCGGTTACAAAAAGATTTACTTCATTTTCATTGATATGTCACTATTACAGCATATGACAAGGTTACTCAGTTTTTGCAAAATTCAACTTTTCCTCACCGAAACTGAATCATGAGACACCATGTTTTGAATTAAATGTTTTACTGAAGTCATTGAGTTAAATATTCACCAAACTAACAGGCATTAACAGTATGGTAATATTGCTAGTATTTTTGGTACACAGTTAAGGAGACTTTACGGTTATGGCTTATACAATCAATAGAGATGCCATTGTAATCTACTTACAGGTTATTTACTTTTAAACATTTGCTCAATTTGAATAACTACCCAATCAACTTACTCAATGGTCTACTCAAATAATCGTTAAGTTTAAATTTTAAGCAGCGAAATCGATGGATAAATTGATGAAAGTTAACCGATGTTGATATTCAACAAATTTATCCTTAAAACCAAAATTTTGCAAACCATTGCTCAAGATATCACCAGAAAAAATATCCAACAAAAAACAAAACCGGTTAACATCAAGTCAAAATGTCCACACCATTGATACATTGTGATCCAACAAAAAATGGCTAAAATACTTTGAACAGATCCAGGCATGAAGAAAATGAAATGTTTGATAGACGGAAATTTTCTAAATCAAGGTCTAAAGCTGTTAAAATGGAAATTGCGCTTTCAAATTCAAATAGATTCACCTTAAATCCACTGGAACAAATTAATGGATTGAAAATGTTAAAAACGGTTTAAAGACAAAACCAAAATTTTGTGTCTAGACTTGAAGAGACATTTTCTATAACAAGTTGTTACTAACCAATCTTGTACCAAAAGATTGTTATTTTTAACCAGAAAATCATCTATACCGATTGACTAACAAAGCAAATTGAGACAGCAATCGAAAATGTTTGTTTATTTCTCAGATTTTTTGTCTCACAAATTCATTGTTTTGCTGGTGATCTTGAAATGTTTTAGGCTTTAAACACAATCTTATTTGTTGACACATACTGGAGTGGGTTAATAGTAACTGAAAATGTTTTTTAACAATTTTTATTCTCTTGATTTATAGCAATTCATTAGCTGATTGACCTACAATACGGATAAGTTATTAGACTCTGTACTTTTGAATCTAAAACCAGTCTTGGTGGTAATGAAATTATAAATTTTCCAACCTTATTTGCTAGTTCAGAGTTGTATTTGTCATTAACTTAACTGGTATCGTTGATTCCTAGATCCCTCTGACTTATACCTTTCTGGTACTCCTGGTTTATCAAGTTATCGATCGTTGGTCAAAATTTTGGTTCACTAATCCCTCAACTCTAGATTGAGTCTATCCTGGAGACATCTTTTGGTTTATAATGTACTGCGTAGATAACTATTAACTAAATACGAATGTGATTGAGCGATTGATTATGCCACAATCTTTGTGGCCTGAAAAAGTGTTTTCAAGCAAATCTAGAGTTGAAAATAATTTAAATCCATTAAAATTATCGATACATTAAGCATACAACTGGAACTAAACGTTAAATATTTACAAGGTTAGAATATAAATCTGCTGCAGTTAGTCTGTCGTGAGTAACAAAAATTGAAATTTAACAATCAATCGACCCACATTTTAAGCTATTCTGAAATCATTTCTTTTAGATTGACTTTCGACTTTACATTTGATCGAACCTGAAAAACACTAGTTTGGTCGTTTTAAAATTAACAATTGCTGCGAATAATTGAGTAAAATTGATTAATTTTAATAAATTCAGCGACCCAATCAACCTAAAGCTCAATTTTTACAATAAATTGTAATTTCTTATGGAAATTGTGAGTAAGATTACTAATAGTTGAACGAATTTCAAGTTTTTCTTCTTCAATTACAATTTATTGTATGAAATTAATCTATAAGTTGAATATACAAGTCATTAGCTCAAATCGCATGTGAATATTAATTAGAATAATCGGTCAATTTAATCATCAACTTTTTGGTTTGCTTTCCGATCGGTTCAGTCTCCCTAAACTGTAATGAATGATTGTGATGAAAATTTACGATAATCCAAGATCAATGATTTCTCATGACAATCGGGTTAGTTGAAGCTTTGGGCAATTAAATCTTTCTTTGAAAGCAAACAACAATTAGGCACATCTTTGATCCTCGGAGTCAACTGATCTCTAATAAACTTTTATTTCGTAAATAAATTGTACTTCATTATAAAACAAAATAGTTCCAGGTTGTTAAACAAGAGCATCGTTGAAAAATCCTACAGGTAACATGTCAGTCAGTTAATAACATGATTAATGCTTCTAACACGTAATAACGTTAACATTTGTAAGTCGTAAGATTTAACAATGTTGCCATCTTAAACATCAGCCTGAAACCTATTTGGACTCTATTCATCTTTCTTTGCACTTGAATTTTGGTCACCATCAATTTACTTAGAATTGACCAGTAGTGATAGATTTGAATCTATCTGTCCTTTATCTTGCGTTTTTAAACGGTGTGGTTAATTAATTGTTTTGGTGGTTTAATATGTAGCTCATTTGCTTTCCTCAGAAACAGCGTTCTGGTAATAAGTGTGTCTGCTTTGTTTTAGTGTCTTTGAAATATTGCTTTCTTCATTCTCAAATGTTCGTCAAACAAAAAACAATTGATATTTTTGGGTCCATCTTTGGTACATGAAGGAGATTAGCAAAGTATTGGTATCTCTCATTGCCCAAAAAAAGACAAGTCTACAAGAAATTTTTTGGTTGTTGAGGGTGAAGTTCGCTCTCGTAGATGAAATATTTATATGAAATAAATTTTTTGTAATATATTAGCTGTTCAACTTTTCCTAGGAGTTTTAACACCTCTTTGGGTTAGACCTTCAAAACGCTTGTATGTATAGTTAATAAACACCCAATCTTTGGGACTAGTTTCAGTATCTTGAGGAGCTGAGGCTGTAAAGTAAAAAAGAAAGAAAATTAGCGTTTCACCAAATAACAAGTCAGCTGGTAACTTACGTATTTTGAGATCAACATCGGGAAACTCATCAAAGTTAGAAGTATCATCAATACTTTTGACCTCCACCGGAATTGCTGCAGGACGTTCTCTAAAATAGTAAATTGAATGAAAGTAAAGGATAATTTTAAATAAAAAAGTTCCAAAATAAAGTATTTTGATTAGAAAGTGTGTTGAGGCCGATAGCCGATTGCATTACTCATTAGTAAGATGAAAGCTTTTTTGTTTACCTGATATGTTCCCAATCAACACCTTTAAAAAAGAGATGCTGTTTTAATGAATCAAGTGAATTAATTCTTCTTTCAGCTTGACAACAAAATTTTTTAATTAAATCCTCTGAATGTTTTGAAATTGGTACTTCTGGTGGAAAAACAAGTGTCTTTTCCCAATTCATTACTTTATGGTATGTTTCTTGAGGTGTTTCGGAGCAGAATGGTGGATAACCAATCAACATTTCATACATTATAACACCTAAGGACCACCAATCACAGGATTCATTGTAACCATCTTGTTGAAAAACTTCTGGAGCAATATAATCGGGTGTACCAACGGTTGAATAAGCCAACTGACGACGGTTTTTCTTCCAACTTTCAGCTCTACGTTTGGAATCCATAGGATTGCTTGAGAAATCACTAGGTTTGGCTTGCGATAAATCGCGATAAAATTCAGTTCGATGTGATTTCTTCAACCCTGTGCAAAGGCCAAAATCAGATAATTTGATGTGTCCCTGAGGGAAGAAAAGAATAATAATAATTAATCAAAATGTGTAACATGAAAAAAGTTGACATAGTTATAGAATGTTAAATAAGTTGGAATTGAAAGCCTAAATTGAAACTTAATAAAAGTATGAGGTGAAGTTAATTATATAGGTAAGCTCGAATAGAAACACAAACAAACATAATTGATTGTATTAGAATAAAAAAAGGATTGTGCTCATTAATGGATTGAGTTCGCGTGCTTTTTTAGATACAGGCAAAATGGAATCAAAGTAAATTACCTTTGCGTCTAATAAAAGGTTATCAGGTTTAATGTCTCTATGAATAAATCCTAATTTATGTATTGAATCGATTGCAAGGGCCGTTTCAGCAATATAAAATTGGGTACACTCCTCGGAGAGGGTATCTTTTTTCATTAATAAAGTCATCATATCGCCACCGGGCAGGAACTCCATAATAATGTAAAGATTAATACAATCTTGGAAACTATAATACATTTTGACAACCCATTGATGGTCAGCTTCAACCAGAATATCTCTTTCTGCTCGAACATGAGCAACTTGTTCTTTTTCAAGCATATCTGCTTTACGTAAAATTTTCATCGCGTATACATGACCAGTATCTTTTTTCTGTACTAATCGAACCTCACCAAAAGCTCCTCGACCAATAACTTTAAGAGGTTCAAAGTCATCAACAGCAAGTCTTGATCTTTTCAATCGAAGAAATTGAGTTTCCTTCTTGGCATATTGCTTTCTCAAATCTTCTCTCTGTTCACAATCCAGATGCAAAAACAGGGAATCAGCCAGTCATGTAGCCAACAAAGGTGCAATCATAAAAAGGAAAAATAAAAAATGTGTTAGCTAGATAATTAGAGGGATGAAACTGAAGCAATTGTCCAAGTAACGAACAAATGGACTAGAACAATTGTTTAGTTGATAAGAATGAGAGTTATCAAATTCTGATGGGTGGTTAAAATGAAAATGGTTGGTGAGTGGAATAACTTGTTGATGAGATGGGCAGAAGGGGAATAAGAAAGGGTACAGGAAAGGAACATGATTATGCTGGATGTGGAATGATGACAGAGAAAGAAAAGAGATTGTGGTGAAAAAATTGAATATTGAGGGAGGTTGATAGGAAGATGAAAAAAAGTTTGCTGATTCCTGTTTCCGTGAATTGGAATCCTACATAAACAGAACACCAACCTGTTCTTCAGTTAAGGATTCATCTTTCAATGATTCAAGAAGCCTTTCCTGTCTGATAGCCGAAGAAAAATAAAAAGGTTCAAGAAATAAAGAAAAGAATACAATTAGAACAGGTTGAATTAAAATATTTAAATCAGTGGCAAGATGATGATGATGATGATGAGAACTCAGGGGATAAAAAGTAATCCTTTGTTTTGATCTTAAATGCTATTTCTATTCTGATAATTTAATATCATTTCAAATTTGCTCTTTTTCATTATTTGCTGATTAAAACACAGCTTTTACAGCGACTATCAAGGACAGCGCATTTGAAAAAAGTGCAATACAAATTGTGTTGAATAAAACCTGTAGATTTTCAAGCAACATCATCACCACTTTTACCATTTAGTGATCTAGAAGTAAACATCAACCATTACATACCTATTTTTCCTTTCAATATGCTGAGCAATCAAATTGCTGAAATAATTTTCCAAGTGAACTTTAGCTTTGGTTGCTTTGTCTAATGTATGTCCACTTAATCGAATCTGTTGACCGAGCTCACGTGGAGCTGACATAATTCAAGTGGTGGTGAAAGGTGAACTATGATGATTGGAAAACTATGTTGTTGTGTTCACAAGAAATAAAAGGAGAGAAGTTATGAAGATGGTGATGATTATGGCGATGGTGGTAGTGTTGGTTGCAGCAATAGTAGTTGTGATTATTGAATATGGTGTGATGATGACGAAGATAAGATGACTCGGTGATAAAAAGACTCACAAATTGGAAGAGATAGAGAGAAAGAGAGAAGAGAAAAATGGAAGGCTCAAATACAATTGAGATTAAACGTTAATGACAAAAGGTAAAGAGGGTTTGATTTGTGTATATATGGTAGTACTGGATATAGAGAAACAATAAGGATAGTTGAACTGGAGAATAGGTAAATCGCAATCACCATATAATCAGAGATTATTTAAATTGTAAGCTGGATAGTTGATCAAGAAGCAAAATTAACCAACAGTCAAATAAAACAAACAAACCAGAAGGAAAGGAAAGACAGATAAATATATAAATAATAAAACCCAAACAGAGAGAGGTAGCAGAGAGAAAAAAGAAAGCAAACAGATGATTTTTACTTCTTGCTCAGGTCTAGGCACCGATTATGAAATGTAATGACAATTAACAAGATTTACAAGATATATTAAATGGAACTTTGAGCAGAATCATGTAAATGTATGTTGATTTAAGTGTAAACATAAGATTATAATTATGTTGAGAATAGGACAAAATTGTAAAAAACACAATAAGAGGCAAAATAGGAAGAGAAACAAAACACACAAATAATGAAGAGAAAAGAGGAACAATTTTGTAACCCGACCGTTAGTTACTGAATGGAGTGATGTTTTTTGTTGTTTTCCTGAAAGATGAAAGAGAGAAACAAGTACAGTGAGTGAGATAAATGCTTTATTCTTGCAATTGATTTATTTAATCAAAAAATGACGTCTAATCTTACGTCATTCGATAGTTACAGTTGCTTGAAAATGGATATGCATTATAACTCTCTAATTTGACTGTGTCCATCTTATTTTACCTAATCTTTGAAAATGCAATTTAAGACCATGTGAATTATATTGTTACTCCTAAATATGCAAATGAAAATAGGTTAAATTGTGAATAATGTTTATGGTTGGAAACCTGAGTAAACAAACAATTCTAGACTGCCTGGACTTGGTTAATTTTGGAAAATATCTTTTCATATCAAATTTTAATTTAAAAGCTATGATCTAAAATACAAAATCTAAATATCAAATGGGTATTTTTTGATTATCCGAGGATATTTTATTCATAATTATTAATTTTAGCTAGAAAGGAATCTTTTTTTATATTGATAAGCTGCATTGAATTTTAAGTGTTGGATATTTTTCTTATTAAATTAGGATTCATGATCAAGTGAACCCAGAAAAGTCCCTCAATTTGATTGGATCTTGCTACTTATTCCTAACCAATCCGTTTGCCACTTTAGCGGTTAAACTTTACGTTCATCAGCTCACCCTTTCTAACATATGATTGTTTTTTTTATTTATTCATCTATCTCATTGGATTTAATTAATATTATCTTTATTAATTTTTCTACTTGTTTATACTTCAAATGAATTCAGATCGAAGTAGTTCTATAAAACCTCCATTAAAGAGTGCAACAGGCTGGCCCAGAGGATGTCAATTAAAAGAAGATGTTTCTTTGAATAAATATTTACTTGATGCCAATCGGACCATTAACTTGTAAGTAAATATGGGAAGTTTTGATAGTTAATTATTAAATTTTGTCATTCACTTGTTGTGTTTTATGCCCAAATTTGCAGTGATCAAGATTCTAACATTGAACTGATTTTGTTTTTGTTTTCTTTACCCTTTCATATCATTCTGCCATTGTAAAGATACTCTTTAGATAATTATTCTTTTGGCACCAAAAATGCTCTCTATGAGAAAGATGCATCTATATTGGCGCGATTTCAACGTATGAAGGAGGAATTTGCGGTCTATGGAATGAGACGATCAGTTGATGCCGTACTTTTGGTTCATCAGCATAAAATACCTCATGTGTTACTTCTTCAATTAGGAACAACTTTCTTCAAGTTACCTGGAGGAGAACTGAATCGAGGGGAAACTGAGGTTGATGGATTGAAAAGGCTGCTAAATGAAATATTAGGCCACGATGAGGATGATGATAATTTTGCTGTTCATTGGAAAGTTGAAGATGTTATTGGCAATTGGTGGAGACCAAATTTTGATCCTCCTCAGTATCCATACATTCCAGCTCACATTACTAAGCCTAAGGAACACAAACGATTGATTCTGGTCCAATTACCAGAGGAGACTAAATTCATTGTTCCTAGAAATTACAGACTTGTGGCTGCTCCAGTTTTCGAGCTATTTGATAATGCTCAGGGTTATGGGCATATTATTGCTAGTTTACCTCAAGCTTTAAGTCGTTTTAATTTCAACTACTTATGACCAAAATTGCACTGTTGATCTACTCTTTTTTATTTCGTTTCACTTGTGAATAATGAGTAATCCAATTAAGATCAAGTAGTGCAATTACTACTCATAAATCCTTTTCAACCTAAGACAAAGTTAAATATTCATGATTCAATCTTCTCGATCGACGCATCATTCCTCTAATTTGATGTATCAATTCATTATTTACATAGATATAATTAAATTTCAAATGTGATCTAAAACTTTCTCACTTGGATAAAAATGTCTCGTTTTTTCACCAGAAAAAGTGCAATTTCCTCTACATTAGAGATCAAGTTAGATCAACAGAAATGTTGTTTAATTTAAAAAAAGAAATGTGTTTTAACATAATTACTATACAATCAAATTCCACCTTTGATTTAATAAAACAAATCCAGGTTTAAATCCAAGTAATCAGAGAAATCGATTGTCAATATATCGATGATAGTTAATATCGATTCATGCAACCACGTTAATTTTTCGAATTTTTTGTTAATCAAGTTTATTAGAATTAACTGTCAGTTGTTTTGAGAAATAATTTGGATTCATTTAAACTCAGATCAATCAGTCTCTTTTAGTTGTGTTCAATTTCATCATTGGTGGACTCTGTTCTTAATTAAAGGTCATCTTTTCGGGTTGGTAAGTATTTTAATTCATTTCCCTCTATAATCTCAGTGAATATTTCACCCTTTTCTCATTAAAACATTAACACCATTCTGTTCGCTAAATCCTCGCCTACATTTAATTTTTTATTTGTTTATTCATTAATAATCACTCCTTTTGTTTTTTTCTGGCCTTACCTTTTATCACTTGATAAATCTGTTTTGTCTTTTTTCTGCATTTAGAGCACACTCTGTCATTTCTTTATACTCGACATTTCAATCTCACTGCTATAAAGTATCATCAAGTTATCTCACCCAACACCTTCGTCTTAGCAATCGTGATTACCACCTCTGAAGTTTTAGCCCAATTTGATCAACATGTCTTCTAATCGTGCATTTAGCCACTTGATTTCAATTCGATGGGATTGTTGCAATGGAGTGACTCCTGATGCAATTATAAGCCAACTGAAAGATTTGCTCAAAAATAAATTTGCTACAAACCTATCCTATGAAGCTCCTCTTGGTGATGGCTCAATCGCAATTTTGGCTGCATCTGCAAATTCATTGGATTCAAATTTGACTGTCATTATTCGTAGATACAATAAATCGGAATTGATCACACTTAACATTGAATATCCTGTTTCTCGGAATCAAGCCACTTTAGGTATAATTTCTTATATTGAAAATCATTTTTTTTGAGCAGCTAATTTATCCATGCCATTTGTAGGTTACAGACGTGAACACACACGTTTCCTACAAAATTATCCGGTACAAGTTAAATAGCCATGATCTTGATTAATTTTTAATAGTGTTTTAACATCCTTTAAGTGCATTTATACCTTGACCCATAAAGTCTCAAGTCATTATGCTGATCATTTTATGAAGGTTGTAGTTCATATGTTTGGTTTGATATATTTTGCTTTACCGATATTCCTAAACAGCTTTTCCGGTCATTTAATGCATACTGTTTTGTTAAATTTTACAGATGAACATAGATCTATCAGTCGAATTATTGATGAGCTGAAGAACGAATTAAATGATAGTCTTGGTGGAGGAGTTGAGAAAATACCAGCTTTAAAACTGGGAAGTGCAGTTCCTAATTATTACGCATCATCCGATGATCGTCTTCTCGAATACGATTTTGAGGAAGTTTTATTTTCCAAAAAATCTGCTTACCAACAAGTCAAAATCCTCAAATCAAAGACTCTAGGTAATGCCTTATTCCTTGATGATTTGCAAAATTTGGCCGAGAAGGATTTGCCTTATACACATGGTCTTATGCACTTTGGTCACTTCGATTACAAGGACAAAGATATTTTAATTCTTGGCGGAGGTGATGGCGGTCTTCTTCATGAATTGCTCAAGGAAAAACCTAAACATGTTACCATGATAGATATAGACGAAGTTGTAGTTGAATCTTGCCGGATTCATCTTCGAGGTGCTTGTGGAGACACTATGGACAAAATGAAAACTGATACTTATGAAATAATTATTGGAGATTGTATAAAGTATTTGGAAGAATATGGAAGTAATGGTAAACAGTTTGATGTAATTTTCAACGATTTGACTGATATACCTTTGAGTAGTGATACCGATCAAGTTGCCGCTAACCTTTGGGCGTTCATCAAGAAAATTCTTCTTCTTTCATTCAAATGCTTACCCAGTGGTGGTAAATATTTCAATCATGTAAGTATCTTTAGAGCACTTGAGTCAAAAAAACTCTTATTAAATATTTAATTATGTAACAAAATGTTTCAATTCACAGGCTATCGGATCAGGTTGCACCTCAGCACTTCAAGCTTATGAGAATGTCCTCAAAGAATTGCCTTATAAAATTGAATTTTCTCATCATGAATCTTTTGTACCATCTTTTTTGGAAGAGTAAGTTGTCTGTCTATTTTATCTGTGAAAATAATAAAACTTTTTTATCATTTTGTCTTAGGTGGGTATTTTATGATGTTACTAAAGTGGAGTAAAGGACGATTACCATCTCAATTCACATGTTAATAACTGATCCTATGCAAAATCGCCTCAACAATCTAACCTAGATTAGGATTCAAATCACTTTTTGTTTGCAATATCATTGTCATTTCCTTAGTAATAGTGAATCTAGTCAGCAAAATTGATTTCATTCAACCTGGAATTACAGCTTTTTTGCTATTCTCTGTTCATTCCTGTCTTCCATGCACTATCCAATTAGTATTATCCAATGATTTTAACTTGAAGTAGTTGAAATAAATCAACAATCACATTCGAAAGCAATTTTGATCTCCAGATCATCCTGTATTCATTTCTGAAAGCAATTAAAATATACAACAAACAGTAATATAAACTGCTATTGATTTATTTAATGAGTTTATCCAGATCACTGAGCTATAGCTTTGTTTTAAATATTTTAACAGATCGAGATTAATCATGTTCAAGGCTACTTTGATATTAAATATGCCAGCAGTCTAAATGAAAGTGGATAGATAAGCGTTTAAAAAGTTCAGCATGCTTAGGAATTATGATTATTCACGATTTTATTGCTAGTTTTATATTAACAATTCAACTTGCTTGTCACGAGCAGCTTGTACAAATCGATTTGTCTAAGCGAAAATATTATGTGAGAACAACTTCTTATTTATTATTGGACTGTATATGGACTTAGTAATCAGAAGTTGCTTAATTTAGGTAAAAAAATATTACCAAATTTTACCGGAATAGACGATAGAACGTCAATTTGAATGCCTCTCAGCTAATTCAGGAGCACTGAAAACTCCGTTCTCGGTGATGAAGCCACCAGTTATCAAATTTACTGGTGTTACATCGAATGAGGGATTCCAACATGAGACTTCAGGAGGAGCAATATACGTTCCGTTAATCATCTTGACTTCCTCCTGTGATCTTTCTTCAACTGGAATCTCCGATCCATCTTGCTTCTCAGGATCATATGTTGACATAGGAAGGGCAATATAGAAAGGCACTGAATGGTGTTTAGCAATTACAGCAATTTGATAAGTTCCTATCTTATTGGCAGTGTCTCCATTTTTAACTACTCTATCAGTACCAACGACAACAGCATGGATTTTATGGGAATTCATCAAGGCTGCAACCATATTGTCACAGATTAATTTACAAGGTATTTTGTCTTTGACTAGTTCATATGCAGTTAATCGTGACCCTTGATTGAAAGGCCGAGTTTCTGTAAAATAAACCATCTCTAGTCTTCCCATTTCATGAAGAGACCTTATAACACCGAGAGCTGTACCATACCCAGCTGTAGCCAAGCTTCCAGTATTACAATGAGTCAAAACTGCAACTTTCTCATCCGAACCACTCGTTAGACAGTTATTTATGATATGGGAAGCTCCATATTTTCCAATTGATCGGTTAACTTGAATATCTTGGTCCAAGAGTGATTCTATGTAAGTTATTATTTTATCAACCAGAAAATCGAAAGTGATTTCTTCCTTGGATACATCATTAGATACCAGACTCAATAATTTGGTACACTCGTTGCGAACATTTATTGCCGTTGGTCTAGCTTCACAGAGCAATTGACACGATTTCTCGAGGTAACGGTATAATGCTTCTTTAGTTAATCCAGTTAATTTACCTAGATCCAACAGCTTATCTGGTGAAGCTAATTCAACGGAAAGAGAAAGAAGACCAACCATCGCAATACAAGGGGCGCCTCTGACCAGCATATCTTTAATTGCATTGAAGCCATCTTCAACACGTTCAATTGTCACAAAAACCTCGTTTAACGGTAATTTACGTTGGTCAAGTATTTTGAGGCTGCCTCTAGAGTAAATTATGTGATTCATTTTGTGTAAACAATTTTCCAAAGTAAAATTAATGCTTTTTGATTAACACATTAAACAATTTAAAGAGAATACAGTTTTCACTGAAAAACTTACACTTTCAATGTTATTGTGGACAAAATAGACCAGATGATCAGATTAGATCATTTCTATTCTTCCCAATAAATTTTCTTGTGATAATTCAAAAAGAGAGGTCGCCACATGAAGAAGCTTTTATTTCCCAGTTGATTTTCAATCAGCAATTAAAAACTAATCAAGATCGACTAACTAGCTACTCAAAACAAATATCGTCCATTAATCCAAGCAAATTTTCTGAATCAAAATTCCTTATCTGAATAAACAACCAGAACTAAGCAAAATAGGTGAATATTGAGAGTCTTAGCTTGAATGAAGTAATAAAAAAGGAATCGAAACAAAGGATATTCATCAAATTCATCTCAATCACAATTAAAGTAAGAGTTATTACTGCAATTGTTTTAACGCTTTTGTAGATAACTTTACTTGTTTAAATTCCAAGTTGGTTAAGTTGCTAACTTCCCCTTTAACTACTCTTGTTTTATCCTCTGTATAGATTTCAAATTTAAATTTCCATTTGTGTAACTAATTGTCCAATTGTTGCAGGTTATTTAACTAGACTGGATGTGAATTTTCCAATTTTTGTCTACATTCTGTTCATGATCGAGTTTTCATAATACCTTTGAAAACAAAGAGTAATAGTCATACTCTTTGTATCTGTTTGGATTTGCTCTTTAACGACTAGAAGTATCAGTGTCCTCAATCATTTAATCAGATGAAATAACAAAAATGATGAAAGATCTCATCTAATTATCTCAATTAGGCCTCAACATCTCTATTTTCATCAAATTAGCTTGCGAATTATCTGGCTTAGGTTCCAATACCGCAAAGCCTCACAAAAATCTGAAGTCATTTTTAAAAATTTCACAATTTTAATCATGTTAATAAACTTAGTAAATTGAAAAGAATCTAATTGATTCATTTTTTTATTCTCTGAATAATTTGTCTCCGATTTATATTTCTTCAATTTTCCGATTTTACATATCAAAAGGGTTTAAGAGGAAGCTGACGAGTTTCATTGGCATTTTTTCCTAATTATTTAATCCATTCTCTCGGTTTCTAATGTAATTTGAAATTAGCTCTCAAAACTCGGCTTATCAAAAGCACACCAACTTGAGATCTTTTGTAAACACAGTTTAAATTGTTAGTAATAGAGAAACTAAAGAAAGAGAAAAGGGAACACTAAAATCGATATTCACGTTTCATTTATCATTATTTTATAATTATAAAACATAAGTCAAATTGTATGTCACTAAATAATTGAAAAATTTGTCTGCTAGGAGATAAAACTGATTCAGAAAACAGAGTTGCAATTCATCCATCTATCTCTCTTTCTCTCTCTTTCTCTTTCTCCTTTCTCTCTTTCTCTGTCTCTTTTCTCGTTTCTTTCTGTACATCATCTGGTTGGAGTCGTGTGTGTATTTGGTCCTATTGTGGATTTATACCATAAGGCTGCTGTTCCTCTGCTCTACAATCAATTTAATTTCTTGAAGACAACATTCTAATCAAGTGTTAAATATGTAATAATCCAGACTTCTTCTATTCATCTTTATGTGTTGTTGATTTAAGAGGGAGAAAAGGATCACAGCTCAATCATCTGGTCATCATCTTCATCGTTTTCTGCTTGCTGTGGAAAGAAAATCTTTTTGTTCTCATTTTGCCTGTTTTTCTCTTATTTCTCTCACACACTCTTCTTCTCAGGTCTCAAACTATGGAATCATCGAGTGATCATAATTCAGGATGGCTTGATATTACTCAGGAGTTTGTTGATGCATCCAAAGGTCAGTTTTAAATAATTGCTAAAAATCTTAGCCATTAAAAGTCATCTTGATAGGGCTATTGCAGGGATGTCCTGTTTTCATCCAAAATTTTAATTTCATTGAATTATTCTTGGTGAAAAGGTCTTCATGAAATGTTTGAAAACATTTTTGATGAATGATAATATTACATAACGAGTAAAAAATGTTTTACAATGTTTTTCTGCTTATGATGGTTTTTCCCTCTCGTGTTTAACAGCATAGAGGTATTAACTAAATGAGCACGGAATCGCCTTATTTAATGTAAATGATTATTCAGTTTGATTTTATCTCCAACTTAATACCTAGAGTGATTGGGGTGACTTTTTAAATTATTTTACTTCGCTTTTGTTAATTTTTTTTACTTTTATTTACAGAACTTGAACTTGGAGAATTGCTTCATGATGATATGTTCGGTCTTTTTGAGGCAATGTCAGCAATTGAGATGATGGATCCCAAAATGGATGCTGGGATGGTTTGCAATAGAGATAGAAAAGTTCTCAATTTTGAACAATCAGTGGAAGAAGGAAAATTAAAGATAAAAAATTTAACCAGCGAAGAAAAGATTGGAATTATTGATGATACATTCAGCTGTTTGGTAACTTGGTTGGAAGGTCATTCATTGGCTCAAACGGTTTTCACCAATCTCTATTTACATAAACCACTTGCCATTGAGGATAAATGTTTACGCAGTTTTAGCCTTATAATTTTAAAGTTAGTTGAAATTATAAGAGATTTCGTGTATCGTGGAAATGTCTTCGAGGAGGAAGATTTTCAACCGGCTTTTTTGTACCCTTTTGCAATGCCCTGTACCATTACGGATAGTAAAGCTTGTGGAATGATTCGAGATGTTGAGGAGGAGATGCAAAAGAAGGTTAAAAGCTATCAGAGAACGTTAAATAGTCTAAACAAAAGTCGTCCAGAAGAATTAATGAAGACTAGTGATAATAATAATAAGTTCTCTTGTGATTTAGCAGAGCAGAAAGAACACCAATTGAATCTAGCTCTTTTCGCTCGGCTTAAATTTTCTCGCCTATTTTACCAGTCACTTATTATTTTAAAGAAAGAAACCACAGCCAAGAGTAATTTAACTAATCATCACGTCCCCCATCCAAATCCTAATCATCCTCATTCTCATTCTCATTCTTCCTCAACATCAACTTCCTACCATCAATCAAACTCGAAAGTCAATGTGGCTAATAGTACTAGTGGTCATTGGGTTGAAGATGCAGATAAATGTCTCCAACAGTGTAGTGAAACAATCTCCATTTGGCAACAGACTCTTTCAATGGGAATAAAGCCAGAGCCAAGTTCAGCACCAACCTCAGAATATCGAGCTGATTATCCTACAATAATGGGATTTGAGCCATTAATTAATCAAAGGTTCTTACCGCCAACCTTTCCACGTTACACAAAAATGAAATCACGAAAAGAAGCTATTGAATACATGGAACATTTAGTCTCTCGGATACGCCATGTCTGCAAAATATTTGACCATATACCTTTTCAAATGGCTTTAGATTTTTTCACAGAATTCAGTAAATCTTCATCACCACCTTCCTGTGTCCTATCACGATCATTGCTTCAAGTTTTGTATCTTCCAAATGGTATTGCTCCACTAAGTGACCTAATACGTGAGGACGTTCGCAACTTTATTAAGCCACCCTCACTTTATCAGAAACCCTCCATTCTAACCAATCATCCAGAGGCCAGGGAGGTTGTGGATATCTTTTTTGAAAGATGTACGCGACCTATGTCATACTTACTTCAAATAAATGGACACAATAGAGCTCGTCAACGGGATAAATTGGCTTTAGTTCTTGAAGAATTAGCAACAATTCAAGAAGAAGCTGATAAATTGGACAGTTACTTGAACACTTTGAGTTTAAAGATGGATATCCCTAGTAGTCATCTGGGTTATTTCAGCGCTTGGGTACTTTATCATATTCTTCGTGTCATGATTCAATATTTATTGTCCGGATTCGAACTTGAACTGTACTCAACTCACGAATATCCCTACATTTTTTGGTATCTTTATGAATTTCTTTATAGTTGGATGGCATCAACTCTATATCGAGCAAAATCATTCATTGCTGAACAAGATGCTATCTCAGGTTTGTTTACCGTAAAAAACACCTAAAAAGTGATCAAAGTAATTAATTCATTAAATTACTTCTTCAATACCTTACAGAACTTAGAAATAAAAGTGTGAATAAAAAGGTTAAGTCTAAAAAACGTAAACAGAAACCTCATGAACGGGAATGGACGCTCAATTCCGCCTTTCAGCAGCTTTGTGGAGGTTACTATAAAACCGTTAGTGCTTTTCGATTGGAGGGTAAATTGAAAACACCTTGGTCAAGTGCATCTAAAGAACAATTAAGGTATGAACATAGGTTTATGCCATTTCTCGTAATAGCAGCTCCACCGCCCGTTCCATATTCGCAATATCGAGAAGCAGTTGAGCGTGATAAGTGTGGGGATGTTAAAGAAACAATAGCTGAGCTTTATGCAACTGCCTGTAAATGCTTCCATCGAGCAAAAGAAACTTTCGAAAGTGTACCAGATCCAAATGAAGAGGTTTGTCAATAATTTAACACAATAATTTTAGTCTGGATTTTGCTTTAAAATTGATTTATAATTGATTTGTCTTCGTTTTATGTTACAGATTTCTTCTTTTATTAAGGTCGCCAAAACAAATTTTGTTGTGATAAAGCTTTTGTTAAGCGGGCAAGGAAATACAAAGGTAAATCAATTTTTATTGTTAGAAATGAATCAGAGAATAACTGGATAAAAAATATCACTTTTTGAAAATTACCAAAAGCCATTAATCGTAAACATTTAAAAACTTTTCATCATACAAGAATCCAAATCTGAATAATATTTTTCTTCTTTTATCTTTACAGACTTTACCAGAGTTTGATTTTAGCATTAACAACAAATTTCCTGTTATTCGCATTTTGTGAATTATTATGAAATTGTGCTTTACCAGAATAAAATTGTAAAAGCCATTATTAAACAACAAGCTGAAACCCAAGGGCTCAATCTTTCGCCAATACGTGCAGCTTTCCAAAAAATACCAAGAAGTCTATTTAATAAAAAATCATAGAGAAAAAAATATTTATATTAAAATCATAAACAGATTAATTAATCTTGAGACGCGTTCTTTACTATTTTGTCAACATTTTATCCCACAATTATAGATCATGAGCCATTTAAACATCATACAATAATATTAGATCAAATAAGAATGAATGAAAGTAAAAGTGATGCTCATTTATTAATTCATGTCGGAATCAAAAATGATGATGATGATGATGTCAAAGTATTACGATCTGATGGAAATAATTCATTTTTGGGAAAACGAGATGTACTCAAATATGGCTCCTTAATAACTCTGACAGTCCAAAATTGTACCCTTAATCTATTGATGAGAGTTTCAAGAACCCAGAAAGAACTATTTATTGCATCTACAGCAGTTATTCTTGCAGAATTTATCAAATTAATTACCTGTATCTGCATGGTTCACTCAAATGAAGGATCATCTAAAGGAGCCATCAACATCATAAATAATCAAATAATCAAGCGACCTTTGGATACTCTGAAAGTTGCCGTTCTGTCAATTGTTCATTACATTCAAATCTACTCTATGTTGGTCCAACTCATCTTGATGCAGCAACCTGTCAAATAACCTATCAATTTAAAATTTTGACAACAGCCCTCTTCTCGGTAGCTATGTTAAATAAATAAAAGACTTTATCATCAATGGTTGGCTTTAATTCTTCTATTTACTGGTGTGGTTCTTGTCCAATTACAGCAGCAATCAACTTCATCAGACTCACATCCATGCCCATCGTCATCATCATCGAACTCAGAAGTAGTATCTTCACCACACAAAGATGTTATTAATTAATCCTGAGACGCATTCTTTATTATTTTGTCAACATTTTACCCACTATTAATCTATCATGATCGAGTCATTTAAACATCATACAATAATATTAAATCAAATAAGAAAGCAATTGCAATTCATAGCTATCATAGAAATTCAAGAGAAGAAACCGGAATCTAAAACACGTAACATATGATCGAGCAATTTTTTTCAATTTCCAGCTATAAGCTTAACGATTCTAATCTATGCTTATTATAAATCTATAGACTGATAGAATGACAATTCAAATTAAATTATATTTATGTAATATTTACCCAGTTTTCCGACGATCCAGCAGAGTAGGCATCATAGCTCTTATAAATGAACAGGTACAGATGGACAGCAAGATGACTGTCAGGAGACTTTGAAAATTAAATAAAGCAGACTGTGGAAATGAGAAATAAAATAATTAATATCTAATGAAAATCAATTAAAAAACAAAAGAAATTCTTACCATTTCTAATTATTTGTGCGACCATTGATTAAACAGACACACACATACACAAAACACTGTGGAAATTAAACAACCACAAAAACTTTGACGTTAACCAGAGTAACCAGAAAATCAAGAAGCGCGTCTTTCAAAACTCACTTAAACCAAGTTCAAAGCTTCAGAAACAGAAAACAAAAGTAGAACAAGAAATATTAGATCTAGTTATTAGAAATGCATCAAGCATATTAACATGAGTCTAAATTTTCCTTCAATTTCACTATGACCCAAAAAATGAAATTAATAAAGATGATACTCACTGATTCTCACAATTATCAGACAACACAAACAACAAGCATTTCAATTTCAGCAAACCTGAAATAATCGACCTAAGTCGAAATTGCAGAGACCAAAAAAATCAAACCAAATCCCAAATATAATAGAATCAAATCTAGAAGCAAAAAATAAATCGAAATTGGAAATTTTAATGAACCAAGAGAGAAGCAACTAAACAGCTAAATGCCTCCACTAATTTAAGAATGCATACAAATATGAATGCTAGAAAATCGGTAAAGCAAGACCCAAGCAAAGGTTGGTGTAATTGACTTTCAATTATTGGTTAATATCTAGTAAATTCGAAAATGAAAGTAAAGGTCAACTTGAAATTGAAAATCACTTGGAAAGCAGTTATTATCGCAAATCTGTTCACTGACTCAAGAGCGTAAATGATTCAATAGTGTTATGAAATTAATTAGCCTCGTAATTTTACAAGAGGTAGCGTGGCCGAGCGGTCTAAGGCGCTGGTTTAAGGCACCAGTCTCTTCGGGGGCGTGGGTTCGAATCCCACCGCTGCCACCACCCTTCTTTTTTACCTCAATTTCATTCAATTTTACCCCAAACTTGAAACTAGATTCTTGGATTCTTCTCTGAACTCTCTACTAACCCAATAGATGGCATATAGCTTTTTGTTTACAAATATCTTTTATGACTGTTTACAACTGTTTTTGTTTTGTATCATGGTGTAATCAGATTCTGTTTCATGCTAATTGGAGTGATTAATAAATTTGATTAGTTTTCTTATCTTTGATACTCGTCTTTCTTCATTCAAGTGGTCCATCTTTTTGGTCTTCTTCTCATTTTTCATCTTCTTTTGTCTTACAATTGCCAAATTCCGGTATGATTTTTCTCTTTTCTCATTTTGTTTACATTTTTTTCTCATTTTTCTCCATCTTTCTTTCTTCCTTTCTACATCTCTGTCTGCTTATCGTTTTGTCTTTCTTTCATTTCTCACATCAAGTTATTTGTTGTTGTTGTTGTTATCTTTTTGGCTTTTTCTTCTTCTCCTGCAGAACCTGTATATTTACGGCAAGGGATTGCTCTTGAAGGTTTGTTATTCTTGTTTCTGAGCTAACCACAGCATCTCTGCTACCTTCAGGTAAATTTGGATTTTCGGATTGTTTATTTCTTTGTCTATTTTGCATCGCTTTGGTGTTTTTTGTCTCTGCGTTTGTTCCTCTTCCTTTTACCTTTTCTCCATACGTGTTAAAGATTAATTTTGAGCACTTAATCGTGGTAGCATAATTTTACATTGATTCTAGTTTAATCTGCGAATCATTCGCTTGAAAACTCACAAAATATGTTAATATTTTTTTACGTTGAGCCTAAGCCTTTTGTGCACGTCCAAAACTTTTTGTCATCAACCTTATCCATGAGATTTTATCAGAAAATTGATTGGAACATTCTGTTTCTAATAGTATTTTTAAGTTATCAAAGCCACTTTTCGCGATTAATTTTAGATAGAGAAATTTTTTAAGATTTACTTCATTCTGAATAAAATCTGTTCTTTACCATCAAGATAAAAATTCAAAATATTGGAAAATTTTCAGTCAGCTGTTGTTATCATCTACTGTTACATTATTCAATGATTGATAACTGCTAGTTATTTCAACTTATATTTTTGGTACTTTTCACTAGTTACTCTCACTAGTACTTGAATGGGTTGGTTACAACAACCAAGTAAAGTAAATGAAATAATGCACCCTAATCTCGTAAGCAAAGTAAGGAGATCTTATCAAAAAGGGGAAAACAAATTTTTTGACCATAAATTGACCAATTGTGTTTTGAATTTTTACTTACTTTATGTACCTTTAACATTAGCTTTTTTGCATAACTGTTACTCGGTGGTATAAGAGTGAATGCATCCATAGACTCCTGCATATTCCATCTGCTGCAAGTGCATTGCTCCAACATTTTAATTATCTGTTTATATTTATCCCAACCTTTTCTTTTTACAATGGATGAACAGTTCGACGGTTTCTTGAGTTGGCACCAACATCCACACGATTACGAAATTTTACACGAGTTTGTCACGCATAATACAAAGGACACAACCATGATGAGCCACCGGGAAACAGAGAAATACACCAAAGGATTCATTGTGAAGTGTATTAATGTAATTATTGAAAGTCGTCTAGGAGAGTCCGTTTCAAGAAAATGCAGCCCTACAAAAAACGACTGGTTTAACATCGCCTTAAACGACAATGAACATGTTACAAAAGAATGCTTGGAGACTCTTGATGATATTCATTTTGTTGATCCAAAATGTCCGGAGTCACAAAAGGTGGATACAGGTTTCAACATAGATACGCAGTGGAGAATTGTTTGTGAAATTTCATTACAAAAAAATGGCGGTGATAAGCTATGCAGCCTCGAATATTGGATGTTTGAGAATAATCCATATAATGCGCAAGAAAATACTTCGCCAGGTGCTTCTTCCCCATCCAGTGCCAGTCCAAGTTCTCCTGGTGGATCTCCATTAATGAATTCTAGAAATCCAAATTCTTTTGCAAGTGTGCATCAAAAAATGGGTTTAATGATAAAATCTTTAATGAGTTTAACGCGTGGATCTCCTTCATTTAAATTAAGCTGTGCTACTTCAACAGATGATTCCCTTGTAATTTTCTACCGAGTTTGTCAATGTGATCCGGACTTTAATAATTTCTTGCGATCAATAAACCCGGACATACCTGAGGTTCATGCCCAATTTACTCCTGAAATACATCTTGGATCAATCTGCACAAATTACAATACTATCGATATATCTTATTCTCAACGGCTTAATTTTGAAAACTGTACACAGCCACCTATGCCGAGAGCTGATGGTGACTCAGCTCTTTTCAAAGAAGATCATTTTGGAGCGGCAAGAAGACAAGAAAGTCCAGATGATAGGAATAGTCCTTGTTTTGTTAACAATGTTAGAAGAGAACCTCGATTAGCCTTTGGTTCAGACTCTCCAACTGGTAACTGATTTTTTTTTCGTTAGACTTGTGAATTTGTTAAGACTCCAGTTGATTAAACTCTGGTAGACAATGCAGAACCAGGAACAAGAAAATCTGGAGTCAACTTCATCTATAGTCAATAAATCTATTTAAATTTACATGCTTTGTAGCTTCATCACAAAATATAATTTATTGACCATAGATGGTGTTTAATCCATAATCTTTTATCAAATGGCTATAATAATAAGCCGTGTTCATTCGACATCAAGAGCTCTTACAGATTCACTATGAATAACCTTTGATCTTTTATTTGAATTCTTAGCAGTTATTCATAGAAATCGTACTTTAACTTAAATTATTCTAATGACCTTAATTCTAAATATATTTTTCCATTGTTTTAGTAGTTACTAATTTTCCAGAATTTCCACCACTGCCTAAAAATTTTCCGGGAATTAGTGACGATGAGGACGATGATATAAATGCTCTGATTGATGGTGATATCAACAAGAGAAAGTCCCAGAATAACGATGCCTCGACTAAAGATCAAAATTCTGATACATCATATTTACCTTCTTCCTCTGAAGAAAAAGATAGATGTGAATCGTCTGAGGACGGAACAAAGCCGCCGAATGTTTCCCAGCCAATCGGGATTCCCTCCGATCGACGAAACCCCAATTACCATGAGCATCGACATGCTGATAGTTCTCCACTTGGATCAGCAGAATCCTATGTTTTTATTGATAACAATAAGTCTCCTTTTGCCCCTGATCATGATGACATTTCGATCTTTTTTAATGGCCCAACACCATCATTCGTGGCAAATCCAACCTCAAGGCTTGGTACATTAAGCCAAATCAAAGAGACTATAGCAGCTGTTAAAAGTGAAATGGAAGGCATTGATGATTTTCTTGAATCATTGAACGTAAAAGCTGGAGAAGATGACGAAGAAGATTTGTTGAAAAGTTCCTCTTCAAGCTCACAACCTTTCTAATCAAAATGCATAAAAATACTTACAATCTTCGTGATTCGTAAAAAGTAAAGTATTTTCAAACTGTGATGATAACGCGGATTATAGTGATCAAAAGTTATATTGTACATAGCATACATCGGGACTTTCCATCTTCATTGTCATCAACGTCATCCGTCATGGTCTCTTCAATGGTTTCTTGAGCTTCCTATCAACCAAATTTTACTAATCCTGATTTCATTTCACCATTTTAACGTTTTTAAAAAAATTCAATAATTTTTGACTGTCAATAGCTCATATTGTCCTGGCTCAAGAAACTTTCATACTTGCATGATTTCTGCTGATCTTTCACTTTCTTGCCTTTCCTTTGCCTTCTTTCAAAAGAAAGGTCAACTATACGGTTAATCGACAGATAATTGTTTTTTGTACACAATTGAGACGATAAATGATGCAATCAAAATCATTTGATTTATCATATTACGTAAAATTAATTTGCTTTCACTTCATCCTGACAAATTCAAGTCATTTTTTCATCAGAAACATTGCTTGTAACTTACCTAAATACATTTTTATTTTTTTTCATCTCAAACCACTGAATTATATTTTAATGCTAATAATATACGCGAAGTAATTCAATCGAATTTATTAGAATTTATTTTTTAATAGAATGAAAATATTTACGAACAAGAAAAGATTGCTAAAAATTCTGAAGACGTCAGAGAAATCATTTATGACTTTCATACAGATCTGGAATCGAAAAATAATTTATTCTTGAATTATTTAAATATAATAAGCTTGAACTGATTGATATGGTTAATAACTAATTGTAAATTTTTAATGGACAAATATCTTTTATGATTGTTTTCCAAGTCTGTTTAAATTTGAAAACAAATTATCGATCAAATTTTTAGTGTCAAATGACAGTTTATCTAGGATTTGAGTTGCCTCTTTTTGGTTTCCTAAATCCAATTTGGAAGGGAAAGTCAATTGCTCACAAATTGCTGATCCATTTTTAAGAGATGAATGTGGCTGGTTATTTAAATTATCAGTTGATCTTTTACCCAATACAAGCATATTTACATTCTCAGCATAAGCTATATTAACAACCATGTGCTCCACAACAAATAGGTTGACAATTAGTTGAACAATATGATTCCAGAAACCTTGGGTATGAGCAACCATTGAATCTCTATCTGGTTCATCAGTTCCAGGTTCTGGTTTAGACGGAGCACCATATTTATTGATCAACTGCTCGGTGACTATTTTTGTCACCTCATCTGCTTTAGTACCAGAAGCTATTAATGAACCAACCTTTTCGCAAACATTTTCAAAATCACGTTGAGAAATGATTCCTTTAAATATTGAAATATAAATTGAAAGGCAAAAGTTAAGTTTTCAGTAAACTTATCAGTAAAACTTAACTTACCTGTTGGATGTGCTAAAGTCAAACAGGAGTTGACCAAGAGACAAGTAAAAATTAATAGAAACATCACTTTGTAACAATATTGTTAATCACCAACTTATTCACTGGATGGAAATTCAATTTGAGAGGAATTAACTTCATTCTTTTTATAACCTTATGGTAAACAATGCAACCTAATTGTCTGCAGTGTAATTGCTTTCAACATATTTAGTAATAGATTCAAGTGGTTATCACTTGATCTCTATCCATATTCATATGAAACATGCAACATCCTTAAACTGGTTCGATCTAATTAACTAAAATTCTCTCAATGTTCATCATAGCTTATCAAAGTTCTAATAACAGATTTAAAATACTCTCAAGATTTCAAACAGCAGGGTCTTCTCGAGTAAAAGTTCTCAAAGTAGCAATGAAAATAGTTGATTTAAAGAAAAAGTACCAATATGATTTTTTAAAATCAAGTTTATTATCTAACAATATTTAATAAAAATCAAAGATTAAACTGTTTACTCTTTCATCAAAATTGTGTTCAGTGAAACAAACAGGCTCCAAAAAATAGAAATTACTTTTGATTGAACTGAACTGATATAACCTTCCCTCAAATTATGACGTGTTCCTTATGTGGTTTGTGTATGCACATATGATTGGGAAAGTGAGACTTTAAAATCAGTGTTTAAGGCCGGTTTGTTGTCAAATTGTTACATTTCTTTTGTCAGTGATTATATTTGATTAATTAGAATTTTAATATCATGGTAAGTCTATTCATACATCAACCATGTAAAATGTAACTGAAAATGGTTCTTTCATCCTCTTGTTAGGTTCTACTTGCCAGTGCCATTGTTTCCAAGCAAAATGGAAAGATCCTCGTTTCAAGACAATTTGTTGAAATGACTAGATCTAGGATTGAAGGTAATTTTTCTATGAGACCTTTCCTGATATTCAATTGAAATTAATTTGATTCTTCTGTGGTCTGATTTCACATTTTAGGATTACTCACAGCATTCACTAAATCCATAACCAAAGACAAGCAGCATACATTTATAGAGACTGATTCGGTAATTATTTGACTTGTGCATTCTTTTTTTCTTTATATTTATTAATTATAATGTCTATAATTCTATCTTGTAGGTTAGATATGTGTACCAAGCATTGATGGATAAATTATATTGTGTTTTAATCACCACCAAAACATCAAATATATTGGAAGATTTGGAAACATTACGGTTAGTCATTTTATTTTACCATATGGAACTATATTGCTAATATTTATTATTTCTACTTCATATAATTATAGTCTATTTGTGCGTGTTATAAGTGAATATACCTCAAATCATGGTAAAACATCAGATGAACAAGCTATTCTGGATAATGCCTTCACTCTCATTTTCGCTTTTGATGAAATTGTTGCTCTTGGTAAGGCATTTAATTTTCCACTCTCACTTGAAAATTATGAGTTTTAACTTTATTGTTTTATTTTCCAGGCTATCGGGAAAGTGTAAATATGTCTCAAGTTCGTACATTTATAGAAATGGATTCACACGAGGAAAGAGTTTATGTTGCTGTTCGTCAAACTCAGGAAAGAGAAGCTAAGCAAAAGATGAGAGAGAAAGCTAAGGAACTATCTAAACTGCAAAGAACACAACAACTGGCCAAAACATCCATGCCTTCAATATCATCATCGTCCAATATCAGCTCTAGTTCTGTTATGGACAAACCAGAGCCAGTTGTTGGTGATAGAGCTCAAAGTGCTTATTCTAGCTCTAGTGCTCCTGTTGTGCGTTCTAAAGGTCCATCAAGAGCTCTCAAACTCGGTTCTAAAGCTAAACAAGCTGATCTTTTTGCTGCATCAAATGAAGAACAGTTAGCTAATGAGTTGAAAGAAGAGGAACCGAATCAACCTGTTTCCAGTAGCGGTGGGTACAAGAATGATGATATTGATATTGACTGAACACAGCCGCTAATATCAATTTTTTAACTTCTACCTTTTGTTCCATTGCATGTTTAGCAAATAATCTTTCAAATATTATAACTTTAAATACTGATAAAAATGTTTATATTTATTAATTTCCAAAAATTGTGGAAGATAAAAAAATGAATACAGAAAATTTTTGTTATTTCATAATTTCATCATAAATTTCGAAAAAAACAAGTTCGACAATTTAACCATTAGAAAAGTCACAAAAAGATTATAAATGTCGATAACTTATGGCTCAGAGAAATTTAATGAAAGTGTAGATCAACATTCTCGTTTACCATGAATTCAGAATTGCATGAACGTAAGAGTTAAAAGCGAAAAGCAATAAGACTAGATGTACTTTGAAACATTGTCCACTAAAAGTACTATTTCTTCACAAATCCCGGTTTAATTATCATCGGTTGACTGATAACTTTGAATAATAGAATTTATTTCCGAAACACTCTCGACCATGTTTTTAACGGCAGATTTATCACCGAAAGCTTTCATATAAATCTATAAAACTAATGAAAAAAAGATGGTTGAACAATTCATGGATCAACTGCTTTTGAACATTCTACTAAAGGTACCTCTGTCTTTTTTGGTTTAACTTCGGGTGAACCTCTCTCCTTCATAAGTAAACTTTTCATGATATTAACGCAAGGGACCTCAACAAGAGCACAGAATAAAAAGGATAAGGCATAAATTGAAGCTAGAAGAGGGAAAACAACAGAATACGCAAATTCGATCATATTTGTTTCGACATTTGTATGCCAAGTTGCATTACGAAGTTGAAAAACAAGTGGATTCACAAATAGAGCTGACAAATTAACTCGAGAAAGAACAGTGAAAACTTTAGAAGACAGAAACTTTGGAATGGCTTCGATTATGTGGCCATTGTGACAAGCATAGATCAGCCAAGCGATAATGTATGACCAAATCGTTTTGCTAAACATGCCATAAAATAGCGAAATCGAGTAAGGCACTGGAAATAGACGGTAATTGATTGTCGCCTCATAAACAAGTATAATTGCCCACGCTGTTAACCAAAGGAGCCACATAAAAGACGAAACAAGCTGAATGAAACAGGATGAAAAAAGATAATTAATTCGACCATCAACTCATCAATTATAATCACCATTTTGTCAAATTTCAACCAACCTTTGATACTTTTAATTGAAAAGCACCCATAATAAAACCAAGAAGTACACCAACAAAATAAGAGCTCATATGCCCCCAACCTTTTGAATGGATATAAACTAGATATTTCATTAATTTGTCTTGAGGATATGCCATAGGAATCCATGAATGTTGTAAATCAAAGATGTACATCAAGGAACCAAGAATAACTGCGCCCAGTAAAATCAACAGGATCGTATTAATTGTGGCAATAGATTTTCGCTTTCGTTGTATAAATGGTAGAACGAGAACTACAAAAATAATGGCAAACATGTAATCAGCTTCCAAATACCAATCAGCGAGAATACAAATATTGATGTCTTCTTTGACATCAAAATAATGGGCGACAAGGAACAAGTGTCCTAACCAGGTTTTCTCACAAGTTGAGGCCACTGAACCAGTAGCATAGTAATCATTCCAATAAGGTCCTCCCATGTAATCACGAAAATGGTTACTAAACAGTAAAATATAACAGCAAATCATCCAAGCAATGGAGGGAACAAATCGAGTCCATCTAAGGAAAAGGAAAACTTTACCATCCAATTTAGTCTTGTTGTAAAGAAAGTGTATTGTTGTCTCTAACCCGGTTAGAAGGAAAAACGTTTCCATTGTAAAAGGTCCAAGTAGGGTTGACGAAAATACCGGTTGGGTCACCGACTCACGGGTACGGAAGAAAGTGGTCATATTTTGAAAGAGTAAAGTGAAAAAGACGTGAATGTAGAGCATGAACAGCATAGTTAAAGCTTTAAGACCATCGAGACATGGGATTGATGTTGGACCTGGTGAACGTGGACGAGTGGAAAACAATTTAGCCATATTAGCAGCGAAATTAAATTGTGACAGGAAACTTCCTTTTGGTGCCCAAACTCCAATAATATTGAGACAAAGTATGGATCCAACAAAAATAGAGGCAATTATATGGGACCAACGTATTTCATTGTGAGGTTCACGAGTTTGACACATATCAATATCTATAATCAGACCAGTTTTTAAATACTCCGAGTAACCGTTAGCTAAACGCTTAAGGTCAAACTTTGAACACTGTCGAGGCACACAAATACCACTTGTAACATTCATGTATCGAAAATAGTGAATGTAAGATTTAAGATAATTGAATGTTGGACTGGAAAAGTTGAAAGCTTTCGATGGATAGTCAAAGGGTATTCCTTCAATAGGCTGAGTAGGCATCAAAGGCATATTAGCATAGGCCAAACAGTAACGGTTAGTTGTTGATGACATGCATTGGGTGAAGCCACCAAGGCTAACCAAACTCCCATCTAATAAGCTTGATGGTAATCGTCCCCATGAATCCAAACCTGAAATTATTATCCAAAATATTTTGATCAAAAATTAACGCTGATCAACGCTATGAAAATAATAAGTTAACATATCAATCAAACTTACGCTTTACAGACTCAACATCCAGTGATTTTATCCCTTCAGCCCATTGGTTTAGAGCTTGTTCACATTCGTCAGTAATATTCACTTTTTTCGTGATGATTTGTAGGTCATTTTGATAATTTGATGCTAAATCATTCAAACTCTTAATGGTATAAGCTTCTAATTGTGTCCATGCTTGTTGATAATTATCAGATACGATTGATGTACACGAAACAATAGTTGGTATTAACAAGATTAACACAAATGGCATCATGATGTCTAATTACAAGAGATAATTTCAAACTCTATAAATTAATCACATTTTATTAATACAGCGATGAACTAAAGGCAACGAATGATAAAATTGTGATGCGAAAAAGAATCGGACAGTTTAACTTGGTTTTGGGAGTAGAAACATTTTAATGAAGCTCACCAGTTCATTCGAAAGGCTACAAGGAAATTTCGATTCTCATTTATTACAGTTCAAGTTACTTCGATTTTGGTGATTCTTTAGTTTGATTTTCTCTCTTTAGTACAATTTAAGTCTTTTCCTTATCCTTTAATTCATGTTTTATTTGTGTTGAAAAGGGAAATTTCATGACCAGTTCATGATGGAGTGTGAGCAGCTTGATTAATAAATGAAAATCATCTCATTTACATTAATGTGGGTTAAATGTTGTGCTCCGGTTTTAACTTGTTTTTCGGTACAGGCCTGCTTCGATGTTGCAACCTATTCAAAGTTTTAAAATCATTAACGAGTTACTCCTGAACCATTTTTAATCAACATTTTTCCTAAAACAAGCAAACTGAATTTGTATTGATTTCTGACCGATTAAGATTAATTTTCACAAATACAATTAATAGACTCCAAATGTTGTTTTCTTTCAGTTGTTTGTTGAACATTTATTTAACCTTGACCGCAGGATTTTCATAAATAAGCTGGGAATCAATTTATTTACGGTAATCAACTGAATAGTTTATGAATTCAGTTACAAGTTTTTTTAAATGCTGTTACAGTGACAGTAAATATATAAAGCTAAATAAGATATATAATGAGTAAAGTTGTTAATTAAAATTATAACATAAACTTGGTCTTTTTTAAAGTTTAGATCGCTTGCCATCAGCAATTGAAAGTTTTTTTGTTTCAGTTTAGTTAATCCGTTTCGTCGGAACTATCGTTATCACTGACATATTTTTTCTTTTGACGAGCTTGGCGAGGTTTTCTTCCTTTTAATTTAATTTTCATCTTAACAGAGGAATCGTCATCGGGATCTTCATCGCCATTTTCTTCTTCTTCAGCCTAAAAAATATACAAAAAATAAATTGAAATCATTAGCAATTGATGCATGAACAATTTGAACATTTATGAAAGATTATGATAATTGAGCGTTGTTAAGTTTGTCAAATTTAAGTTTACTTGTTTGTTTGACAAAACTTTTTTTTGTGGACATGCAACAAACATTTACTCACCAGTAAACTATAATTTAGGGAAAAGTGACTAATTTGGAGATATTTTCGACTAATTAAAAGTAGATTTGTGTTGTGTTATATTTGTGGAGATATTTGAAATCGATTGATTATCATGGGTCACATGCAGGTTTCTTTTAAAGTTGATTGTGAGGTAATAGTAAAATGATCATGCAAATAAAGAAATAAACAAAAAGTACAAAATTTAGAGTGTTATGGTTTTTTATAATTTATCTATAAGTTGTTGTGTTAGTTTATAAATAAAGGTGATAAATAATAATAAATTAACTTACCTCTTCTTCTTCTTCTTCGCTATCATTCGGATCTTCGACAGAAATATCACCATCTTTTTCAATTCTTTCTCTTGCACTTGTAAAAACTGATTGTAGTACAATTGAGTCTTCAAAAATGGTTGACCCCTCCACATTATAAGCTTGTGCATTTTTACAAAGTAACATGAAATCACTCTCCAAATCATCGAGTGATCGATACTTATTATCACGAATTTTTTGACGAATTTTGAAAATATCAACTGGCTTTTTTATTACTTCATAGTAGTCAGGTAATTCACGACGAGAAGGAAGCTTCAAGAATGGATCTGATAAAACTCTGTCATCACCATCCTTGTAATCGATAACTATTTTCATCAATTTTTTCATTTGTTTCATTAATTCTGGTGCTATAGGAGTTTTATCCCGCGGTACTGGACCTGGACGTCGCCCTTTCTTTCCTGGTCTAGGTGTTGATGCTCCTGGTGTTGAAGGTGATTCATCACGTTTCCTTTTTCTACCAGGACCATTCTTTTTACCACGTTTAGTCGGTGTTTCAAGTTCATCTAAATTACCATCTTCAATTGCTTTTAAGAATTGTCTTTCAGTTAAAGCATCACTATAATCGACTTCTTTTCTTTGTCGGGAACCTCGTCCAAATTTATCTTCTTCTTCTTCTTCGTGAGTTAATCTTTCAACTTCAGCATCATCTTTTAATAACCAACCAGGTAATTCACTTTCTTCCATTAAACGAGGTTTTCTTCGAGGATCTCGAGCTTCAGCTCTTCTCCTATCAATATCCATTTGTTGGAACAGTTCAAATTCATCCTCGTTACGAGCAATCATCTGGTTAATAGTTTCATCATCAGGGACTTCATTTTCATCTTCATCTTCATCAACTTCTTCAGTTTGTAAAATTGCTTGTAAAAATTGACGTCTTTCAGTTCCAGTTGATTTTTGATCAAACATACCAGCTTGAATAACTTTCTCATCAAGATTTAATTTGTATTTAGCTGCTGCTAATATACGCTCTTCTACTGAATTTACACTTACAAGACGTAATACACGAACTTCATTCTTTTGACCAATACGATGAGCTCGATCTTGAGCTTGTAAATCTTGATGAGGATTCCAATCAGAATCAAATATTATAACTGTATCTGCTGCTTGTAAATTTAAACCTAATCCACCAGCTCGAGTTGATAACATAAAGATAAAATATTCAGAATTTTCAGCATTAAATTGAGCCAAAAGTTCTCCACGATCTTCAGCTTTTGTTGTACCATCCAAACGAAGGTAAGTAAAATTACGATAATTGAAATAATCTTCCATTATAGTCATTAATGTTGTCATTTGACAGAAAAGTAATACTCGATGTCCAGTTTGTTTCAATTTTGGAAGTATACGATCTAAAAGTTCAAATTTACCACTAGATCTATACAAGTCAGGTCCAGAAACAATACCACCACTGATACTAGTATGATCAGCTATTGCTTCTTCGATATGTTGGAACATAAATGGATGATTACAAATTTTACGTAATTGCATAATTGAATTCATCAATGTTTGTGCTCCTCCTTTACCACGTTTATCTTTCTCTGAACCATCCGTTAAAACAATTCCTTTTGTTTGCATATGTCGATAAACGACTCGTTGTAAAGCTGACATATCACATTTAACCACATATTCAACTTTATCAGGTAATTGAGATTCTACTTCTCTCTTTAATCGACGCAACAAGAATGGACGAAGTACTTTATGTAAACGACGAATAATCAAAACTGTCTCTTCTTCATTTAGTTCCACTTTTTCTCCAGTTGTAGCAAATGGAGCATTAAACCATTGTTCAAAAGTATTACAACACTTGAAAATTGATGGTAACAAGAAATTTAAAAGTGCCCATAATTCAGGTAATTTGTTTTGCAATGGAGTTCCAGTTAATAAAAGTCGATGTGGTGCAGCATAATGAGTGTTTAAAACTTGAGTCAATTTACAATGATGATTCTTCATTCGATGACCTTCATCAATTATCATGTATTTCCACTTTATCTTTGCTAAAGATGCTTTGTCTTTAATAATGTATTCATAAGTTGTCAATAAAACATTAAACTTTGATGTTTTCAATTTTTGCTGTAAACTACGACGAACATTTGGTGAACCTTTATAAGGTATTTTGGAAACACTTGGTGCCCAACGATCAAATTCCAACATCCAATTTGACAATGTTGATAATGGCACAATAATCAGGAAAGGACCATTATTCTTCTTTCTTTCAATCAAATATGTTATCAATGCAATTGTTTGAATTGTTTTACCCAAACCCATTTCATCAGCTAATATACCATTCAAATTATTATTATACAAAGATACAAGCCATTCAAGTCCTTTAATTTGATATTCTTTCAGTTTACCATGAACCATAATTGATGCTTGCTCTGTAACTTCTTCACTAATTGCATGAGCAATATTATAATAGTTTTGATAACCCCCACTTTTATATTCATCATCTTCTTGGGATGCTGCTTGGATAACATTTTTGTTAGCTGCATTCATTACTGGATCTGGTTGAGATTGTTGTTGTTGTATTTGTTGCTGTTGTTGCTTAGAATCTTCATCATCTTCAGATGAATCATCACCATCATCATCTTCATCTTCATCATCTGTTTCTCTAGGAGCAACTTCATAACCAGGATGCATCTCAAGCCAAGTCTCCAATTGACTGGCAAGTGGAGCTTCTTTTCCAACCAAAACTTTACCGGTTGATGTTTCCATAACATTTATACGCACATCTGATTGTTGTGAACTTTCATCAATAGTTCCATCCATTGTTGTATCACCTTTACCTTCTCCATCTTCTCCTTTAACACCTTCTTTATTTTCTTTCTTAATCTTCTTTTTCTTCTTCTTCTTTTTATCCTTTAATTTCTTACGTTGATCAACTTTATGTTGTTTAACCATTTCAGTAAGATTTTTAATATATTCATCAGTTTGCGACAACAAGAATGCCAATCTTCTGTCCTTCTTTTGATCAATAAGTTTACGATAACCTTCTTCATCTTCAGCCATCAATCTTCTCATACGTTCTTTCTCAATTCTTTCTTGTTCCTTCTTTTGTTCTCTCTCAGTATTTGCATGATAAGTTGCAACAGCTTTATTAACTTTTGCTACTTTACCACGAATATTTCGATGATATTCTTTAAAATCTTTTACATGTTGTAAAACTCCTCGTAAATATTCTTGATGTTTCTCAATTCTTTTATTCTCTTGTTCTTGTCTTTTTTGTTTCTCCAATTTCTCTGTAATTCTTGCATCTCGTAGTCCAATCTTTTTACTTCTCTTATATAACTTTGGATTAAGACCAGTTTCCAATGAAGTATCTTTTCTCATATGAGCAACTACTTCACGTCTAAGTTGACGTTGAAAATTGACTAAACGAAGAGCTCGTAATTCAGTCATTGCTTTAACTTTCAAATCTTCTGGTAAATTTGCTGAAATATTTTGTAATTCTTCTATTCTATGAGCAATTCTTTGGGCAATTTTGTTCTCTGTTTCTTTTATTATTTCAACAGGATCTAATCCAATTGGC